CATTCTTTACAACTAATATATTCAAATAAATTATTTTAACTGATAAATAATTTACTATTAGATATTTTGCAAAATTATATACATTGTACTCAAAGTTTAAAGATAATATATCTATGAAAGGTCGGTGGTTCTACTCAGTTGACAAGGAAATAGAAAAAAAGTATAATTTAGTTACAACCTCTACACGGAATAAATGTTAATACATTTGTAAATGATTGAAACTGTCTTACTATTTAATGCTATCACTGTCCCTTCAGATCAACACACACATTACACCATTTTTCGATGAACCATCAGCTCTCCTACAGGAAAAATACAGAATAATTGGTTGACATGAATGATGACCAATTAGTGATTCAACAAAGAGTACAAATGGCATTAATTTGACAAATGATAAAAAAAGCCGTCCGTTAGCTCAAAAGGCTATGGTGGACTCAATAGTTGGACTATGAATCGGGTGACCCAATTTTGATTCGGATGGTGCAGGTCACTTTCCTTGTGATTGATATGAAATCCTCTCTATGTTCATTCGCACTGTACTTCTACTCTGCCATGTTCAGAAGTTATCAGTTCCTTGTGTAGGTGAAGGCAATCAGTACTGGTAAACATGCATGACAGCCTGCCCAGGAACAATGCAGTGGCCACATTGAGCTCTGGTAAGTTCAATGTGGCTTATTGCCGTGATCTGGAGTGAAAACTACCAGCCACCAAATTATCAAAATAATAAGACCTGTCCACAGACAGCTTGCCCCTTTTTACTCAGAAATAAAAAGAAAGTAGAAAAGGTGGCATAATTCAACAAAGTGCCTGACAGAATTACTTGTCCTTGATAGCAGTCAAGAATTTCAAGTTTATAGCAAATGTGTGATGCTTTTTGTTTTTAAATATAAAGAAACTATTTTAAATTTAAAGGGAGAGAATTAAGCAAAACTAGTCAGAGTTATCAATCATAAAGAATAATCCGTGAAAATTATATAAATTATGATAATTTCACAGTAAAAATTGCGAAACTATAATTTCACACTTTTCAGTGACGAGACTGCTTTTTAAAGATTTTCCCCACGTAATACCTCAATTTTATATTTGCTTACAATTCTGACATTGTCAGGGCTGTTTAAAGTAGGCTAAAGCAAATCTCTATTCCTGGTTAGCTCAGTAGGTGGAGCGTGGCCAGTAAAGTCACAATCCCAGTTTAGCTCAGTATTTATATATAGCGAGGCCAGTAAAGTCCCTATCCTTGGATGGCTCTGTATTGGAGCGAGGCCAGTAAAGTTTCCATCCCAGGTAACTTCAGTAGGTATGGTTAGCCAGTTAAGTCTCCATACCAGGTTAGCTCATTAGGTAAAGTGAGATAAATAAAGTCTCTATCCCTGGTTATCTCAGTATGTAGGCAAAGCATGAGACCAGTAAAGTCTCCGTCCCTGGTTGGCCAAGTAGGCAGAGCACGAGACCAGTAAAGTCTCCATCCCTGGTTAGCACAATAGACAGACCATGGGACCAGTAAAGTCTTCATCCCTGGTTAGCACAATAGGCAGAGCACGAGACCAGTAGAGTCTCCATCCCTGGTTAGCACAATAAGCAGAGCATGAGGCCAGTAATTTGTCTCAATCCCTGATTAGTAGGCAGAGCATGGGACCAGTAAAGTTTCCATCCTTGGTTAGCACAGTAGGCAGAGCATGTGACCAGTAAAGTTACCATCCTTGGATGGCACAGTAGGCAGAGCATGTGACCAGTAAAGTTTCCATCCTTGGTTAGCACAGTAGACAGAGCATGGGACCTGTAAAGTCTCCATCCTTGGTTAGCACAGTAGGCAGAGCATGAGGTCCGTAAAGGCTCCATCTCTGGTTAGCACAGTAGGCCGAGCATGGGACCAGTAATGTCTCAATCCCTGGTTAGCTCAGTAAGCATAAAATGAAGCCAGTAAAGACTCCATCCCTGGTAAGAACAGTAGGCAGGGCATGATCCCAGTTAAGTCTCCATCCCTGGTTAGCTCAGTAGGCAGAGCATGATCCCAGTAAAGTCTTCATCCCTGGTAAGAACAGTAGGCAGAGCATGAAGCCAGTTAAGTCTCCTTCCCTGGTAAGCTCAGTAGGCAGAGCATGAGGCCAGTAAAGTCTCCATCCCTGGTAAGCACATTAGGCAGGGCATGAGGCCAGTAAAGTCCTCATCCCTGGTGAGCACAGTAGGCACAGCATGAGGCCAGTAAAGTCTCCATCTCTGATTATCTCAGTATGCACAGCATGTGGCCAGGGAAGTCTTCATCCCTGGGTAGCTCAGTAGGCAGAGCATGAGGCCAGTAAGGTCTCCATCCCTGGTTAGCACAGTAGGCACAAAATGAGGATTGTAAAGTCTCCATCTCTGGTTAGCTCAGTACGCACAGCATAAGGCCAGTAAAGTCTACATCCCTGGTTAGCTCAGTATGCAGAGCATGAGGCCAGTAAAGTCTCCATCCCTGGTTTGCTCTATTGGCACAGCATGAGGCCAGCAAAGTCTCCATCCCTGGTTAGCTCAGTAGGCAGAGCATGAGGCCAGTAAAGTCTCCATCCCTGGTTAGCTCAGTAGGCACAGCATGGGACCAGTAAAGTCTCCATCCCAGGTTAGCTCAGTATGCAGAGCATGAGGCCAGTAAAGTCTCCATCCCATGTTATCTCAGTATGCAGAGCATGAGGCCAGTAAAGTCTCCATCCCAGGTTAGTTCAGTAGGCACAGCATGAGGATCATTGATTGAGACAAATAAAGTATTCATCACTGATTAGCTCAGAAGATAGTACATGAGGTCATGAGAGTTTTGATTTCAGAGTTATGTTGGATTTTCTGCAACAATATTTCTTAAATGTTGTTCTTCAACACTTGGGGGTCGTCTGTATACTGTATTTTGAAACTTTGGCGCGAACCAAAAAGGTAAAAGTGATGTTACAATTGTTTTAAAATTTGGACAGTAACTGGCAGAAAAACAGTTGTAAGTGCATTTAAGTCAATTAATAATTTTAACTGGTTATAATTACACTTCCTTCAAAGTAACATTTTAGATGTATTTATGATTTAAAAGTGTAAAAGTTCCATACTTCTTTCAACTAACGAACAGAAGGATCTTCTTGAAGCAGGATCTTCTTGGATCATAATGGCTGTTCGTTCATTTAAATAACATTTCTGAAACAACAAGGTAAAATTTAATAAAATAACAGAAAAATCGGTATCACGGTGTAGACACATCTATTTCATGTGATCGCTGATAAAATAATACACCCATGATGAATTGTATAATTTTAACAGTGATCGGAAGTATATAACTCATTCATATTGAATAGTGTTACTTTAACTTTAACTTTAACTGCAGTGATAGTGGGTCTTTTCTTGTCATAGAAGCTGAAAAAAATAGAATATAAAACGTGCGATCTTTAAAAATCTTTGAATTAAGCTTAGACATTTGACGTGAAGTATTTTCTAGTGGACAGATTCTGAGTCTGGGATTAGAAATTTAGTGTCAATCATGTCAAAGAGACCTCAAAATATTATATGGTTCCCTTCGTCTTTTTTTTTTTTTTTGGCTTTTTTTTTTTGTTTTTTTCGTTTTTTTTTTTTTTTTTTGTTTATGCCTTATCCTGTGATTAATAGGATTTATTGGCGATAGCACAAACATATTAACAAATTATATTATACAAAATATGCAGTTGGGCAGGTTTCAGTTAAGAATAAATTTAAACACACGACCTCTTTTTTCAGCAGTCGTTCGTTGTTTTAAGTATAAAAAGGTAGCAGTTGGGAAAAATACTTATTGGATATTTTTTATCAGACTGACTGCTTATAGGCAGTTACAGCTTAATGCATATAAAAAGTAAGTAAAATTTAGAAAGTTAGACAGTAAGTAAAATTTTTAATGAGACGGTTTCGATAACTAATTAAACATGAACCTTTGCTTTTCGTCATACTTATATTTGTTATTTGTTTTTCAATTTTCTTACCGTGTAGCTTAATTGATACTTTTTGATATTCTATAGTCTAAAAACTTTACAAGTAATTTTTAATTAATTAATAGAAGAAAATCCATTTATAAAATTTGCTCATGTTCTATCACTACATGATGGAACTGTACATAATAAAACTTTTTTGTTGAATCTACGAATTGTATGTGTAAAACATCTATGTGTAGCTTTACTAAGAACTACTTATAAGTCCTATTTACGCAAACACTTCTCCCTTTGTGCTTTTACAAGCAAATTGAGCAGGAGAAAACAACAAACCAAGTGCTAAAATACCAAAAGATCACATGGAACAGTAAATTTGGGGGTGAATGATTTGTGACATATGCCGTTACAAGCTAATTTAGCAAGAGAAAATAACAAATCAAGTAGGGAAATATCAAAAAATCACGTGAAACATTAGGGGTAAAGGTGTATATACATATGGTCAGTTTGAATAGGACGATTCCAATACTGAACATACTGGAACCAGTGCCTTCATGCAAACAGGCATTAATCAAACATTTGTAAACAGAAATATATTAGTGAGTGTAAATAATCGCTCTCTATAGTTCCTGTATCAGTTGATATTTCTGACAATGGCGTTTGAGATCCCGGTTAATGTCCTTTGAACTTCTAAGGTTGATTCTCAATGTGAATTTCAGGTAACAATTCCAATAACATGGAAATGGCTGATACTGTATATGATATATCTGGTTATTAGAGTATGTTTTTATAAGAAATAGTAAGGACCTAAAATTTTAGATCGAATTACACGCGCATAAACGTTTTATATCAAAAATAGTTTCATACTGACCATATTGAAATATTTTATACTGTGCGAGTAATTGTTTATTTGCTGTTGTTGTTGTTTGTTGTTTTTTTTTTTTTTTTTTTTTTTTTTTTTTTTTGATGTTGTACTTTTGTTTTGGTTTAAACATATTTATTCAACATATTCAACAAAACATTTAACAAGTGAACAATATTTACAAAGTACATTTTGGGATTGGGTAGAAAGCTATAAAGCTCATGAGTGTCCTCTCTTGTTTTGTTTTTTAATCTTTGCTATGCAGAAAATATCAAATACGTATTATAGACATATAAATGAAATTTTGGTGAAATAAAATGCGTATTTCTATTTTCCGTTTTTTTTTTCACTGTAAAACTTTATTTTCCACTGTAGTGAAACGTATTTTCACTGATCTCTTGCAGGACTACATTTGGTACACACAATTTTAAAGAAATTAATTGTTATGCCAAAACAGAAAATTAAAGTTTTTTAAATAAGTAAAGGATTTATTTTCATCTTGAGGTATTGGTCACTCATGAAATATTTATATATTTCCATACCACTCGATAAAAATAAATCCTGTATTTAAAGAGAAAACATGAATATCCTCTATATATTTGACAAATTGAAATCACTTGTCTCTTTAAGTACACAATAATATATATGCAGTCATTTTATTTATAAACTTATTTAAAAATTTCAGCATACAACCATAGATTTTCGTTTTTTTTTTATTACAACAAAACTCAACAATAATTTAAATTCGTTACTTGTTTTCATGTTATTATGAAACCACTCAGGATACAATAACTAAATACCCCTTACAAAATATTTTGTAAATAACCTACTGTTAAGAAACAAGGGCACTCAGTGATCACATAGTCGCCTCATGATAGCCAATTGCATGTGACAGCTACTGTGTAGCAGGAGACACAAATAGTCATTAACAGACAAAACATGTTTTTATTCAAATGCCATAACTCGGCTAAAAATCCTTCAACCGGAAAACCAATGCAATATGCTCGAGTACTTGAGCTACCGATCAACCGTGTAAAGATTCATTGAAATTGCATCAGTGGCATAAGAGGAGTAATACGGACAAATTTTAAAAATTAAAATCATTCAAGGGCCATAACTCTGAAAAAACATTAAATCGAAAAATATTGATGAGATGCACAACAAGACATTGTACTGATCATCACTGTAAAGTTTTGGTGAAATTGCACCAACTGTTTCTGAGGAGACTTTGTTCCGAAACTTTGTGCTTGTTCTTATGTTTTATTTTCGTATATATACAAGTCTTAATGCATTGAATCGATTGCATGTTTTATAACTTTAAACCATAAATTTTTGTCATCTTGTGTTCACCAGTTGCGTTTATGATGGGTTGTCCTTTATACATGTAAGTGTCATATGATAAGATAGCAAGAGTTTCAAATCCTTCTTTCTCATATATCCTCTGAGAGAAGTTAGAGGTTCCTTCACCAGTGATTGCTTTGAAACCTAACTCCCTGCTTAAAGCCACAGCCGCTCCAATCAGTCGACCTCCAAGTCCGATCCGACGGAAGTTTTTATGAACACCTAAAGTATTAAAATGTACAGCTTCATCAACACTGTACCTGTCAAAAAATTTTACTTCATTGTCTTTTTGGTGCAAAAACTTTGAAAGATCTCGTAATGATTCATATTTCATTGACGATAAGTCAAGCGGCGGGTCTGACCTCCTCATGGTCGACATTACACGTACCCCCATCACTTCATCTGTGTCCCTAGATATCATGCAAATAGATATGTTCTGTTTCAGTATACCGTACACCAAATCTTCAAAGTCTTCTACCCATGTCACACCAAACGCCTTACTGAGAGGTTCGTCAGGGGTAAAATGATAACCCATGATATTGTACGTAGCTTCATACCTATCTGTTGTTATAACAGCTAATCTTCCTTTATTGAATTCGAATTCGGCCTTCACCTTGTCGAAAGCCTATAATACACGTAATTATATATAAGGGTTACATCTGGATTTAATACTGTTGAGCTATATTTTAGTAAGGGTTCAACGTTATCAACACATATAAATGAATGGAATTGATGAAAACTTATTGTACAGAATTGCCGCTATAAAAATTCAAATTCTACTTGGTATATCGAAAATTGAAAACTGATCTTTTAAAAGCTATTGAAACTTAATACATAAAATAATAATGAGCAAAGGCATGACATATCATTTTTTTGCTATTTCTTTAATCCGTTTACAAATATAATAATGTTTCTCAAAGTTAAATTTTCCTTAAAATTGCCCAATGACATATATTATAATATCTGCATTTGTTAATTACATAATTTGAAATAATTCATTGCTATTCTTGGAAAAGCCTTGCATAAATAATTAAGTCAGACAGACAGTGCCGTAAACAGTACATCTTTTTGTCATACATATTACCAACACACATATTCTTGTCAAATGATCAAATAGATCTACATTTTAAACAAAAAAACATTTTCCACATATATAAATTTCGTTGAGGATGAATCAGCTTACATTTTCTTGATAATAAACATAAATGCAATTTACAGGAAATATTTTCTTAACAAAAATGCGTTATATAGGATTTTCACCAGATTTGCAACAGTGACACAATTATCACATTTCAAGAAAATTGAAAAAAGACACAATTACCTGAATAACTTTCTCCAGTGTTAAAATTTCCGAAATCATCTTAGTATGACATGTTGTGTACAGTACTGTAACACTATAAAACCAAATATTATATCTACAGATAGATAAAAACTCGTACGTGTAAAGGCCATGAACTTGGCGAACGAGTGATATGATATCTTCCATAAGAACACAGTAATTTATACTCATGGGTGCATCTTTATCAAATAGATGTTATAAAATATTGAGAGATACTCTATGTGAATCATCAATGTAATTTTTTATTTAACCACTATTAAAGATTTTAAGAGGTCAAATTAAATGATAAAAAGTTTTTATACCGGTATCAATGATACCTATGTTTACATCGATGCAAGGGCATCAGGTATTAAAATATAATAGGCCTAACTACATGTATTAATAAGCAATGTTTTATCAAAACGAACAAACTAACATGTGACAAAACTGAATAGATATAAAAGGCAACAACAAATAGAAATGTAACATATATTTGATTGTTATATCTTTACATTTCCATATTCACAAGTGATATGATATCATTCAATTTCAGTTAATAAAAGGTAAAGAAATAATGGAAATAAATGTTATGTAATTGATGCGGCTTGTCACGGTCATTCGCGGTCAAATTGTATTAAATTATTTTGTCAGATTAAGCATCAAACTTAAAGCTGCATGCAAAAGATGGGCCAAAATACACACACTTGAGAAGTAAAAAATATCTCGTTAAGGCTTTTGATACAAGTTATATCACGTAAAAAACTGACACCTTCATATTTGTGTTTATGAGACTCAAAACTCAAGCATAGTTTTTTTTTGTTTTTTTTTTTATTTTTGTAAATGTATCTGACTTTTGTTTGTTATCAATCATAAAGAATAAACCGTGAAAATTATATATTATAATTTCACAGTAAAAATTGTGAAACTATAATTTCACACTTTTAGCACAATAGGCAGAGCATGAGACCATTTAAGTCTCCATCCCGGGATAGCAGAATGCAGAGCGCGAGACCAGAAAAGTCTCCATCCCAGGATAGCAGTATGCAGAGCATGAGCCAGTAAAGTCTCCATCCCGGGATAGCAATAGAGCATGAAACCAGTAAAGTCTCCATCCCGGGATAGCAGTATGCAGAGCGTGAGACCAGTAAAGTCTTCATCCCAGGAAAGCAGTATGCAGAGCATGATACCAGTAAAGTCTCCATTCCGGAATAGCAGTAGGCAGAGCATGAGACCAATAAAGTCTCCATCCCGGGATAGCAATAGAGCATGAAACCAGTAAAGTCTCCATCCCGGGATAGCAGTAGGCAGAGCATGAGACCAGTAAAGTCTCCATCCAGTGTTAGCCAAGTAGACAGAGCATGATATCAGGAAAGTCTTCATCCCTGGTTAGCACAATAGGCAGAGCATAAGACCAGTAAAGTCTTCACCCCGGATAGCAGTATACAGAGCATGAGACCAGGGTAGTCTCCATCCCCGAAATAGCAGTATGCAAAGCATTAGAACAGTAAAGTCTCCATCCCGGGATAGCAGTAGGCAGAGCATGAGACCAATAAAGTCTCCATCCCGGGATAGCAGTAGACAGAGCATGAGACCAGTAAAGTTTCCATCCCGTGAAAGCAGTAGGCAGAGCATGAGACCAGTAAAGTCTCCATCCTGGGATAGCAGTATGCATAGCATGAGACCAGTTAAGTTTCCATCCCGGGATAGGAGTAGGCAGAGCATTAGGCCCCAAAAATCTTTCTCCTTGGTAAGGGTTGAGACCAGTTAAGTATTCATCACTAATTAGCTCAGTACATAGTACACGTCATGAAAGTTTTGATTTCCGTGTTTTTGTTGGATTTTTTGCAACAATATGTCTTAAATGTTGTTCTTCAACACTTTATACTGGTCATTTTGAAACTTTGGCGCGAACCAAAACGGTTAAAGTGATGTTATACCTTATTTAAAATTTGGACAGTAACTTGCAGAAAAACAGCTGTTAGGGCATTTAAGTTCATGACTTAAACTGGTCATAATTTTATTTCCTTCAAAGTAACAATGTAGATGTATTTATTATTCAAAAATGTATAAGTTCCATGCTTCTTTCAACTAAAGAACAGCAGGATCTTCTTAGAGCAGGATCGTCTTTGATCATAATGGCTGTTCGTTCATTGTCCTCAACTCATTTAAATGACATTTCTGAAACTACAAGGTAATATTTGATGAAATTACAGAAACGTTCCTTGCAGAAAAATTGTTCAAATCGGTATCACGGTGTAGACACATCGACTTTATGTGATCACTAATAAAATAATACACCCATGATGAATTTTATCATTTTAAAAGTGATCGGAAACTCATTCATATTGAGTAGTGTTACTATAACTGATGCATGATTCCGTTTCTACATAGTGGGTCTTTTCTTGTCATAGAAGCTGAAAAATAGAATCTAAAAAGTGGGATCTTTAAAAATCTTTTAAGGTGCAAGGCATTATAAGCTAAGATATTTGACTGAAGTATTTTCTAGTGGAGAGATTCTGAGTCTGAGATAAAAGATAGTTTAGAAATTTAGTGTCAATTACATAATTATGGTTTTTCTTCGTTTTTTGTTTTGTTTTGTTTATGCCTTATCCTGTGTTTAATTGCATTGATTGGCGATAGCACAAACATATTTACAAATTATATTATACAAAATATGCAGTTTGGCAGGTTTCGGTAAACCACCAGCACTCGTTCGTTGTTTTAGTCTTAAAAGGTGGCAGTTGGGAAAAATGCGTATTTGATATTTTTATCAGACTGACTGCTTATAGGCAGTTACAGCTTAATGCATTTAGAAAGTAAGTAAAATTTAGAAAGTAAGATACTAGTAGTAAGTAAAACTTTTGATGAGACGGTTTCGATAACTAATTAAACATGAACCTTTGCTTTTCGTCATACTTATATTTGTTATTTGTTTTTAACTTTTCTTCCGCGCAGTCTGATCAGGATCCATGCTGTTCGCTTACCAAGTCTATTACAAGTAGAGAAACTGATAGTGAACAGGATGGATCCTGATCAGACTGCGCGGATGCGCAGGCTTGTCTTGATCTATGCTGGTCGCAAACCCATTATGTTGGTTTTGTCATGACACGGCTCATTTCTGTTTACCAATGTTTGATTAATGCCTGTTTGCGTGAAGACACTGTTTCCAGTATGCTCAGTACTGGAATCGTCCTATTTAAACTGACCATATGTATATACACCTTTACCCCTAAATTTAATGTTTCAAGTGATCTTTTGATATTGTTGTTTTCTTTTGCTAAAATAGCTTGTAACGGCATATGTAACAAATTATTCACCCCCTCAATTTAATGTTCCATGTGATCTTTTGGCATTTTAACTCTTGGGTTGTTGTTTTCTCCCGCCCAATATGCTTCTAAAGAGGATTCTCATTGTGAATTTCAGATAACAATACCAATAACATAGAAACGGCTGATATTATGATAAATCTAGGTATTAGGGTATGTTTTTATACAAAATAGTAAGAACCTAAAATAATTTTAGATCGAATTACACGCGCATAAACGTTTTATATTAAAAATAGTTTCAGACTGTCCATATTGAAATATTATATCAATGTACGAATAATTGTTGTTGTTTTTTTTTGTTGTTGTTGTTTTTGTTGTTGTTGTTGTTTTTGTTTTTTGTTTGTTTTGGTTTTAAACATATTTATTCATCATATTCAACAAAAAAAAGAAGTGAACAATATTTACATAGTACATTTTGGGATTGGGTAGAAAACTATAAAGCTCATGAGTGTCCTCTCTTGTTTTGTTTTTTAATCTTTGCTACACAGAAAATGTCAAATACGTATTATAGACATATAAATGAAATATTGTTGAAATCAAATGAGTATTTCTATTTTCCGTGTTTCTTTTACTGCAAAACCTAATTTTCCACTGTGGTGAAACGTATTTTCACTGATCTCTTGCCGGACTACATTTAAATTTAATACGAAATAAATTGTTATGCCGAAACAGAAAATGAAAGTGTTTTTTCTTTAAATAAGGGTCCGTCTACACCTATCCAAGTCTTGAATGCAAGTATCATATTCTCCTGTATTGGATAGTGTAGACACCCTACTTGAATGAGTTTTAAAGAGAAATTATGTGACATCCAAGAAGATAATTCCTTGCAAGAAAGTTAGAACATGTTCTATTTTTCTACAAGTTTTTGGCTGTCAAGACACTGATAACACCAGTTTGACACAAAACATGTGCCCGAAGGTTTGATAGTGCTTTTGATTTTTATTATTTTCTGACTTTTTGTTGTTGATTCAGTGTACATGCCCTTTGAATTTCAGTAACTGATTACAATGTCTTGGTAAAATGAACAAATCAATACGCTGACACAAAGAAGAGCAAAAAAAAAAAATACTAAAAATGAAAAAGAAGCTCTTTTTCAAGTAGAGTCAAATTGGATTTAAAATGATCTTGTTCATTTAGTGAATAACTTTCATCGAATAAAAAATTTGCATCAAAATAATTTTTTGTCACATTTTTCAATTTAAAAAAAGAATGAACGCATTTCATTTACTCCATTCTATTTTAGCTAATTGCATCATTTTCCCGCTTTTTTCACATATTTTACAGAATTATGATAGTCTTGCAAAGACAAAGGTATAAATTCTGGGCTATTTTTATTTTTAATGAGACATTTCAGTAAAAACTGTGCCTGAAAAAATGTTGAAAGGGCCATTTATTTAGCTTATCTAAATGTGACATGTAAGAAACTTGAATAGGTGTAGACACGGCCTAAGTAGATTTATTTTCATCTTGTGGTATGAGTCACTCATGCAGTATTGATATATTCCATACCACTCGATGAAAATAAATACTGTATTTAAAGAGAAAACATGAATATCCTCTATATATTTGACAAATTGATATCACTTGTCTCGTTTAGTACACATTAATATATATGTTATCATTTTATTTACAAACTTAATTAAAAATTTCAGCATACAACCATATATTTCGTTTTTTTATTACAATAAACCCAACAATAATTTAAATTCGTTACTTGTTTTCATGTTATAATGAAACCACACTGGCTACAATAACTAAATAACTAAATACTCCTTACAAATTATTTTGTAAATAACTTGCTGTAAGAAACAAGGGCACTCAGTGATCACATAGTCGACTCATGATAGTCAATTGCACGTGGCAGCTACCGTGTTGCAGCTAGGAGACACAAATTGTCATTAACAGACAAAAAACATGATTTTTTATTCAAGGGCCATAACTCGACTTAAAATCCTTCAACTGGAAAACCAATGCAATATGCTCGAGTACTTGAGCTAACGATTAATCGTGTTAAGTTTCATTGAAATTGCATCAGTGGTATAAGAAATAATTTTAAAAATTAAAGTCATTAAAGGGCTATAACTCTGAAAAATCATTAAATCGAAAAATATTGATGAGATGCACAGCAAGACATTGTACTGATCATTTCTGTAAAGTTTTGGTGAAATTGCACCAGTTCTTTCTGAGGAGACTTCGTTCCGAAAGTGTGTGCTTGTTCTTATAATTTTTTTTATTCTCGTATACAAATCTTAATGCTTTGAATCAATTGCATGTTTTATAACCTTAAACCATATATTTTTGTCATCTTATGCTCGCCAGTTGCGTTTATGATTGGTTGTCCTTTATACATGTAAGTGTCGTATGGTAATATAGCAAGAGTTTCAAATCCTTCTTTCTCATATATCCTCTGTGAGAAGTTAGAGGTTCCTTCACCAGTGATTGCTTTGAAACCTAACTCCCTGCTTAAAGCAACAGCTGCTCCAATCAGTCGACCTCCAAGTCCCATCCGACGGAAGTTTTTATGAACACCTAAAGTATTAAAATGTACAGCCTCATCAACACTGTACCTATCAAAAAACTGTACTTCATTGTCTTTTTGGTGCACAAACTCGAACAGATCTCGTAATGATTCATATTTCATTGATGACAAGTCAAGAGGCGGGTCCGTCCTCCTCATGGTAGACATTACACGTACCCCAATCACTTCATCTGTGTCCCTAGATACCATGCAAATCGATACGTTCTGTTTCAGTTTACCATTCACCAAATCTTCTAAGTCTTCTACCCATGTCACACCAAATGCTTTACTGAGAGGTTCGTCAGGGGTAAAATGATAACCCATGATATTGTACGTAGCTTCATATCTATCTGTGGTTATGACAGCTAATCTTCCTTTATCGAATTCGAATTCAGCCTTCACCTTGTCGAAAGCCTGTAATATACGTAAGGGTTACATCTGGATTTAATACTGGTGAACTACATTTTAGTAAGAGTTCAGCGTTATCAACACATATAAACCAATAGAATTGATAATATCTTATTGTGCAAAATTGCCGTTATATAAATTCAAATTCTACTTGGTATATCGAAAAACCGATATACAGAAGCTATTGAAACTTAATACAAAAGACATGTCGATATTCTTTTTATTTGGGATTTCTTTAATCCGTTTACAAATATATGTTTCTCTAGGTTAAATTTCTCTTAAATTAAAATTGCCCAATGACATAAAACATAATATCTACATTTGTTAATTACATAATTTGAAATAATTCATTGTTATTCTTAGAAAAGTCTTCCATAAATTATTAAGACAGACAGACGGCCAAATTTATATGATCAAATACATTTCAAACAAAAATACATTTTTCCACATGAGGATGCATCAGCTTACATTTTCTTGATCATAAACATATATGTAATTTACAGTAAAGATTTTCAAAAATGCGTTATATAGGAACTTCACCAGATTTGCAACAATAACACAAATATCACATTTCAAGAAAATTTTAAAAAGACACAATTACCTGTATAACTTTCTCCAGTGTTAAAATTTCCGAAATCATCTTAGTATGCCAGGTTGTGTATAGGACTAACACTATTAAACCAAATTTTATATCTACAAATAGATAAAAACTCGTATGTTCTATGAAAACATGTGTTGATTGGTGTAAAGGCCACAAACTTAGTGAACGAGTGAACTGATATCTTCCATAAGAACACAGTAATTTATGGTCATAGGCGCATCTTTATCAAAAAAGATGTTATAAATATTGATAGATACTCTATGTGAAAAATCAATGTAATGTTTTATCTAACCACTATTAAAGATTTTAAGAGGTCAAATTAGAAAATAAAAAGTTTTTATATCAATGATCCACCCCGGGATAGCAGTAGGCAGAGCATGAGACCAGTAAAGACTCCATCAAAGGATAGCAGTAGGCATAGCATAAGCCAAGTAAAGCCTCCATCCCGGGATAGCAGTAGGCAGAGCATGAAGCCAGTAAAGTCTCCATCCCGGGATAGCAGTAGGCAGAGCATGAGACCAGTAAAGTCTCCATCCCGGGATAGCAGTGGGCAAAACATGAGACCAGTAAAGTCTCCATTCCGGGATAGCAGTATGCAGATCATGAGGCCAGTAAAGTCTCCATCCCAGGATAGCAGTAGGCAGAGCATGCGACCAGTAAAGTCTCCATCCCGGGATAGCAGTAGGCAGAGCATGAGACCAGTAAAGTCTCCATTCCGGATAGCAGTAGGCAGAGCATGAAGCCAGTAAAGTCTCCATCCCTGGATAGCAGTAGGCAGAGCATGAGACCAGTAAAGTCTCCATCCCGGGATAGCAGTAGGCAGAGCATGAGACCAGTAAAGTCTCCATCCCGGGATAGTAGTAGGCAGAGCATGAGACCAGTAAAGTCTCCATCCCGGGATAGCAGTAGGCAGAGCATGGACCAGTAAAGTCTCCATCCCGGGATAGTAGTAGGCAGTGCATGAGACCAGTAAAGTCTTCATCCCGGGATAGCAGTAGGCAGAGCATGAAGCTAGTAAAGTCTCCATCCCGGGATAGCAGTATGCAGAGCATGAGACCTGTAAAGTCTCCATCCCGGGATAGCAGTAGGCAGAGAATGAATCCAGTATAGTCTCCATCCCGGGATAGTAGTAGGCAGAGCATGAGACCAGTAAAGTCTCCATTCCGGGATAGCAGTATGCAGAGCATGAGGTCAGAAAAGTCTCCATCCCGGGATACCAGTTGGCAGAGCATGAGACCAGTAAAGTCTCCATACCGGGATAGCAGTAGGCAGAGCATGAGGCAAGTAGGCAGTTAAGCAGTTTCCATCCCGGGATAGCAGTAGGCAGAGCATGAGACAACTAAAGTCTCCATCCCGGGATAGCAGTAGGCAGAGCATGAGACCAGTAAAGTCTCCATCCCGGGATAGCAGTAGGCATAGCATGAGACCAGTAAAGTCTCCATCCCGGGATAGCAGTAGGCAGAGCATGAGACCAGTAAAGTTTCCATTCCGGGATAGCAGTATGCAGATCATGAGGCCAGTAAAGTCTCCATCCCAGATAGCAGTATGCAGATGATGAGACCAGTAAAGTAAAGTCTCCATTCCGGGATAGCAGTATGCAGATCATGAGGCCAGTAAAGTCTCCATCCCTGGATAGCAGTAGGCAGAGCAAGAGACCAGTAAAGTCTCCTTCCCGGGATAGCAGTAGGCAGAGCATGAGACCAGTACATTTTCCATCCCGGGATAGTAGTAATCAGAGAATGAGACCAGTAAAGTCTCCATCCAGGGATAGCAGTAGGCAGAGCATGAGACCAGTAAAGTCTCCATCCCGGGATAGTAGTAGGCAGTGCATGAGACCAGTAAAGTCTTCATCCCGGGATAGCAGTAGGCAGAGCATGAAGCCAGTAAAGTCTCCATCCCGGGATAGCAGTATGTAGAGCATGAGACCTGCAAAGTCTCCATCCCAGGATAGCAGTAGGCATAGCATGAGGCAAGTCAAGTTTCCATCCGGGGATAGCAGTAGGCAGAGCATGAGGCCAGTAAAGTCTCCATCCCGGGAAAGCAGTAGGCAGAGCATGAAGCCAGTAAAGTCTCCATCTCGGGGTAGCAGTAGGCAGAGCATGAGACCAGTTAAGTCTCCATCCGGGATAGCAGTAGGCAGAGAATGAATCGAGTATAGTCTCCATCCCGGGATAGTAGTAGGCAGAGCATGAGAACAGTAAAGTCTCCATTCCGGGATAGCAGTATGCAAAGCATGAGGTCAGTAAAGTCTCCATCCCGGGATAGCAGTTGGCAGAGCATGAGACCAGTAAAGTCTCCATCCCGGGATAGCAGTAGGCAGAGCATGAGGCAAGTTACGTTTCCATCCCGGGATAGCAGTAGGCAGAGCATGAGACCAGGAAAGTCTCCATCCCGGGATAGCAGTAGGCATAGCATGAGACCAGTAAAGTCTCCATCCCGGGAAAGCAGTAGGCAGAGCATGAGACCAGTAAAGTCTTCATCCCGGGATAGTAGTAGGCAGAGCATGAGACCAGTAAATTCTCCATTCCGGGATAGAAGTATGCAGAGCATGAGACCAGTAAAGTCTCCATCCCGGGATAGCAGTAGGCAGAGCATGAGGCAAGTTAAGTCTCCATCCCGAGATAGCAGTAGGCAGAGCATGAGACCAGTAAAGTCTCCATCCCGGGAGAGTAGTAGGCAGAGCATGAGACCAGTAAAGTTACCATTCCAGGATAGCAGTATGCAGAGCATGAGGCCAGTAAAGTCTCCATCCCGGGGTAGCAGTATGCAGAGCATGAGGCCAGTAAAGTCTCCATCCTGGGATAGCAGTATGCAGAGCATGAGACCAGTAAAGTCTCCATCCCGGCATAGCAGTAGGCAGAGCATGAGTACAGTAGAGTTTCCATCCAGGGATAGCAGTAGGCAGAGCATAAGGCAAGTAAAGTCTCAATCTCTGTTTAGCTCAGTAGGCAGAGCATGATGTCACAAAAATCTGTGTCCCAGGTAAAGTCTCCATCTCGGGAAAACAGTATGCAGAGCATTGGGGCAGTAAAGTCTCCATCCCGGGATAGCAGTACGCAGAGCATTAGGCCAGTAAAGTCTCCATCCCGGGATACCAGTAGGCAGAGCATGAAACCAATAAAGTGTCCATCCCGGGATAGCAGTAGGCAGAGCATGAGACCAGTAAAGTCTTCATCCCGGGATAGTAGTAGGCAGAGCATGAGTACAGTAGAGTTTCCATCCAGGGATAGCAGTAGGCAGAGCATAAGGCAAGTAAAGTCTCAATCTCTGTTTAGCTCAGTAGGCAGAGCATGATGTCACAAAAATCTGTGTCCCAGGTAAGGGTTGAGACCAGTAAAGTATTCATCACTAATTAACTCAGTAGATAGTACATGAGGTCATGAAAGTTTTGATTTCCGTGTTTATGTTGGATTTTCTGCAACAATATGTCTTAAATGTTGTTCTTCAACACCTTTGGGTCGTCTGTATACTGGCCAATTTGAAACTTTGGCGCGAACCAAAAAGGTTAAAGTGATTTTATACCCTTTTTAATATTTGGACAGTAACTAGTAGAAAAACAGCTGTAAGGGCATTTAAGTCCATGACTAAAACTGGTTATAATAATGCTTCCTTCAAAGTAACAATGTAGATGTATTCATGGTTTAAAAGTGTAAAAGTTTCATGCTTCTTTCAACTAACGAACAGCAGGATCTTCTTGGAGCTAGTGGTTCTTTTCTTGTCATAGAAGCTGAACAATAGAATATAAAAAGTGCGATCTTTAAAAATCTTTGAAGGTGCAAGGCATTATAAGCTTAGATATTTCACGTGAAGTATTTTCTAATGGAGAGATTCTGAGTTTGGGATCAAAAAATAGTTTAGAAATTTAGTGGCAATTATATAATTCTCTTCGTTTTTGTTGTTGGTTTTTTTTGTTGTTGTTGTTTTTTTTTTGTTTTTTTTGTTTATGTCTTATCATGTGGTTAATAGGATTGATTGGCGATAGCACAAAGATATTTACAAATTATATTATACAAAATATGCAGTTTGGCAGGTGTCGGTTAAGAATAAATGTAAACCACCAGCAGTCGTTCGTTGTTTTAGTCTTAAAAGGTAGCAGTTGGGGAAAAAATGCGTATTTGATATTTTTATCAGATTGCTTATAGGCAGTTACAGCTAAATGCATATAAAAAGTAAGTAAAATTTAAGTTAGATACTAGTAGTAAGTAAAATTTTTAATGAGACGGTTTTGATAACTAATAATATATACCTTTGCTTTACGTCATACTTATTAAATATTACTAGTAGTTTTTATTCTGGAGGTTGAAATTCAGGTCTTATGGTTATTTTCCAACTTTATTGGTGGAGAAATGTGCCCCTTCATGCATGATTCCATTTAGGGATAAGCACTTACATAGAACCATCGATCATCAGATAAAGAACCTTGCACTCCGTTAGGGACAATTAAGTAGTTCAAATCAGTGAACTTAACCACTCTGACAAGGATGCCGAAAAAAAATTATTACCGTTTCTACTTTTATCTTTAGAACATGCAAGTCTCACTCTCTACTTAATGTTGAATATATTCAAAAGTTTTCAAATGATTGTTGTCTTACAGTGCCGTTTTTACCGTGAAGAACCGATGCACAAATAACAATGCATTTCTACATCGTAAACGGTTAACTTTTTGTGAGCATAACATTTGTATTTCATTTTGTTCTTAATGGTATAGTTTTCTATTCAAATGTAATTACTTGAAAGAATAATTAAACTTTTCACTGCAATGATTAGTTTATATCGGAAATAATTTGTTATTGCACATATGTTTAGCGTAGCCGCTTTTACCGAGCTTCTGTATTCTTATGAACTTGTCATCAGTAACTATTTGCATTATTATGAATCCGTTATATAAGAAGCTGACGGGATATCCGGTAGAGTATAGTCTTCCTGACATAAATAAGACATTGGTCTTCAGCAACATGTGTAACTTATACTAATAATATATATGAGCTTATGTAGTATATGTATGCAGCTATAAAATTTTCCTACCGTGCAGCTTAATTGATACTTCTTGACATTCCAGATTCTAAAAACTTTACAAGTAATTTTCAATTAATTGATATAAGATTATCCATTTATAAAATTTTCTCATGTTCTATCACTACATGATGGAACTGCAATAAATCTTTTTTGTTGAATGTGTAAAACGCCTATGTGTAGCTTTACTAAGAACTACTTATAAGTCCTATTTACGCAAACACTTCTCCAATTATGCTTTTACAAGCAAATTGAGCAGGAGAAAACAACCAACCAAGTGCTAAAATACCAAAAGATCACATGGAACATTAAATTTAGGGGTGAATGATTTGTTACATATGCCGTTACAAGCTAAGTTAGCTAAAAAGAAAACAACAAATCAAGTAGGGAAACATAAAAAATCACGTGAAACATTAAATTGAGGGGTAAAGGAGTATATACATATGGTCAGTTTGAATAGGACGATCCAATACTGAGCATACTGTAACCAGTGCCTTCACGAAAACAGGCTTTAATCAAACATTTGTAAAGAGAAATATATAATGCTGGTAAATCAGCTGGGCCTGATTATTTACTAAATGAGTTTTTTAAGTTTGGATCTGATTTTGATAAGTTTTTACAGGTTATAGTTTCTTTGTTTAATAAAATGTTTGATATAGGTTACTTTCCATCAAGTTGTACAGAAGGTTTTATTGTACCTATTCATAAAAAAGGGGATATAGATAACCCTAATAATTATAGGGGTATTACCCTTCTTAGCATCTGTGGGAAACTTTTTACAAAAGTAATAAATGAACGTTTAAATATATGGGCTGAAAAATACAATGGGTATATAGAATCCCAGGCTGGTTTCAGAAAAAAACATGAGCACTATTGATAATGTTTTTATATTACATGGTGTTATAACACATTTATTAGATAATAATAAAAAAGCTGTATGCTGTTTTTGTAGATTTCACTAAAGCTTTTGATTATTTGGTAAGAGATGTTATTTGGTATAAATTAATTCAATTTGGAGTGAGAGGTAAAATGTTAAATATTATTAGGTCCATGTATGAGAATGTTAGATCAAGAGTAAAATACAATAATACTATTAGTGAAGAGTTTGTATGTTACTGTGGAGTAAGACAAGGCGAATCCCTTTCGCCGTTTTTTATTTTCTATGTATTTAAATGATATAGAAGAATATTTTATGTTAAATGGTTTTGAAGGTATTGACTTAGGTATTTTAAAGATATTTTTATTATTATATGCAGATGATATAGTGATTATGTCTGAAACAGAGGAGGGCTTACAAAAAGGAATAAGATTATTAGAAATATATTGTGATAGGTGGAAATTAAGTGTTAACTGTACAAAGACAAAGGTTTTGATTTTTAAAAAAGGGGGTAGACTTAGACAGAATTTGAATATTTATTATAAAGGTCAGTCAATTGAAATAGTTAAAAAGTTTACATATGTAGGCATTGATTTTTCTGTTGGTGGATCTTTTAATATGACTTTTGAAATACTCTCTGGACAAGCATTGAAGGCGTTGTATAAACTTGAAAAAGAGCTGATAAGATTCCCTTGTATGTCAGTTAAACATAAACTGGATTTATTTGATAAACTTATTTTACCAATTCTTAACTATGGATCACAAATATGGGGTTTACTTGATAGTCATGTATTAGAAAATATTCATTTAAAGTATTGTAAGAAGTTGTTAGGACTTAAAAGAAAAACACAAAACAATTTTATCTATGGTGAACTTGGAAGGACATCTTTAAAAACAATGAAAGCTATTAATGTTATAAAATACTGGTTAAAAGTTGTTCAGTGAAGTAGTACAAAATATGTCAAAGTTGTATATGATCTTATGTGTAGAGATTTAGAACTTAACCCGAATTCAAAGTCCTGGGCTAAGTTTGTTATGATTTTGTTACAATCTTTAGGTTTCAATGAAGTATGGATTAATCAGGGCGTTGGTGATATAAATTTATTTTTAGCAGTAGTAAAACAAAGATTAACAGATACATTTATACAAAATTGGTATGCAACTTTAAGAGATTCATCAAGAGCAAGAAGTTATGTATTATTTTGTGATTTTGGTTTTAAGTCATATCTGTCAATGATTAATATTGAAAAATTTAGGAAATCTTTATCACGTTTCAGGACTTCTTAGTATAGATTAAAAGTAGAAACTGGTAGATGGCATAAACCTGAAGCAATTCCTTATAATGAAAGAAAATGTAATATTTGCTTAAAACTACAAGACTGTAGAAGATGAATTTCATGTATTATTAGAATGTCCACAATACAATGTTTTGAGAAAACAGCTCATAGATAAATATTATTGAAAAAAAACCCAAATATACCAAAATTTATTGAATTGTTAACATCTCAAAATGAAAATGTTATAAGAAAATTATCTATGTTTATCTTTAAAATGTTTGAATTAAGAACAAATGTTGAATTTTTGTAAATTATAGTACCTAGGAAGGTAAATGTAATGTTACTTTATTGATATCATTATGCAAAACCTGTGCTTCATTTAAACCTTACTGTAATATGTTATTCTGTTCATATTAAAGCAAACTTATGACTCAAATATACAGTAAATATAATAAGTTTAATATATGTTATATATGTTTAATGACCTTGATATTATGTTTCTTTATGTATGTTTGTATATATGCTGTGTGCTCATGGGTATAATACCCACATGTATTTGGAATAAAATCTTGAATATATTGTCATTACTTTTAAATAAGTAAAAATAATCGCTCTCTTTGTGAATTCTGTAGTTCCTGTATCAGTTGATATTTCTGACAACGGCGTTTGAGATCTCGGTTAATGTCCTTTGAACTTCTGAGGTGGATTCTCAATGTGAATTTCATGTGACAATTCCAATAACATAGAAATGGCTGACATATGATATTTCTGGTTATTGGGGTATGTTTTTATACGAAATAGTAAGAACCTAAAATTTTCGATCGGATAACACGCGCATTTATAAACGTATTATATCAAAAATAGTTTTAGACTGTCCATATTGAAATATTTTATCAATGTACGAGTAATTGTTTTTTTTGTTTTTTTTTTGTTTTTTTTTTTTTGTTTTTTTTTATTTTTGTTGTTGTTGTTTTGTTTTGGTTTAAACATATTTATTCAACATATTCAACAAAACATTTAACAAATGAACAATATTTACAAAGTACATTTTGGGATTGGGTAGAAAGCTATAAAACTCATGAGTCTCCTCTCTTGTTTTGTTTTTTTTAATCTTTGCTATACAGAAAATATCAAATACGTATTCTAGAAATTTAAATGAAATATTGGTGAAACAAAATGCGTATTATTTTTCCCGTTTTTTTTTTTTTTTTTTTTTGTTTTTTTTTTTTTTTTCACTGTAAAACTTTATTTTTCACTGTAGTGAAACGTATTTTCACTTATCTCTTGCCGGACTACATTCCATACACACAATTTTAAAGAATTTCTTTCAAATTGTTATGCCAAAACAGAAAATTAAAGTTCTTTAAATAAATACAGGATTTATTTTTATCTTGTGGTATGAGTCACTAATGAACTTTTTATATATTTCCATACCACTCGATGAAAATAAATCGTGTATTTAAGGAAAAAACATGAATATCCTCTATATATTTGACAAATTGAAATCACTTGTCTCTTTAAGTACACATAAACATATATGTTATCATTTTATTTATAGATTTAATTTAAAAAAATCAGCATACAATCATATATTTTCGTTTTTTGAATAAAATAAAACCCAACAATAATTTAAATTCGTGACTAGTTTTCATGTTAATTAATATGATTATGAAATCACTCTGGAAACAATAACTAAATATCTCTTGCAATTCATTTTTGTAAATAACTTGCTGTTAAGAAACAAGGACGATCAGTGATCACATAGTCGCCTTATGATAGCCAATTGCATGTTATAGCTACTGTGTAGCAGGAGACACAAATAGTCATCAACAGCTAGGACAAAACATGTTTTTTTAGTCAAGGGCCATAACTTGGCTAAAAATCCTTCAACCGGAAAACCAATGCAATATGCTCGAGTACTTGAGCTATCGATCAATCGTGTAAAGATTCATTGAAATTGTATCAGTGATATAAGTACGGACAAATTTTAAAAATTAAAATCATTAAAGGGCTATAACTCTGAAAAATCATTAAATCGAAAAATATTGATGAGATGCACAACAATACATTGTGCTGATCATCCCTGTACAGTTTTGGTGTTTCTGAGGAGACTTCGTTCCGAAAGTCTGTGCTTGTTCTTATAATATGTTTTATTCTCGTATACAAATCTTAATGCATTGAATCAATTGCATGTTTTATAACTTTAAACCATAAATTTTTGTCATCTTATGTTCACCAGTTGCGTTTATGATTGGTTGACCTTTATACATGTAAGTGTCATATGGTAATATAGCAAGAGTTTCAAATCCTTCTTTCTCATATATCCTCTGTGAGAAGTTAGAGGTTCCTTCACCAGTGATTGCTTTGAAACCTAACTCCCTGCTCAAAGCCACAGCCGCTCCAATCAGTCGACCTCCAAGTCCCATCCGACGGAAGTTTTTATGAACACCTAAAGTATTAAAATGTACACACTCATCAACACTGTACCTATCAAAAAACTTTACTTCATTGTCTTTTTGGTGCAAAAACTCGAACAGATCTCGTAATGATTCATATTTCATTGAGGACAAGTCAAGAGGCGGGTCCGTCCTCCTCATGGTCGACATTACACGTACCCCCATCACTTCATCTGTGTCCCTAGATATCATGCAAATCGATATGTTCTGTTTCAGTATACCATTCACCATATCTTCAAAGTCTTTTACCCATGTCACACCAAATGCTTTACTGAGAGGTTCGTCAGGGGTAAAATGATAACCCATGATATTGTACGTAGCTTCATACCTATCTGTGGTTATAACAGCTAATCTCCCTTTATCGAATTCGAATTCAGCCTTTACCTTGTCGAAAGCCTGTAATATATGTACACATTTAAGTCATAAATCCCAGTGTAAGGGTTATATTTGGATTAAATAATGGTACTCTATATTTTAGTAAGAGTTCAACGTTATCAACAAGTGTAAACTAATTTAAGTGCATTTGCAGGACTCGACTTGTTTAAATAAAAAAATCTTGCGCATATAATTCGAAATTCTACTTGTAATATCGAAAATTGAAAAATGATATACATAAATCTGCTGAAACTGCACCAAAAAGACAATGAAGTAAAGATCAATATATAAAATAATAATTAGCACATACATTATTAAGGCCTTCTTTATTCCGTTTACTTTCACATTACCGGCCTTAATTTTCTTAAAGACTCATAACGTAATATCTACATTTGCTCATAATTTTAATGAATTCCTTGTCATTCTTGGGAAAGCCTTGCATATATAGATCTAATTAAGACAGACAGACAGACATGTAGTGCCGTAAATAGTACACTTTTTGTCATACATATTACATGTACCAACACACATATACTTGTCAAGTGATCAATTACAGTTAAAACAAAAAATACATTTTTCCACATAAATAATAAATAAATAAATTCCGTTGAGGATGAAGCAGCAACTTACATTTTCTTGTTAATAAGACAATTGATGTTTATATAGGAATTTCTCCAGATTTGCAACAGAAAATACAAGAATTCAAGAGTTAAGAAAAAAAAACAATTACCTGTATAACTTTCTCCAGTGTTAAGGTTTCCGAAATCATCTTTCTATGCCAAATTGTGTATAGTACTATAACACTATAACATCTACAGATAGATAATAACTCGTATGTTCTAGTTGACTGGTGTAAAGGCCATGAACTCGGTGAACGAGTGATATCTTCCATAAGAACGCAGTAATTTATGCTCATAGGCGCATCTTTTTTAAATAGATGTTAAAAAATATTGATAGATACCCTATGTGAATATATTGTTTTATTTAACAGCTATTTGAAAGATTTTAAAAGGTCAAATAAAAAAATAAAAAGTTTTTTTTTATATCAATGATACTTAAGCGTACATTGATGCAAGGGCATGATAGTACATGTACATGTATTTAATAAGCAAATAGAATGTTTGATTAAAACGTAACAAACTAACTTGTGACAAAACTGAATAGATCAAAAAAAAGGCAAAAACACATTAGAAATATTATGCAAATGTGATCGTTATATTTTTACATTTCCATATTCACAATTGATATGAATCATATGATGCGATTTAACTTCAACTATTAAAAGGTAAAGAAATAATGGAAATAAATGTTATGTAGTTTATGGTGGTTGTCATGGTCATTCGCGGTTAAAATGTGGAAATTCTAAAACTGACTAAATTTCAGAACATGTATATCTGATAACCACCGTATATGTTTTGTCTTCATTATCATTCGGATTTTCCGAGAAAGCTTTTTTTAGCGATGCAATCAAGCCTGTTTTTACAGATAGGCATTAGACGCATTATCAAAATTTCGCTGTCCGCGGTAGTAAAAAAAGTTGATTTTGTTAGAAAAAAAATGTTTGAAGTAATTTGACATAATTTAACTGGAAATAATAGACTCAATTTTTAATGAGCAAGATTATTTTGCCAGTTTACCTGTCGGCTATATGAACAACGTTATGTCGTGAAAATTACCTGCTCAGCATTGGTTTTCCGGCAGTTAAAATAAGAAACCGTATCGCTTTCAAAATTGTAAAAGCTCGCTGTTATAGCGTTATTTGGGAGCTGATTTTAATCAGATTGCGGAAATTTTACAATTGCAAAGGCACTAAATATCTATACGTATTAAATTATTATTGTGCCCAGAAAATACATGCACTGAGATTGTCGACTACTTTCATATGACTTAACTTCCTTTGTTTTGTCTTCAAACCAACATCCTTCTGATATAAACATCATTATATATGTAAAAGCAAGAAAATCGTTATTTTTTGCCCAAAAATTATCCCGATGTCTCAGACAAGTCTGATCATCACTTTGAATCCTTATGTGAAAATACCTTCTCTATCACCATATTTATAAACAATGGTAGGGACACTGCTAAGTTCATGCTTTCTAGCTTTACATGAAGAGAGTCCACCTTTGTACCTCTATTTACTGTTTATGGGACTCGCATTTCATTTAGCAAGTTTGGTGGCCAATTCATTTAGAAGAATGTTTAGCATGGAAAGTGATTCCAAACTAACAACCCTAACCACTTCCTCTCCGGAAGGAAGGCATATAGTAATTGCATTAGCACTGTCCAATACAATCTTAACTCAACAACCACTTGACCATTTGTAAGAAACTTTACTAGATAAGATAAGATAAGATAATCTTTATTTATTGTCGGTTTCATAAAAACATATAAACATTAGCTATATAAGCTATTTTCCGACATAACTGACTATCCTTTAACAATTCAAACAAACAATCTGTATAAAAGAAAATATATAAAAGTATTAAGAAGATCAATGTACATTTATGAAAAACTCTGTAAACAGTTAAGATTTATCAGCACATATAAATATGGGTAAGAAAGCATTAAATGATTAAAAGCAAATATAACACTACAATCAAACATCACATAAAATTACATCATACAAGAATTCTATTTATGTACACAACCCTAAAATCAGAAATAGAATTAGAATTTTTAAAATAAATTAAAGTAAATGATTCAATTTTATTTTATTTTAATATAGTTGACCCAATTTTCCAGTATGATGCTTGAGCATATATCAGTAGCAGCATGTGATATATACTCAATCATGAAAATATGGGTGTAACTAAAACATGTACAAGTATCATAATAAAACTTGAAATGTTTGTGTAACAGTTGCTGATCTGAGCTGGCCTAGATAAATTCATGGTCTAAGTTAATTAATTAATTAATTAGAACCAAAATAAAATAAAAGTAGAAATAAAAAGGTAAAAAATAGACTTTAAGAAGCTATTGTCCCCTTAATGGGATATATGAAAAGCTGATCAGCAGCTGCCACACATACAAACACTAACATGCACTGACAAATGACTATACAAATATACACACAAGAAGCACATGAAAAGCATTACATGATAATTACATGAAAAACAGGCCTTATACAGCATTTCTTTATGGCAGACAAGAATACAGAAAAAACAAAAGAAGAAACAAAAGAAGCATGCAGATTCACTTGATTCACATTTCAAAACTCAACAAAAAACATAACACTTAGGCACACATAGAACATTTGCATTTGAAGCCACTCCAGGTTTGGATAAGCCTCCGAAATTCACCGTAATCAGTTTCTGTTCTTAGTTCATTCGGGAGGCTATTCCAGACCTGGGTGGCCTCATAGCGAATGAACAATCAATCCAATCAAGTAATCAGGTAAACCACACAACCTATAACCGTGATATATTCTCTGAAGACAGATATCCTCACAAATGCAAATCGAACCAATTTACTTTTGCAAAAGAAATACAGATCAGTCCTCTGGAGTCAATTTTCTACCACACTAGAGACCGTAGGAGCCGTCTGGCTCAAGCTTTACAACCACAAAAATGCCATAGACTTTTACTAATAATTCTAGCCGGTGATATCGCAACCAACCCAGGACCTACAAAATTTCCATGCGGTGTCTGTGCAAAACCAGTGGCTAAAAACCATCGAGCCTTGCAATGTGAATCATGTGAATTCTGGATTCATATAAAATGTGGGAATGTGACACCAGCAAAGTACATACTACTTGGCAACCTAGACGACGCATGGCTATGTAAAACATGTAATGATGTATCAATAAACCAGAAATGTACACATTCAGCTTACAAACAAGATACAAATTGTATAAATGGATTTACTGAACCAAATATAAGTGAGCAGAACACAAACATCGAACCTACATTGAACCTTGAACAACCTATAAATCATGAAACTTCTACCTGTTTTAATATGAATAACATTAATGACAGTCTTATATTCCAGCAAGGAGATCTCAGCTTTAACTCAACTTTTTCTTGTGTCTCTGAACAAAACCCCGATGAAGAACATAATAACCACTCGTTCCAAGATGACATGAATACCTCAACAAACACAGATGTAGATCACTTGAATGAACTCAAAAACCTCAGAAAAGCGAATTCAAAAAGACCTCTTATTTCACATCTAAATATTAATAGTGAGAAGAACAAATTTACAGAAATAAATGATATTTTATCAGAAAAGCTTGTTGATATGTTAATACTACTAAACTTGATAACTCGTACAATAATAATATTTATAATTTTCCAGGTTATAAGATGGAGAGAAAAGATAGAAACAAACATGGTGGTGGGATTTTGATATATGTAAGAGATAACCTACCTTTTAGAAGGAGGAAAGAATTTGAATGTGAGTCTTTAGAATCAATGTGTTTTGAGCTTTGTATGGCAAAACGAAAATGGGGTATTTTAGCTATTTACAAACCCCCAAATACAAAAGATAATGTTTTTATTGAAAATATTACTGTTTCTTTAGACAAATTATTCTTAAACTATGACCATATTTTAACAATAGGTGACTTGAACTATGACTTAAACCTGACAAATGTAAACCCCTCACTCAAATATGTGACACATATAACTTAAATAATGTTATTAAAGGACCAACATGCCAAATGAAAAACTGTGAGCCATCATAATTATTTAGATGTTATTCTGAAATGATTGTCATCATACACGTTTCATTTGTGCTTACGATTTTGTAATTTTTGAAGATTCTTACATATTGTTTGTTTGTAGCATTTATCCTCATCTATGTGGCAACGTCTTCAACATTTATAAACAGAGAAATCTCGTGGAGGGAATCATTTACCGTACTGTTTTCCTTCTATACTTGCTGCTTTACCTATTTGCCTCTTGCTGGAGCGTGTAACGCCAATATGGATGAAAACGAACATTGCATTTCGGAGAGAATGTCATTTTACAGTAACAGCTCTTGTTCCGAATCTGTGTGTATTTCTTTTTTATTAATTAACTATCAAAATTGTTGATAATCAAATAAGGGAACTAGTACACCAGAAAGTAAGTTATAATCTTTATTTTACATTTTTTACATGTATATCAAATTATGATGAACATTTTCAACAAAAAAATGTACATAAATCAAATTTTCAGCTTGTCACAGGCTTTCTTCTAAACATTTTCATACTTTTAAAATATCTTTATATTAAGTGTCACTGGTACATTGTTGGAACATAAAAATGTGAAGAAATCTACAAGAACAGAAAACAATCACAGCATGATGAAGGTTTGTTAGTCTATTACTTTACTGAAGCATGTTTTAATGAGCAAATCTGTGTGTTCTAGAAAGTGAAAAGGGGTGTCTGATATAAAGTACAAATTTTTCACAGCACATTAAATAACGGGGTAAAATTTTCAAAACAAGCATATTATCTTTTATAATCCATGTAAAACTTTTATTTATCAACACTTTTGATCTTTCTTTTTGCCTTTATTTGGTTTTTTGATAATTTTAACACAAAAAACAATTTTAATGTTTTCAAGGGGTCTGTTTTTCATTAAAAGTTCTTAACAACCAACCAAACAAAAGACAAATTTTTTTAAAGCAACAAAAAATAATTGACTCAAGTTAAAGAAGACAATTAATAAAACATATTAGTTCATCTGTATTGGGTAACATTTCTGAAAAAAAAAACCAAACAATCCAAAAAAATCCAGACCTAAATCTTAAATAGAAACATCAAAATCAAAACATAGGTGTATGAAAATAAAATAATTTATACAAGTCACATTTCAAAATCAAAATAACATACACTCTGATATTAACCTAAAATAGCTAAAACAATAAACTTTTAGTTTGGAAAAAAAAAAATTAAACCAAAGTGTAAATGAGCCGCGTCATGACAAAACCAACAAAGTGTGTTTGCAACCAGCATGGATCCAGTCCAGCCTGCGCATCCGTGCAGTCTGATCAGGATCCATGCTGTTCGCTTACAAACCCTATTACAAGTAGAGAAACTGATAGCGAACAGCATGGATCCTGATCAGACTGCGCGAATGCACAGGCTGGTCTGGATCCATGCTGGTCGCAAACCCATTATGTTGGTTTTGTCGTGATGCGGCTCAAATCTGTTATTTCTCATTCAATAACCATTCATAAGTTACAATATCAAAAATTATCAACAAGTATACACAGAATAAAAATTGTTTTGATACAACTTACATTTCAGCAACTTGATGCTCAGCATTACAGCATTATCGATACTATGATATTGCAAGCCTCTACTCTATACGGAAAATATTTGTATGTATTGACATGTTAAAATACGATTCTTTACATTTATAATAGCATTCCAACAATTTAACATTTCAGTATTGGAGCTAAGACTCTGCCTTCTTCTGAACTTTAATTGTAAATTATCCTGTGTGTTTTTTCTTCACTCCACAAAGCCTTAAAATTCATCAGTACCATTCTGAGCCAATAAACATGATTTAGCTGTATTCTAAAGAAACATGATCTAATCATATATTAAAGAAAAACATGATTTTTATTACATACATTAAAAAGCCTACACAAAAAAATGTCATTCATACAAAAAACGTGCAATAACAACAATATTTATTAAATAAGAAAACCAATATTTTCATGTATTCTATCATTCACAGTCATACACTACGAGTATTGCATGATTTTGGTCATTTTGTATTGTCTTCACAGATATACATTTCATCTTACATAGAGCATGAGCAGGGTACATAATTTATGTTGAAAAAACTGTTTGCTCTAAACTAATTGTTTCTTTGTTCCTTTTTTTTTCGGTAATAACTCATGAAAAAATAATAATTGAACACCAACCTGTTGAATACAATTTATTACTGATTCAGTATAAAATTGTCCACTGCAGTAAAAATTGTTGTACTTTGATCATCAGTTCTTTACAGAATGCTCATAAATTCAAAAATTTACAGAATAAACTGTTCATCAAGCCAATTACTGAATGTAAAACTCTCTTACATGCCAGTATTTATATGCTCAAATTCAAAAGTTTATCGTATAATCAGGCCGCCAGCCTATACAAATATATTACATAATACATGCTCACAAATTAAACGATCAATTTATTTTAAGTTCAGCACAAATTGCTTACCAATTTAACAAATGGCTATGTCAATTAGGACTAAATTGCCCTGTGTTGTAAAAGGCCCTAGATTTACTATTATCAATTATACAGTTCATTTTCATTATAAAACAACATTTTTCAAATGTGCTGTTTGGTGCTTAAACAAGTATGAATAGCAATAGTCTGGAAAAAATAAATCTTAGATATTACAAGTATATACATATTGCACCATGCTGATTTCCACATACTCTCTCTGTCTCTCACTATACATAATGCAAACATAATATGAAGTGCCCCAATCTTTACTGAGGACAATATAAAATGAGTAAAAGGGTAAAAATTAATCTTTCTTTTTTGTTGACAACTAAGACCTTGACCTACAAATTGGTCTTCATAAAGCATCCATTACTTTTTTCCAGCAAACTCACCCTGTTCTTTGAATTTTGAAAAAAAAAGTTAAAAAATTAATTACACAACATTACCACTTTTCTGGAAAAAAAAAGGAATACAAAAATGAATTTCACATATTAGTATTTGAATGGTTAATTATGGACAATAAATATCTTTGACTTTTATTTCTATAAACATATAGGACTTCACACAAATATACAGATAAATCTGCCAATGACTCTAGATGAATATTACAAAATATGTCAAGAAAAAAAAAATCGACTTGTTTTTCGCTATAAAATATCTCCAATATAACGCTCTCTCTTATATGTCTGTAAATAAGTCTAATCCTTTAAAAGAAATATGTATAAGTAATGCTTAAATCTATTTACCTTTTACCGAGACAGCACATCTGTTTTATTCTTATAATAAATGATTTTCTGCACAAATTCAGTTCTTAATATTATAAACAACCAAATATCGTACATTCTAAGATGGCTACAAACTTTAATTTCAACAACAACACTATCAATTAACAGTTACGGCTTCATACTTCAATCCTTAGTGAATGTTTAAAAGAAATATTTGGCATTTTTCCAGTGCCATCTGAACTACTTTTTGTTAAAATAAAGTCTTATAGAGCATACTGGTTTGAAAAAAAAGAAGATATAACACAGTCCTTGGTATTCCTATCAACACCCACAGCCTCCTTGATTTTGTTTTCCCTGATCATTGTTCAATTTTATCTGGTCAGGAAACTCGTTGTACAGCTCTACTTCGGTTTCTTGGGAAAGCGCATTCTTGGCAACAGTTTGGAAAGCTTGTTCCACGTTGATAGCTTCTTTTGCACTGGTCTCAAAGTATGGTATATCTCCCTTTGAATGACACCAACCTTGTGCTCTCTTTGCTGATACCTGTTATATATTCAATTAGTACTAACATTAATTAAGCAACATGTAAGAAATAAATCGGGTCTCACAGAATGGAAGAACTCACTATGAAACCCCTAACATTACTAATACGTTTATAAAGCTGTTACTGTAACATTGAATGTTTTATTATTTTCTTTTCCTTTGCTGGAATCAATTCATCTCTTTTCTATTTTTGCCTAAAATTGCCCTACTATTAAAGTTACATTAAATAAATATGTAAAAATATTTTGCGGTCGTCCTAATAACCAAGCATTTTACTGTTTTATTAACCTTTTTAACAGTATTGTTGTAAATCTCATCAAATTTTGTTCATAAATTACGATTTTAAACGGAAAACCCCACGGTAACACTAAAGTTCGTATACGAATTTTAACATGCAAATGAAGACTATAATCAGTTCATGTAAGTGCTACGTCACAGTGTTATAGTTGCTATACAGAACACAGCAACTACGAGATTTTCATGTGCATACACACTTTAACTGTTTTAGCTTCATGGTGCACTTGGCATGGCGTTTAGGAAAGGGTAATCATCTCATAAAAATATTAAATTTGTATGAAAACAACCATTACGAAGTGTAAATATACCGTTATATTAGGACTGCTACTTATAAACATGTTTGTTGATTTAATATTTGTGTACGGATGACCCGAAGGCGGAGTTTCTCATGTAAATTTCGATTTTGCCACAATGAGGTCGCAGATGTTTATGCTTATAAAACTCATTTTGGTTGCCTTGACACAATTATAAGATCTGGAGTCGATATGAAACCAAATTAACTAATGAAATGTCGCTATTTCTGTTTTTAAGAAATTTATTTAATGTAGCTTTAACAACATTATTGTAAAGATATTGTCAGTTTGTATAAAACCAAGACAAGTTAGCTGTAAAAGACATATTTTACATCCAGTTTTCATTCTGGTATAAATTATTTTTTTTAGCTTTCTTAGCATAAAAACAAATTTGAGAAAGTTACTAAAAGACATTTGTAAATCTTTCTCCTTCAGTATTTTTGAAGATACCAACTAGCACACAAAAACTTAATCAAAGTGGGAAACAAATGCCAAGGTGAGTACAAGAGCTTTCCTTTAAATAGTTGAGCAAAAAATAATCCAAATGGTGACAAATTATAGAATCAACATACCGCCCTATTTTCCAAATCAATTTTGTTTCCTATGACAACAAACGGGAAGTTTTCAGGATCCCTGGGACTGGCCTGTATCAAAAACTCATCTCTCCAGCTGTCAAGGGACTTGAATGTGTTTGGCATTGTCACATCAAACACAAGTACACAACAATCTGCTCCACGGTAAAATGCCACTCCTAAACTCTGAAATCTTTCTTGTCCTGCAGTATCCCATATCTGAAATAACAAAATTATTGTATCATTGAAAGTATGCCTCTATGAAAGACAGTTAATTAATAATTAATCAACACTTGAATGAATGACACAGGACTATTCTGTTTTTATGTCTTTTCATGATATAATGTACACTGGAAAATAGTGAATGTGTCATTATTAAAAACATTATTTCAATATGCACATATATAACATTTGCTATTTTAGTAAATATCAAAAAGAACAAAATGTGAAGACAAAATAAAAAGAAATATGATAGACCAATACCTACAACCATGGCTATTTCTGGCACTAAAATTATAGATCACCTGTTGAAACTTAATTATTAAGTATGCAAAGACCATCAAAACTCTCACTAATTAAAAAACAAACATTAATCATAACCTGATTTTCTTACAAAATACTTTCAACAATAAGACCATGTAAATGTGGCATGAAAGCAGTTCCTACACAAAAATCAATCAGTTATTCAAAAACAGTTTTTTAAAAAGCTTGCTCATGAATATATAAAGTAAGTATCCATCATACCATCCACTTACTGGTATATAGGTGGTATTATTGGAGAACCCTTATATGGGCCTCATATTGGAGTATTTTTCTGCATGTGTGCAAGGGTATGAAGCCCAATGTTTTTAAAGAACCGTTTTGACAACACGTAGGTGAAAGTGATTCAAAACAAAAACTCTCTAGACTTCTGGTACTTAAAATGTGTCCAGTCAGGGCTTTTTTCCTTCTATGGCAGGGGCCGGTATAGGGCTGCTTCCCCAAAGAAAAATTCTTTAAAATCATGCAGTTTTCCCCAAAAATTGGATTTACATCAAGTTTTTTCTTCCCCTTTTGCAAAATATACCATGAATTTTTCCCCCAAAATTAAGGGCAGGGCTGCTTCACCAACCTGTGAAAAAAAGCCCTGCCAGTTAAAGCATCTACATGATCAGATACTATCGATCATTTGAAAAATCAAACATTTGTAGTTCATATGAAAAATGCATGTACTGCTTTTGTACAGAAAATACAGGCATGCTTGCTTATACACTTTAAAATTTGTGCATTGAGATCTATAACTAAAACTGCTTCAACAAAAGCAACCATTAAAGATTTAACTTTTTTCAAATAATATTTTAGCAGATCAACTTTCTTTATAAATCCTCGCACATGTAGTGGATTTTATTGAAGTGCATCTAATTTTGAAGTATTCATTTATAAAACAGTAAAAAAAACAGTAAAACAGAGAGAAAAAACATATCTGTCATTATACAAATTTTGAACTATTATACAAATTTGTTTCTGCAGTGACGGCATGGACAAGTATTTTAAACCAGGAAGGAGCTCATTCAATTAAAAAATTAACTTCCTGCATAGTCTACGCATTATCTTTAAAACCCCATTGAAAAAAAACCCATAATGTTCATTTATTTTGTTTTAAAACAATGCAAGTGAGTAGCTCTCAGTGATCAAATCTTTATAAGTGGGAAGGTTGGTAATAAAGTTTGATGATATTTTTTGTCCATCCTTTGACTGATTTCTGAGTCAGAGATACTGGGTGGACCTTGGTCTAGCACATGACATATTGTCATATTTTGCCTAAAATTCATGTTGAAATTAGTTATTTTCAAGGATTACTCCAATTACAGGTTTGACAAATTAATGGGGATTTAGAGCTAATCTACTTGAATGTGTGATCAGCTATCTGTAAAAATGATATCTATTATATATAGATTAAGCTTCAACATGTGACCTTAATCATGTTGCAATTAAGGACCTACTCATCTGACATGTAGTCATATCCTTAAAGATAGTTTATTTTCAACTTATTAATTATTATGTAGTACTACATGAAAGAAATGTACAAAATTTATAGCACAATTGTGATGATTTAAATTACACTGACACAGCTACACACTTTCCAGCACTACTGACGGTTAGAAAAGGACAACAGGTGTCAATAAATGCATTATTTCAGACAACAGCAAGCATCTGATCTCGGCAAAGTTACTAACATACCTCAAAACATCCGAATAGCCTCCTGTTTAATATATCATTAGTCCGATGAAAACCATGGAAGTAAAAGGTTAAGTAATGTAAAGTTAGAAAGGCATACCTGCATTGTTACAAGTCTATCATCTACCATCACCTCCTTGGTGAGGAAGTCTGCACCTATCGTAGCTTTGTACTGGTTACTGAACTTCTTATTCACATACTGGTTCATAAGTGATGTCTTTCCAACACTGAAATATGCAAATGTTACTATAGGAAAGGACATTGTAAGTTGCAATTTAATACATACAATGTATAATGGTAACAGGACACAAAAGTTTTGTATATTTTTTGGTGTATTGTCATGTTTTTATTATGTTGATCTACATATATTACAACGGTTGAACTTTTGGATTCAGAAACAGTAACTTTGGCAAACGCCTTCTTCATTAAAAAAAAAACCAACACATTTTTAAAGAAAAAAATTAAAACAACCACCCCGGCCTTCATATCAACACACATACACCTAGTATATAGAAATAATATAGTTATAATCCATCATATCTTAATTCTACACAATTGCATGTATTGAACATAATGCTAAAATGTAAACTGACAATTTGAATGTTTGTAAGTGATGCGCTCACAAATCTGTTCATTAAAATGGATGTTTCAATGTAAAAATTCCCAGCATGAACTTACTGCAAACATTAAAAGTTTAATAAAGTAATTATTGTATGACCTAAAACACAGATAGTTTGATTTACTAACCCACTGTCTCCTAGTATAATCACTTTCAACAAAACCTTTTTCCTTGAAGCCATGCTTCTTTGTCACAGATCTTTGTAATCTGCAAAAGAACAATGACAAATTTCAGGCAAGTCATTAAACAATCTACATGCACTATTAACAGTTTTCAGTATATTGCTTCTAGAAATTTTGTAACTTAAAAAATATGAATTTCTTACTCGATGAACTTCTAATTAAGTGTGATATAATATATGAAATAGCACACAGCACTTCGGACCTTATAGCATTATAGTAACCTCCCAGTCAGCCCCAAACATAGAACGGACCTCTACCATTGACCTCAGTCAATTAAATCTTTGCAGGCTTACTGATTGGTCAATATAGTCAGTCCTAGTGAAACTTGAAATGATATTACAATACACTAGGTCCTGAGAAATCTGGTATTTTACAGGACCTTGGTGACTTTTACAGGTTCTAAAAATTTTGTGAATTTTCCCCATTTATAATAATTATTAGGGAGAAGCTTTTCGGGACAAGGAGCTTTAATTACCGACAATGCTTCGCTTGGACTGTATATTTCTATGAGGCCCTCAGTGGCAAGTGCTGTGAGCTATTTTTTATTTGACAATATTGTAACTAAAGAAGAAAAAAAACCTACATTTTTGTAACTAACACTTGATTATGATCAGCTAACAAAATTAACTTAAAGGCTTCCTAAAAATAAATAAATAACAGCTTATTAAATGAAAACAGTGATAAAGGAGATAAAGTTAATCAGAATAAGCCATACGATCCCTTACCTACCTAACACACTCATTTCTTAAAATTGTAAAGTTACATGTTGTCTACAATGTAAAGTGATAAACAATTTACATGTCAAAGTACTCACTAGTTCTTAGTCATTGTTTAAAAAAGTGAAGCTAGATTTGTTAGTTCAAGAGTCCCAGGTTCGAGTCTCGGTACAGTTTGTGACACTTCCATAATAATAAGGTTTACTTCTTGTCAAAGAACTTGATACTTACAAGTTACAATGAAAAATTCCAAATGTTGAAATAATTTTCTTTTGATAGTATCCTGGTTGTACTATCTACCGGGAGTGTAAGCCTTATTACGCCCACCATAATATAATACAAAAAAAATCTTATATAAAATAGTTATTTTCTGTAGGAGGTACCATTATTTGATGAAAATAACAATCATCCAAAAGAAATTTTAACTATACATCAAAAAGATAGTTCTGTTAATAACCTCATATGAGTGGCAGCCATTTTTGTTTTTAAGTACTTAATACCAGGAATGACTTTTAAGCAATCAATAAAAAGTTAAAAACATATGAAAATGGTCCATTACTGTTAATGATACGAAAGTTCTATTCAATATTTATCAGTTATCACACAGTAAAATGGTAATAATTTGATAAGCATTTGCACACACATTCAAAATATCATGATGGGTCCCAATTGTTCGCAATATTACTGGTTTTTATATGTAAAACACATTTATGTGAATAGGGTTATTATAAAACTTTGAATTTTCTTCAAAAATGCTATATTTTGTATGAAATTAATGTGAAAAACACTTTCATACAAAAGAATTTTTTTATGTAAGTATTGTTTGTAATATCTGGACATTCCCGGTACAAAGTAGTCCAACTAATTGTACTCCGCGACGAGATATTGTGCTATTTTCGTGTCTGGGCAATATCTCGCCTCTAATCAACGTTCACCACAGAAAGGTCTCCTTTTGGTTTAGACGTTAAAGCGAGATTCTGCCCCAGAACGAAAATATCTCAGAATCAAGCTTTGGCACGTCAATATATTTTGACTAGGTATAAAGTACCTTGAGGATATCCTTAAAAAATAAACATAAAGTATTGTTGATATCTATCATGGTGACTTTAATTTTGCATATTTTGTTTACAGTTACACTTGGATAAAATCTCATCACACAGGATTCAAAATGTATCTCCTCTGTACTTGTATCACATGGCCACAAATCACATCATAACATCATAATACATAAATCACAAAATAGTAAAAAGTAATAAAAAATGATCAATCATACAATTTATAACACAACTATGGTATCCCCTCCTTGCATTAACTTAAGAAGTTTAGAGTGTTGTAAGTCATTATGATATGACATTAAGTAGAGACCTGTGTAGGAGGACATGCTTTGTTTACCCAATCTCAACATAACGATCATCATGTGAGCCTGACTGAAATTTTAATTACTTTGACAGCTGAAAAAAATCAGTGTGTAACAAAAACATCATTCACGCCAATTTATCCTATTTCATACTGATATCAAACACAGATAGTTCACAGATTTGAAAAAGAAAGGAAAAAACGACAAAAAATAATCTTATATGACATCAGCTGACTGTTTTTGCGTTTATACCTTTCCGTTTTTAAAACAAAAATGTCTTTAAAACAATCAATTAATGGTATTTTTCAAAATTGTGGAAACATAGAGAATGTAAGGATCAATTCTTTCAAACAAAAATAGATACAGATTCGCAAACTGTTAGCGCTATACTTACAATATTTCCAAGAGAGATCAAAGTTTCAACCAAAAGGTCCACCCTCAGAACAAAATGGCGCTAGATCATGTGATCAAATGACGACTGTGACTGGTTTTCCAACTGATAACATGAATCATTAAATTTACGCTCGATTTACTTGAACCAGACCAGCGCCATCGCAATACACACAATTTGTAAACAAATATTTCTAAATGTTTTGAGTGTTAATTTAAACTATTATCAAGTGCTTAATTTTTTTGAAATGGCGTCTGAAAAGGAAACTGACACTGATAGAGATTTCGATTCATCGGAGCTAGGAACAAAAGAATAGTAATCTATAGTATAATATTCCAATCACAAAAACACGTGTATTTTAATCAACAGATAATTTGCACGTGCACAAATGTTAACGGAATGTCAATAAGAATCATGTCAAGAAAAACAGAATCACTTTTATCAAGTCTGCCAAAGTTGAATACCATCAACAGATCTTGTGAAATACTACATTCTAAATAATGGATCAGTTTGCTATTGATAGTAGATCTATTCAACTTTGGCAGACTTGTGTTCATTATAGCAAGTTAACAGTTCAGAGTTTTCACAACTCAATTTGAAGATTTTGACCATTCATACTTGCATTTTCAGGGATTTCTGTAATACCATTGAATCAGCCTAAATGACAGACATGCATGTAAATAGTTTAGAAATGACATTTTAATTAGATCTTTTGAGATAATTTTTTGACACACAGTTTTAGAAAAGGATCACTTACTAAACAGAAGAAAAATCTCATTTATGAATGATTTTTATAAATAAATGTTTAGTACCTTGATATCACAGAAACCCAGGCTATTATTATGTAAAAACAAATGCTTTATGTTGTACAAGGCCATGGTACCCATAAATAGGGTACATTCTGGCGGGAACCCAGGTTCTTGTCCATGTGTACCTTCAAATAATTGACAGATTACACAGTATGTCAGAAAGTTCTGGGGTAGACAACACAAAATACTAAAACTAATGAGGTACACTCACTACACTGCTAATTATACACATAGTGTGATTTGAGTATGTTTGGTAGAATACCTTTCTCAGCTAGAAAACTTTAGAAGCCAGGGAAATGTAATAACAAAAACATAATTATATTCTTTCTTTTTAATACTATGTTGTATTTGGGATGGCTGACACCATAATGACAGTATCAGATATGTTATTCAGGGGTTGTTAGTTTGATCCTCAAGTGAGGCGTAATTTCTCTGTCAGGCAGCACTAGTGTATCTCAAACATTGAGTTTACTTGTCATTTGCCTGTCACTGTTGATTCAGAAATCATGTTGGATAACTAGTCGGGCACTTTACGGGGAAATTGGGAATTACTGGTTAGTTACCCAAGAAAGCCAGTTAGGTGGACTCAGGTGGACTCAGTTACAAAGACCAAAAATGTGTTAAAATTGGCAAACATGCAATTTTAGGGAAAAGCTATTTGAATGATATAATTTTGAAGAAGTACTATAAAAAAATATTTACAAACCTCTTTTAATAATTATAATTAAGCAATTTGAATGTTACTTTGTATTTTTTATGCTTCAGTTGGGATTCTGCGTATGAGAAAGAGGTAGAAAACTTTGAAGATATTGGAGATGTTGGTGAAATTTGGTATATATAATATTATTATATAATCTATAAATGGCTTTGAAATGAGTTTCTTTGATTGGTTTCGAAGTAACATTTTGTAAAAAATAACAGGTCAATATCAGAGTATATTCACTGTTTTTTCTTGTAAAAATAGATTTTCAGAGTATATATACTGTTTGTTTTTTTTCCCTCTAAAAATAGATTTTCTGGAAAAAACCAAAAAGACGTGATACTATGACGTGACATCACATCAAGCTTGTTGTCATTTTTCTGAAAACAAATGATGGGCGACTAGCAAATAAAAGCCAAAGTAGTCTATTTTAGTTATCATCATTACAATTTCAAGAACATTTTGAATTTAGCATGCCAATGTGCTCATTCAAATACAAGGCCAAATTGTGGGGAAAAGTTTAGTTTAGTGTAGCCATTGAAGTGATTGTCATATGAATATCAAATGACATTGAAGTACCCAACAGATTGCAGGTACCTGCTTTAAGATAATTTTGCTTCCAATATTCATTTTCACAATTAGTTAAGGGTGTACAAAGGTAATAGTAATTTGTATGAAATTTACGTTAAGTAATAAAATATGTAATGTAAATATCCTTTCTTATGCACTGTTTTCATTTGATAGCAGCAGACATGCCTGTCAGAAACTTAGCTTTCATGCACATAAGTTGATGACATCATATTCACTTCTAGTTGGAGATAAACAGCCCATGAATGAAAGGTTTGAGAATAGGTTGGGTGTGTGATTAGATACCATTGACTTTATATATGAACCAGTGACTTCAGTAATCATTGGCTTCCCATAGCAACCAGTGACTTCCATAGCAACCATTGACATTTCATCAGAGCTTTTGTTAATTTTAGGTTTGGCGAGGAGACAATGGAAAAAGTTGTTGATTGGTTTGAAGATAATGAGGATATATGTAAAGAAGATACCATTATTGACCTTGGTTCAGGGAATGGGATGATGTGTATAGAACTTGTATGTTATTGTAACTGTCTCTATTGCCTTAATTATCCAACCTATTTTTTGTCATTATTAAGTTTAGGGTCAGTTATAGTATCTTTAGTCACATGCTGCAAGACATCCTATCAAGTGTACTTGTACTAATTTGTTTACTTTAAGTTTGTGCCAACTTCTCTTCATGGTGGTAATTAAGCTTATTGTGTTCCTTACTGGACAAACTCAAAAGTCCAATAGGATGGATTTTTAATTGATAGAAGTAAATGGCATTAGCTTTAGAAGTTATGCCTCCCCTTTTCAAAGAAGTGGGGGTATTTTGCTTTGCATTTGTCTGTCGGTCCGTAAACCAAATGGTTTTCCGAACGCTTAGGCCTAGGAACTTGGTATGGGGATTATTCATTACCAGAAGATGACTCCTGTAGTTTTTGGGGTCTTTATGTCAAAGGTCAAGGACAAATTGACCTTGAATATCAAAATAGTTTCCAATTAATAACTCAACAACTCATGAGACTTTGACCTTCAAACTTCACAGGTGCATTGGTCTTGGCCTGTAGATGACACCTTTTGATTTTGGGAGTCAATCGGTCAAAGGTTAGATTGACCTTGTAGGTAAAAACAGTTTCCGATCAATAACTTAAAAACAAATGGGCCCTTGGCCTTCAAACTGCATAGGTGCATTGGTCTCAGCCAGTAGATGACCCCTTTTGATTTTGGTGTCAAAGGTCAAAGTCACATTGACCTTGTAGCTAAATACGGTTTCCGATCAATAACTTGACAACACATGGGCTGTTGGCCCTCAACTTTGAGGTGAACTGGTCTTGGCATGAAGTATGTCAAAACAGTTTTCTTAACAACATCTTGACAACCCATGGGCCCTTGGCCCAAAAACTGCGTAGTTGCATTGGTCTTCGCTAGTAGATGACCCCAATTGATTTGGTGGTCAAAGGTGAAGGTCACATTGACATTTTTTGTCAAAACAGTTTCCTATCAATAACTCAACAACCCATGATTCCCTGACCTTCAACTTCACAAATGCATTGCTTTTGGTCAGAATATGACCTCAATGGATTTTTGGGGTCAAGGCAATAGAGGTCAAGATCACCTTGGCCTTAAAAATAAAAACGGTTTCTGATCAATATCTCAACAACTCATGGACTCTTTAGCTTCAAAACTTCACAGGTGCATTGGTCTTGGCCAGTAGGTAACCCCTTTTGATTAAATGGTTAAAGTCACATTGACCTTGTACGAAAAAACGGTTTAACAACTCAAGTTGGCTTGGTTGATATCTTTTTATTAAACTAAAAATGCTTTTGGTATACACATTTCAATGTCTAATGTAATATAACAAATTGGCTGTCATTAAGAGGCCTGCATGATTCATAAAATTTATGCATATATTATTTCGTAAAATGCTGCACATAACCTTTATGGTCAAAATGACCTGGTGACTAGTCATGACCAGTAGATAACCCCTATTGATTTTTTGGCGCCTAGGTCAAAAGTCAGTTACAATAACCTTGCCACATGAATAATTGGCTGCCGATAGGAGGCATACATGTTTTACAAACAAAGAATCGTAGAGATTTGTATAAATTTATTAATATATTTTACATTGTGAATGCACTCTTATGGCCATTCTTTCACCACACATTCAAGTAGAGAGCTGTTTTGAAATAAGTACTAGCAAATTATTGCTTCTTTTCAAAGAAAAAGTGGATCTATTGTCATGTGACTCATGTCCCACTTATTTGCATTAGTTAACATTTTTGTTTATGGTCATTAACTTAATAATACCCACATAAATTAAATGTATCAAAAAATATTAGTAAATGGATAGAATTACGGGAATGGGGAAAAAATGATATTTTGTAGAAACATTCAAATCTGCAAAATTTATCTAACACTAAATATTTTTCAATTAGTTAAATTTGTAAAAAATTGTTAACATAATGTGTTGAGTTTTGTTCTTAAAATGTTGACTTATATTTAAGATGGCATTGAACTAGAATTAATTCATTAATATTTCAGAGAAAGCGGGGGTTCCTACACCTGACTGGAGTTGACTACTCTGAACTTGCAATAACACTTTCCAAATCTGTGGCAAAGTCAGAAGGATTTGAGGATATTGAATTTGTGGTAATTATTAAAGAAAAATAAGGTTTTAGCATGATTTAACAATCACTAAAGGTATTCATTTAAAACTATATATCATAATTGTAAGTCCCTAACCAAGACCTATAACTATATCATTTGTATCACTGAATTTTACTAAATTGTTCCCCTTTGTTAACAAAAAATTATTTTTTTTTTGCATGCATCTGTTTTATCTCCAAAACCAATAAAGGTTTTCATTTGAATCTATCCGAGTAATTGTAGCTCAAGGACCACAAACCATGACTACAGCTATGATTTTCTTGGTAACATTTTTACTTCTTAACTTCATAGCAAATTGTTTATCTTAATGCATTCTTTAATGAGATGAATGTTTCAATGAAATTCTCGACATTGACCCAATTATTATTTTTTTTTACCTCATTTAAGATATTTTTATTTTAGTTTTTTCTTTCGTACAGAGCATGTATTTGAGATACTATAGTGGCTAAAATTGCGTCATCACTTTTATTTCAGGCTGGTGATTTAATTACAGAGGAGAGGCTAAACCCATGTACATGTTTAACAAGACAATATAAACTTGTTCTAGATAAAGGAACATATGATGCTATAAGCTTAATGCCAGGAGATTCTTTAGTTGCTAGGAAACAATACTTGAAAACAGTGAAAGATATCATGAGACCGGAGAGCTGGTTTTCTATAACATCTTGTAACTGGACAAAAGATCAACTCTTAGATTTCTTCAAAGAAGGTATAATGTATTTATATGTACTAGTAATAAATATCTTTTATATTTCATATTTACAAAATGTGTATTATTTCAGGTTTGATTTTATCATCTTCAATGCTATTATTCCATTTTAAGTTTGACTATGCAGAGTATATGAAGGGCTTAAAATTTGGCTTTCTTACTCATCCTGACGTAGGTGTCCACATCCAGATTTCTGATTAAAGTTTTGGTGGGGTAAAATGTTTTTTTTACTGTAATGTGCATTTATCTTTAAGTCATCTACTTTTAATATAATTATGTTCCCTATCATGAATTACATCATGTGAGCAAAGTTTATAACTATAGAAGCAATATTTCCAGAATTTTCTCCCTTTTCCATAAAAATGTTCTTAGACACATTATATATGCATTTGTCCATACAGCAATGGGGAAAATTTTAGACTTGATTTTGTGTATTTTTTTTTTGTTTTAACAAAATCATACTGTTTTCAAATTTTCTAATAAAAAAAGCTTTTCTGATGCACAACATGTCACAGAGCTTCAAGAGGGATTAGAATAAACGTTTAACTGAAGTGATAGTGCCATGTTTGAATTTCATATTCTTTTTTTATCATTATCTAATTTTATCTACATAATAAATAACGTGCCAATGAGCCAGTCTATAGTCGATCGTTCTAAAACTTAACCGTTGAGAGAGGTAATGACTGAGGCAGTGTCACTCACTTCATTTGCTTCGCCTCTGTTGAAGTTTGGCTCCGCCTTAAATTGTCGCCAAATTTAATATGATGCTCCGTATGCTAGCATTTAGTCTTTGTTGTCAGGGCGGAAGGAACCAGGAAAACTTTGATCAATATCACTTGTCGAATCATTAAATTACAAAATACAAAGCCTAAACCACACCCACTATCAGAGAGGCGGTTACTCTCCTCAACCGCCAGGTTAACGCTACGGCCAGTAAGAGTTGATCACTGCAAAATAGTTCGTCCTCAAAATCATTCGAACATTATGCAATTCGTACCAATATTTAAATGGACATATTCTCGGCAAATATTGTCCTGAATTTATTTTTAGTATACCAATCATTTCAATTTTACTTGTTATCCAATTTATTTTGCTTCGACCGTTTCAATCTTTGTTGCAACAGACAAACATTTCAGAATTTCAGACATGGCATTACTTTGTGAATTTATGCATTAGGTTCTACTTTTTCACAAAAATATGCAACTTAATTATTAAACAACGAGCACATACCAAGAACATGGAGAAAAAAAACTGATTTGCGCTTCGAATATTCAACTGTAATAGAGAACGATTTTCAATGCTGATTGACTGTTCACATCATTTGGCGGCATCTTTGATGTGCAGCATGTTTTAAGCTCACCTGTCACAAATTGACATGGTGAGCTTTTTCCGGCGTCCGTAAACTTTTACTTTAAACGACATCTCCTCAAAAACCGCTAAGCCAATTTTATCCAAACTTCACAGGAATGGTCCTTTGGTGGTCACCCTTAAAAATTGTTCAAAGAATTTAATTCCATGCAGAACTCTGATTGCCATGGCAACCAAAAGAAAAAAACTTAAAATATCTTCTTTTAAAAAACCCAAAGAGGTAGATATTTGGCATGAAACATCTTCTTGTGAGTGTCTATCAATTTTGTTCAAATAAAAGCCCTGGGGTCAAATTTGGCCCCGCCCCAGGGGGGTCATTGCTTTTCCTTATATGTATAAAGTAAAAACTTAAAATATCTTCTTTTAAACGACCCAAAGAGGTAGATATTTGGCATGAAACATCTTCTTGTGAGTGTCTTTCAATTTTGTTCAAATAAAAGCCCTGGGGTCAAAATTGGCCCCACCCCGGGGGTCATTGATTTTCCTTATATGTATAGTATAGTAAAAACTTAAAAAATCTTTTAAGAAACTGAAAGAGTTAGGGCTTAAATATTTGGCATGAAACATCTTCTAGAGAGTGTCTATCAAGTATGTTAAAATAAAAGCCCTGTGGTCAAATTTAGCCCTGACCCGGGGGTCATTGATTTTCCTTATATGTATACAGTAAAAACTTAAAAAATCTTCTTTTAAAAAAACCCAAAGAGTTGGAGCTTAGATATTAAGCATGAAACATCTTCTGGTGAGTGTCTACCAAGTTTGTTCAAATAAAAGCCCTGGGATTAAAATTGATCCCGCCCCGGGGGTACCGATTTTCTTTATATATCTATAGTAAAAACTTAAAAATCTTCTTTTAAATAGCCCATAGAGCTAGAGCTAAGATATTAAGCATGAATCATCTTCTAGTGAGTGTCTACCAAATTTGTTCAAATAAAAGCCCCAGGGTTAAATTGGCCCCACCTCGGGGTCTGATTTTCTTTATATGTCTATAGTAAAAACTTAAAAAATCTTCTTTTTAAAACCCCAAAGAGCTAGAGCTTAGATATTTATCATGAAACATCTTTTAATTGGTGTCTCCCAGTTGGTTTTTAACTTTCTTTAAATGGTATCAATATTAGATTTAAGACAGTTGAACTCTTTGAACTTAGAATTTTACTTTGAAAAAACATTATACACGTCTACTATTATCATTTTTGTAACTGAAGCGATTAGCATCAGATTTCAAATTGTTGTCTTTTACATTTGTATCTGCTACTGACACATTCTGATGGATACATTATAAATATTTAAAGAAATATTTCTTGTGATGTACAAACTATTTTTTTTTATAGATTTTTAGCCTAGTAACAGAAAATGAAATGGGGGTCTATTTGGCAAATTTCATCATTTATACAGTTAACAATATAATATCACTTTGAAGAAATTATTGTTTTATAGTTACAACATGTATTGCTATAAGTTAGTGAGGAAAAAAGTATTTACCTGTTGTTAAAAGTACAGATTTTTTTTAAAGCTTTTTGTATACTTAACACATGCGATTGAGCAGTGAAGTATTTTGAGGGGTATAGTTCAAGGTTTGGGAGAGAAGATAATTGCACAGTAATAAGAATCAAAAAATTATGGCCATGCAAATCTGAATGATTTATTACGCATAATTTCTATTTCAGATTTCCAACTTGTGAAACAGATACCTTTTCGAACCTTCCAGTTTGGTGGACAAACAGGAAGTACTGTTACCAGCTTAGTGTTTAAACTAAAAACTTAATATTTGAACAGGATTTTGAAAAATTAAAGTCAATTGAAATGTGAACATTTTTTTGGTCTTTATTTCCATACTATCTGGCCATTTTTAATAAAACTTGCCCAGGAGATACCCGTTTTAACCCTCTACTAACTTTGTTAAAATGGTTCTGGGCCATTGCATATCTGGGTCAGAGAAGCTAAAAATTAAATTTGAAAGTGCAATCTTTTGTTACAGGCCCCAAAAAATCCTGGTTTATATTGTTATGCACCTGGTTGTCTGTCTTGATTTCATTTACATGTCTGTATCTTTTGAACCAGTGGAAGGAAATTGAAACTACATGTACTTGGGGAGAAATGTTAACCATGAGCGGAGTGCAGGTTTGACATTTTGTATTTCAAAATTTTGTGTTCGCTTTGATCTTTTAAACCTATTGAAGTACAGAAAGAAATTTAAACATTAAGCAGAAATATTACTTATAATGAGACAATGTGAAAAACACCATTTTTGGCTTCCTCCTCTTTGTGGACCACAAGACAACTGGTATAGTCATGCCCCTTGGGTTAATAATGGTCAATTAGTTCATATAGTTTTGTATAGGAAAACACATGTGAAACTACAATGCCTAGAGTTTAGCATAGCATAGCATAGCCTTGTCTTGGCATCTACAAATCTGCCCCGCTCCTAAGGTCACTTAGTAGATAAAGTCTTTTATGATAATGAGGAAACACGAAGAAAGTTTCGTTGAGAAAACAAGTTTCATTTTAATATCTCATTCCAAACTTTATTGGATGGAAATACTTAATTTTTAGCTTTTTTGAGGGGTCAAAACCACCTCACCTGCTGGAGCTAATAAGATGCATAGACTCCAGTAATTTGAACCTATTTAGTGGCCTCTTACAATCATGCAGGTAACGGCGAATTGGATTCTGATGACTCAGCGCTCAGCAGCAACAGTGGGGGCCACAAGCAACTTAATAGCCAGGTTTTTACATAAACATGCTATAGACCAAGGTTTTCTTATAAATTATCTCTATCCTAACTTTACTTACTTATGAACCTGAAACACATTTTCTATTTTTAGTAATAGTGACCATGGCTCAGGTGGGAGGCAAAAGTAACCCAAAGCGAGGTCTGAACATCAACTTGCTCTTTTCAAGGTTTCATTGAAATGATGACCCTAGGGGGCCTAAAAGCAATTTCAGGCGAGGTCTTGATATAAGCTTGCTATATACCAAGTAAGATTAAGATAAGTCAAACTGAACTGAAGTTACTGACTGAAAACCATCTGGTTTTGACGCCCACCTGCTTAACACCAATCTAATGACCAAGATTTTCAAATTTAAAACCTGGTTAAGTAGGGGAAACATACCATTGTTCTACAATGTATAATTAGAGGTATCTTCCCCCAGATTAGCACTCTTTAGAAAAAAAGTTTCATTCCAGTTTCAATTTTGGAGAAAGACCAAGTGTACCTTCCTGTGCATGATCTGGCAGCAAAGTAAACTTTATCAAATGAAATGAATTAAACAAACGCAATGAAACCAACATTGGTTAATTTGAAGATCAAAGTCGGCATCCTTTTGTTATCTTTCAGATTTTATGTTGTTCATCACATCCCACTGAGGATGAAATTTGATTCAAATGCAAAACCAAATAGACAAATTATTTTAAATGGTCAAAATGACCATGCCTACATGATATGAAAATGTTTCAGTACACAAGCTTGAATCAAGATACATGTACATGTATAGACAAAATGCATCATTTCAGATTTGTAATATCGGGACTTTCAATCTTTTTTAAGTGCCATTATTGGACACCATTCCCTTAGCAAGCATGGATAATCCAACTGATGGGTAAATTCAGTGGCTACAAGCTTGCTAACAGTTAAGTGGTAATAAAGACAACAAAACAATGTATTGACAAAAACAACATTTAATCAAAAATAACAGCCGTTCCATACAAAACCTCTATCCATAGGGCCATCAAAATCATGCTCTTGCCACTTTATTTTCCTCATCTCAATATAAGTCCTTTTTTATTTATTTCCTTCTTATATGAACAAATTTCTTTATCACCATTTTCTTTAAAGATAATGATTAATTCAAGATCAGAAATACTGATCAATTTATTTCAATATGTAAATACTTATAATTTCTTTTTTTCTTAATATAATATACAAGTTAATAGAAATTTATATATCACACATTAACAAGATGCAGTGTTCATTCCTACCCATTTTTTTTTCTCAGGGAAAATACCTACTTTCTTTATACATACCACTTTAATAAGTGTATGAAAGGCTGAAGAAAAATACAAAATGTACCTTAATACTAACTAAACAAAGCAAAGGGAAAGATTAAAAAGGAGAAAGATTACATTATTATATACTCAAAATTAAATGTTTGCTTCACTGTACTTGAAATAGTAGATCAGAAAATCATCAACTTTTTTACACACTGTGTGTTACATATAAGTATTTTTTAATTAATAAGTAATCCTTTACGAGAAATTCTCTTATTCAAAGATATATTAAAATCATCTTTTACTTATCAATGTATAGAACATAGTAAACACCTTCATGTCCTGGTATAAAAAACCTACATCAAATAACAAAAGTCATCATATGATCCTTATATATACTGTTTCAAAAAACCTCCAAGGTTGAAGACTCGTACGCTAAACCAAAGCGTACTGCCAAAGAAACACTTAAATTTACTTCTCACTTTGCACACCATTAACTATCTATATATAAATGACCTTTGTTATTTATTCAAGTACAGCATAAGCAACAAGTGACCTAATTGTTTATTATTTAACACCACTCCGTAACAATGATAAATGACAGGGTTTATACTTTACTGAATACTAAGAGAAGCAAAAGGTACAGTGCAACCACAAAAATAACTAGACAAATAAGCAGCTTATGATACCATAGTTTGTAAATTACAAATTTACTTTAAAGAAACTTTAGTCAGAATTTTTACATTTTTTTTTTTCAAGGTTTTACTTGGATACACTAATAACAAATAATGACAGAAAACATGAAACTATATCATCTCTCCTAAGAAAAATTTGGAAATATAAAATCTGTGCCAAAGTAAAAAAACAAAATAAATACCATACTTGATGTAATAAAACACCACTGGTCCAATTAAGATAAAATCATAAATGTTGTATGATTATCTTTTTGTTTTACTCATTGCAAATTTGACAGCATAATTCTACATACACAAATCACTTGAAATTAAAAAAATTAACTTTCAACATCAATTAAAATTTATTTAAGTCTGTGAGCCTTTGTGATTGCATCAGCTGACCAGTTAATATGGCATTTATTTCATACCTTAACAGTCCTTAATTAAATTCATAAACCAAACTAAAACATGTCAATTTGTTAAATAAATGACATGAAACAACATTTTTTTTTGTATTTTTTTTTCAAATATATGTACGATTAAAATACAAATTATTACCAATGATTTAAACATAGCATTGCGTGCCTTTAATAGAAAAAAAAACATGCAAAAATGTGCAGTCATAGTTATTCAATTATTATTGTTATTATTTAAACACTACAAGAACAGGAAAAGAAAAAAAAAGGATTTTCATTATTCTTAAAATCAGACACTTCAAGCAATGCTATGTTTTTTTTTTTAAAGGAAACAATGTTTATAATAACTTTATACAATCAATATAAGAATAAAATTTATACGTATAAGACCTCCACTATGTATATATATATAACTACTCTTCAAAAACTTGATTTTTTTGCCAAAAAATATCTTTTTTTCCAATTCACTTTATTGTATAATTTTACTTTTTACAAATAATTCCCACAAATAAATACACATGTAGTATTCAATTTGAAATGATCAATAAATTTTTATATAATAAAAAAAAAGAACAGGGTCCTAACACTGGGAAAAATAAAAACAAATTTAAACATATTTATACGAAACAATTCTATTTTACACAGTTTATACAACATAAACTTTTGGTAAAGGTGCGAAATATGTCTTTCCTCTATTTTTTTTGTCAATCTAAATCAATGGACAATAAATAGTTACTGACTGAGCCAAGATAATATGGCATAAAATTACCAAAATACAAGGTATTCAACCTTTTCCAGCATAAAATTACCGATTATAAAGGCAAAATGTTTCACAACATGTCAATCGTTTCAGATATGCACTTTCAGTCAAAACTACATTTTTCATGCCATCTAACTTAGATCAGTCGATAAATATTTAAAAATTTCACCTTTACCTTAATTCATACTTGTCCACTGATACAGCACACTAGCGTGCTCTCAATAATAAACAGCAAAAGTGTGGTTGCACATTCTATGTATACATATGTAGTAGATAAATGTTCCTTTTAGAAGGAACTACAATTGGTAAATCAATACTTGGAACAATCAAGCTAATATAAAACTGTAGTAAACATGTATATTAAACAATAAATCTAGAGAAAATTCCATTTTTTATTGAGTTTACTTTTCAATCATTCTTATATAATGTTAGATGTTCCTACACTTGTGTGTGAAATTATCCATCTAGCATGGATATAGACAATTTTTCCATTCTTATAAGGTATATGAATAAAAATTTACACAATACATAGTGCAATATAGTCTCCAGGTATAATCAATAAAGTCCTTCACTAAGTTATTAATCCAATTAAATGGATGAAATTCTGCCAGCCTTCATGGCGAAATATAACTCAACAGTAAAACACAATACCTCATTTGGCTTCAGTGTTCTCAATGAACATCAACCAATTTTAAAACTGAACACTGGAGACACGGTCACTTAGGTATAGCTTCTCATTGGTGTTTTCTGTGTATAACCATTATATGAGGAAACTCAACTAACTGACAGATCTCCAATACCAGTTTTGTATAGGTTTAACATAAAAGCCAGGTCCAACTGGTGTACCTTGTGGTACAACTTTAGTCAAATTTATCTATTGGCATTCAAGTGCCTTGCAATTAACATGGTTCAAGTGCCATGTGACATCAAATATTCAAGTCAAATCTTGACAGGTAAACAAAGCCTGCTGTACATTTCTCACTCCATCCCCCCCTTATAAATGTATTTTGTTCAAAAATAATACCCCACCCACCCCAAAATATATGAAACCATTCTATCGTCTTCACATAAACTTTCTAACACAAACTTTAACATAAAACTTGCCCCTCTAACCTCCTAGGATTCTGATAATAAAGTCAAATTACCTATTACAATAGTACAGATATCAATGTATCTCCCAAATAAAATATTCCTAATTGAAAATAAGATTTTATTTTTTATTCTTTTTTCCAGGATAAAGCATGTTTTTATCATACTTATCTTCCCAGTGTAATTGTATTTAGCAGAAATCCTTTTCTAACTTGCAAATTAACACAATTTCTCAGTTTAGATAGTAGTCGTGTGTAAATTGTTGACTGAAAATATCAGAAATCCTAGGACAAAAACTACTCCCAACGGTGAACAATCCTTAAACATCTTTCGTGTGTAAAGTCACAATTCTCATGATAACAACAAACCACTTCATAGAAAATAATGAACAAATATCAATGTATAAAAATAATAGATTTGTATAAAATATGATCAAAAATAAATCAACGTCAGCCGTGCATAATTACAACCCAGGACTACAGAAATACAGTATAACTTTATTTTATATTTATTTGTGTGTATTTCTTACAATTTCTGCAGTTCTGGCCTGTACCCATTACCATAGATACCAAAGAAAAACATGATTTGGTTGCTATGGTAACACTGGCATCACATACAGCTGTTTGTTTCCCCGTTTTGAACACATATCCAGTGCAGTGATGATCAACATGAGTAAAATATATAAATTTCAAAGGTGTCCTTTTTTTTATTATTAAAGTCACTGATCTTCTATGCCTTGGAACTTATTATAACATGGTTTTTTCATCACCTTTGAAATGTATATAAAATCATAAATGATACTTGCTCCACTGTATCATGACAAGGTTAAAAGTAGAAAGGACTTTGATCTGATTAATATATATTAATCACACAAATCTTTTCACGTTCATTACCAAAACTAGATAAAAGATGGTTATCAAAGTGTAATCAAATTTAAAACATTTTACTATCTTTCATTATTAAATTATATCCCCATCGTATCTCAAACATCAGGGACAATTTTCGTTAATGATTTAACACCTTATCACCAAAATTTTAATCAATTAATTAAATCAAAACCAAGGTCATGATATATAGAAGCAAGAATGTAACCCTCCCATTTCCCAATGCACCAAATGTACCCCAAAAATACCCCCCTACCCCACACAAAAATGCCCATTTTGAACATGTTAATCAAAACTGCTCTGGTATTGGACTAGGGCCTAAAAACTGGCCGGATGGTGTACTACAAATTAAGTACTGAGTGTAATATCTGTTGCAGATTTGTCGCCGTGGATACCGCTATCAGGACTCTGAAGGCCATTCTGCATCAGTTGTTTACCTATTGCACCGGTATTAGCCTCATCATCTTCATCTTCAGCATCTTCATAATTCTCATCCTCCTCCTCCTCATCATCACCACTCTTCTCTGCTTTAACAGCCTCTGAACTATCACTGAAAATATTAAACACCTTCTTCTACAGAAATTTTATCTAAAATTGGATAAGGAAACAAAACAAAATCTTAAAAATTTCCAATAAACTTCTTCTATTTGTTTTATACTAACCAATGAATTACTTACTCCGTTATATAAGTGAAATGAAATCTATACCTGTCAGGGACCATCAACTGGGCATTTCCTGAACATTTTCAATACAGAATTTACAATTTTAAAGCTATTGACACAGTATTGTGAGGTTCTTCTCCCAACAGAAGAGCTACTTTGTTCATTTTTGATTATGTTGACACTTGTATTACAAGCCAGTGCAGTTAATATATAACCTTCCTGACAGTTATGTATGGGCTTAAGTTAAACCAAATATTGGCTTGTGTATCTTTATTAATTTTAACATAATTTTCAATATTCCATCAGCATTTGCTAAAATTTTGAGCATTTTATTGTTAACTCTCAAATTAATTTTATTAATAGAATGGACTTACCCAGAATTTCCAGGATCTACTGTCATACCACGACCTTTGGGTGTCTTTTTCTTTCCACCTGGTTTAGGTCTAGCTTTTACTGCTGGCCTCCTGATACCTCTGACAGAACCACGACCCATACGATTATAGAACGGTCTCTCCTGAAAAAACAAACATCCATATTCAACGTCTTCAAGTTTTCATAAAAAAACAGGAAAGTTTCAAAATATACCTAACTTGTTCCAGACCAAAGACCTTTCCACAATTATAGGAGGCTAACAAGCATGTGTTTGTTTGTTTCATTTTACGCCTTTTCTCAACAGTATTCCAGTCATATAGGCGGGTGTCTGCCTTTAATTAGAGATAACAACATAATATTAAAGTACTTACAGGCATTCTATACATGGGCATTAACATTCCTCTTCCAGGCATGCCTCGACCTCCCATCATGCCACGCCCTCCCATCATGCCACGCCCTCCCATCATTCCTCGCCCTCCTCTCATACCTCTAGGTGCCATACCACCTCTGTAAAACATGCCTCGGGCTCCGCCTCCCCTAAAATACAAGCTTAATTATAGTTAAAACATACTTTAGACAAACTTTTTTTTTTTTTTACAAAATGACAATTAGTTTATCTTACCATTCACTAGTACATAATTACATTCTTCATTTTGTTAAAGATATTATTTTGAATTTAATGAAAAAACATACAATTAACGTAAACAAAATGTACTTCAGACAGCATAAAACTGAAAAGAAAACTCTAAAACAAGCAACTTTTCTTATAATGACATCAAAAATGCTGATCAACTAAAGTATGTTTTTATAAGTAAAGTTATCTTTGGATACATGATGGAATTTCCAGTTCAAATATTGTGCCATACAACATATATCTTATTTTTCTATCTTGATGAGTTTCACTAATAAGTAATTTGTGGTTGACTGAAAAGTGAAAAGAGGTAATGAAAAATTCAAAGATTTATCAGTCAAACAAGCAGAAAAATCAGTTATCATACTGAACCAAATGAGGGATTTTTTTTAAGTTAGTATTATAGAAGTATCACAAAATAATGAAAAGGCACGACTGTCACTGAAAGCTGGTATCAATATATCATTGATTATCAACATTTGTTTCAATATTGATTTGCAATTTGAAGTACTGACACTATTTACTTTCTGTTTAATGACAGTCTCATTATAAAAGGCTGTTTTATATATAATTTACCTTCTCGGTCCACCTACTGACATGACTCGAGGTTGCATCTGGTTGCCGCCACCACCACCACCTCTACCCCTGGATGAAGCAGATAGGTTCGGTCCCCAACTTCCTACAACAACACCTGCAATCTCCAGCTGACCTCCTCTTCCATCAACAGGAGAACGTCCTAATAAATACAGGAAAATATTTATTATTATTATATAGTAAGACAAACCTGCATTTCAGTCTATGTTATATTGGTGGCTGCTCTAATTTTGATGCTGCAAGAAACCCTTTATATCATCTACGAGGTCAAAATTAAAAGTGTAAATGAATCAAAGATAATTTGCAGTTGAAGAGTCCATGAAATAAAAGAGATGGATATTAAAGCAAATATAAATAGATGTTTAGTTAACCAGTAATTTGACAACAAAAGTTGCTGCCTATGAACAATTTCAAAACAACAACTGGTCAAAAGTAAAACATAACAAATCAATGCAAACAATAACAATGTTCAAATAAATAATTAAGTGCAGAAACAAAATGTGTCAAAATTCAACTGGAATTAACAGGTAATACTTTACTTCGTCTATCATAACCTAAAATTAAATAATGGGTTAACTCCTTTAAATATTGGGGTGACAAGACTGGCTTTTTTGCAAGTAGTAATAAAACCAGGCACTTACATACATTGTTACAAGACTCTGATTGGTTGACACTGAAATTTCTTAACCTTATTATCAATAAAGCCTAATTAAAAACATGTTCCTTCAACAACTAAAAAATCCCCACAGTCATGTGAATATCAAAATACAATTCAATTATACTACCTTTACCCAATTAGCATTATATATATTATGATCACTTTAAGGTCTAATGACAAGGAAATCCTATATATGTGCGACTTTGCTAAACATAGTTAATTTGACAAATTAATGAATTAATTTACAAAAACAATCAGCATGAATAGTTTATCAGTACTTACCAAGTATGCCTCTACCTCTGCCTTGATTTGGGGGACCCATCTCTGGAGGACCCATGAAGCCCATGCCCATCCCACGGCCTCCTTGTGGTGGAGGTGGTCCACCTGGCATCCTACCCATACCAGCTGGTCTATATGGGAACGGTCCACCTGGACCCTGTCCATACGGCATAGGATAGCCTGCGTACATAGCAGCAGATGGAAGAAATGGTTTTGCAAATTCAAACTGAAGGTTTTCCATGATAGCTTGTCTTAATCTCTCCACTCTTAACACCTGCTCTACCTGTAAAATATTGCAAAAAGTTTTCTTTATTTTTTTTTAAACTTTAGCTTGCTGAATTTTTCAAATGGACTTGTACTGCTATGAATTCAAATAAGGGATTTCAATATCAAAATAAATGTTTTAGCTCAATACCAACAATATAGAGCCTGGTCAGACTGAAAAGATGTTGGGCTATACTGGTGGCCAAGGCTGATCACCTTTGACCTTGCAAGTTAATGGTTAATATTTCTCCTGTTTTGTCGTTGTTCTAAATTATACCATGACCACTCTTAAATTTTAACCTGTAGATAGTTGATTTATAAATTCTGTAACAGTTCAAACTTCTCACGTCAGAAATATTTGAATAAGAAATGTCCTTATTCATTTATGTCACATATTCAAAATTAATCTTAATGATTTAAGTAATGGTGTCTCAAATAAATTTCATTTTTTCAAGAAGAAACTCAAAATTGTTCAAAATACCAATTAGAAAATTTCAAATATGGGAATGCAGATTTAAAATAAACAAATCATATCACAAACACTAAACTTCTGTTAAAAGAAATTTACCATGACAGAAACTTAACACTATGAAACAAGAGGGCCATGATGGCCCTGAGGTCGCTCACCTGTATATAGGCCCCCCCCCAACAAGCTTTTACTATATGCATATAGGGAAAATCAATGACCCCCCGGGGCGGGGCCAATTTTGACCCCAGGTCTTTTATTTGAACAAACTTGGTAGACACCTATTAGAACATGTTTGATGCTAAATATCTTAGCCATAGCTCTTTGAGTTCTTTAAAAGAAGATTTTTTAAGTTTTTACTATATGCATATAGGGAAAATCAATGACCCCCCCCGGGCAGGGCCAATTTTGACCCCAGGGCTTTTATTTGAACAAACTTGGTAGACACTTATTAGAACATGTTTCATGCTAAATATCTTAGCCATAGCTCTTTGAGTTATTTAAAAGAAGATTTTTTAAGTTTTTACTATATGCATATAGGGAAAATCAATGACACCCCGGGGCGGGGCCAATTTTGACCCCAGGGCTTTTATTTGAACAAACTTGGTAGACAACCATTAGAACATGTTTCATGCTAAATATCTTAGCTCTAGCTCTTTGGGTTCTTTAAAAGAAGATTTTTTAAGTTTTTACTATATGCATATAGGGAAAATCAATGACCCCCCGGGGCGGGACCAATTTTGACCCCAGGGCTTTTATTTGAACAAACTTGGTAGACACTTAGTAGAACATGTTTCATGCTAAATATCTCAGCTCTAACTCTTTTGGTTCTTTAAAAGAAGATTTTTTAAGTTTTTACTATATGCATATAGGGAAAATCAATGACCCCCTGGGGCGGGCCCATTTTTGACCCCAGGGCTTTTATTTGAACAAACTTGGTAGACACTTATTAGAACATGTTTCATGCTAAATATCTTAGCCATAGCTCTTTGAGTTCTTTAAAAGAAGATTTTTTAAGTTTTTACTATATGCATATAGGGAAAATCAATGACCCCCCGGGGCGGGGCCAATTTTGACCCCAGGGCTTTTATTTGAACAAACTTGGTAGACATCCATAAGAACATGTTTCATGCTAAATATCTTAGCTCTAGCTCTTTGGGTTCTTTAAAAGAAGATTTTTTAAGTTTTTACTATATGCATATAGGGAAAATCAATGACCCCCCCGGGGCGGGGCCAATTTTGACCCCAGGGCTTTTATTTGAACAAACTTGGTAGACACTCACTAGAAGATGTTTCATGCCAAATATCTAAGCTCTAGCTCTTATGGTTTTTTAAAAGAAGATATTTAAAGTTTTTTCTTTCGGTTGCCATGGCAACCAGAGTTCTGCATGGAATTAAATTCTTTGAACAATTTTTAAAGGTGACCACCAAATGAACATTCCTGTGAAGTTTGGATGAAATTGGCTCAGTGGTTTATGAGGAGATGTCATTTAAAGTAAAAGTTTACAGACGGACGCCGGACGGATGGACGCCGGACGAAAAGCGATCACAAAAGCTCACCCTGTCACTTTGTGACAGGTGAGCTAAAAAGATGAAAACTTTTGACATGTATATAAAAGTAACATTACCTGACCATCACACATGTCAATCAGAGGTGTATTATTGTTGGCTTTCAATAGTTTAAAGTGAAATAATTTCCCATCAAAGAACTGCCATGGGCACACCATATTCCATGGCACTGGAGCTCCACAAACATCATTGGCAAACTGAGCAACTTCTACACCAGCCATGAACAATGCAGCAAGAGCAACTCCACGAGGTTGAACTGATGGTAACTATTGGAAGGGTTGAGGAAAATAGTTAAACTTAATTGTTATATCTCAGAAATCAATAATTTCTTATCAGTTTTCTGCGAAATACTATTCAAAATACCTTATCATCCATAACTTTCATAACAAATTTCAATTGGACTTAATCTAACTTTGAACATCATATTTTTAACTTTTATGCCTTGAAGGTTGAATGCACAGAATTATTGAGAATACCTTCAAATCTTGCATGGTTTGAACATCATGAAGTAAAGGTGAAACACTCATGGCAAGGAAAGCATCTAATTCTTGTCTCTGTAAAATTCTCCCAAATTCCAACATGTATCTATAAAATAAATGAAATACCCAATCACCCAAAATAATGCAAGCCTTAGTTAATTTCTGTTAATTCCTGATATCTACTACAGAAATTTCAAATCATTGGCTATTCATAAAAACTGTTTGATGCATTGCTTTAACTGCATTTTACCTAAAAAAATCAGATTAAATAGTATCTCACACAAGTCAATATTGTAACATCAGATGAAAGAATCACTGTATTTACCATTTATTTGAAAAGTAACAGCTTATGTAAATATCTACTGCATAATTAGGATAAATCTTTTGTGACAGCTGAGAAACTGAGCAAAGCACAGTTTTTATACTTTGTCTTGTCTAATGAAAGAATTTGCAAAAGACGGTCATCGTAAACTTGTTTGATGTTATATTCTTTTTCAATATTGAAATCAATTCTGACAGACATTGGAAATCTCAGCTGAAAGCTTAATAACTCACCTAAGAACACAACTGAGTATCAACAAATGTTGTGGAACATAATTTGTGTTTAACATAAGAGGAGTATCACTATGCATAGTGGTAAGGAAAGCTCGTAGTCGCCTCGTCTTATCTTCAGGCTGCTGTCCCAGCCACATTCTTTCAATACTTGGTGTCTTCCACTCCACTGGCTTGGCCATCACAAGGTCAAAACTAGGTTTCTGACTGCCAACCCTGCGTACTACCCATTCTTTGATAGGCACTTCAAATGTTTTTGGTGCAGCACCTGCTCCATCAACTGAAAGTGACGAACAAAAAATCATACATTAAATATGTTATTTAAGTCAGATTTACTGGAGATATTTTGTCAATTTAAGCTCTCCAGTGATCACCAATATGATGCCTATTAAAGACATGAAAATAAGCTAATCTATCAGACTAAACATTTTAAGAAATAAATCACTTGCAGCTTTCTTTGCAAATATCTGAAATTTCCAACGTATACAGATTATTCCTTGTACTACAGCTTTTATTTCAAATACTTGGGATTATTTTTGCTTGTTTAAAAGAAAAAATTGAGGTCTTGTGATCGCTGCATGGTTGTTGTGCAAAAACTTTAATGCAGCCCATTATTCAAACATTTTAATTTGTATATTCTTATTTTTCCAAGGCAGCCTTACCTCTTTTATTACCCTGATTCTCATGTACAATTTTCAGTTTGTTCAGGTTGAGAAGCACACTGTAGACAGTCTTCCTAATGGAGCGGAACAAATCCATGCTTGTAGGTACCTCCCTTACACTTTCATCTTCAAGTGTCACCACCATCTTTATCTCCCCCTACAATTCATTTAACCTGAATAAAACTACAATTAATATACAAATTTTGAATAAAACTACAATTAATATACAAATTTTAACATTACAATATAAAATACTAGCCACCTCTTTTGTTTTGTACATTATGTAAAACTTGATGACAAGATGCATTTCCAGCAAGTTAATTAACAAGAAAACAAGGGTGTATACCTGTGACAGAACTTGGTACACCCAAGGTGACATCATACCCTTCTGGTGTCTCTCACTAGCTATTCTCATTATTTCTGGGCTCACTTGTGGCAGTTCAACCTCACGGCTTCCAATTCGAGTTTTTACCTGCCAAAAAATCAAGATATGTTTTTCCCCTTATAAAACATACACCAGAAAACTAATTGCAGTTTTCTAAATTTCTGACAATTTTCTATAATTCCCACGTTCCCAATTCATTTTGTACTTTTATCATTTCTCACCTGAACATTACATACTCAATTGTCTCAAATTGAAACAAATCATTTAAGTTTATATAAATGGAACATGATTTTAAAGTATTTATCATTCACAATTACAATTTCTCCAGGAATATAATTTTTAAATCATTTAAGTTTATATAAATGGAACATGATTTTAAAGTATTTATCATTCACAATTACAATTTCTCCAGGAATATAATTTTTCTAGTACTGGCGCCATTCTCAAAATAGGGAAAAATATGCTGAATGAGAACAGATAATTTATCAGCAAAATAATATGATAGATCAACATGTCTTAAAGTAAAGGGCCAGTAGATCTGTTTTTGCTAAGACTTCATTCATATGTACCGATCAGCAATTACCTATGGAGTGTTCTGGAGTAATTGTACAATTATTTGTCAGGTTATTGCAAACATTACCAACTTCTCCATACAAGTAACCAGAGAAGGACTGGAGGACAAATAGCTTTGAATGTATTGCCATCAATCACAATGTCGTGAAATCTCCTGCACCAAAAATGGCACTAAATCTTCCAACCAACATATCCATAAAACTAATATTTAAATCACTAAACAGTATATAATCTCACCTGTTTAGGGATAGGAATATTTGCCTCTGGACTGATTCTAGCAGCTCCTGCCCCATTCATCAAATGTGCTCCATATCCAGTGAAATCCTTCAAACATAAATTTTGGTAAATAGATTAATAATTTAATATAATAATAATCATAGGTAAAAAAGTATAACATAAATCCATTTTGCAGACAGAAAAGCCTAAAAATCCCATTCATATTATGATTTAATTTAAAAGCAAATGACTAAACTGTAACATGCCTTTAACAAAAACAAGAGGGCCATGATGGCCCTGGGGTCGCTCACCTGAACATAGGCCCTCAGGGCCGGGCCAGTTTAAACCAAAGGGCTTTTATTTGAACAAACTTGGAAGACACCCATTAAAATTTTTCATGATGTTAAGATTTTACTATACACAAATTATGAATAACAATGACTTTTGCGCCCCCCCCCCCTCACCCTGGCAGGGCCAATTTTAACCCCAGGGCTTTTATTTGAACAAACTTGGTAGACATCCATTAGAACATGTTTCATGCTAAATATCTCAGCTCTAGCTCTTTGGGTTCTTTAATAGAAGATTTTTAACTTTTTACTCTATGTATATAGGGAAATCAATGACCCTGGGACGGGGCCAATTTTGACCCCAGGGCTTTTATTTGAACAAATTTTGTAGACACCCATTAGAACATGTTTTATGCTAAATATCTTAGCTCTAGCTCTTTGGGTTCTTTAATTTTAAGTTTTTACTATATGCATATAGGGAAAATCAATGACCCCCTGGGGCGGGGCCAATTTTGACCCCAGGGCTTTTATTTGAACACACTTGGTAGACACTGATAAGAAGATGTTTCATGCTTAATATCTTAGCTCTAGCTCTTTGGGTTCTTTAAGAGAAGATTTTTTTAAGTTTTTACTATATGCATATAGGGAAAATCAATGAACACTGGGGCAGGGCCAATTTTGACCCCAGGGCTTTTATTTGAACAAACTTGGTAGACATCCATTAGAACATGTTTCATGCTTAATATCTCAGCTCTAGCTCTTTGGGTTCTTTAATAGAAGATTTTTAACTTTTTACTCTATGTATATAGGGAAAATCAATGACCCCTGGGACGGGGCCAATTTTGACCCCAGGGCTTTTATTTGAACAAATTTTGTAGACACCCATTAGAACATGTTTTATGCTAAATATCTTATCTCTAGCTCTTTTGGTTCTTTAAAAGAATTTTTTTTAAGTTTTTACTATATACATATAGGGAAAATCAATGACCCCCTGGGGCGGGGCCAATTTTGACCCCAGGGCTTTTATTTGAACAAACTTGGTAGACACTGATAAGAAGATGTTTCATGCTTAATATCTTAGCTCTAGCTTCTTTGGGTTCTTTAAGAGAAGATTTTTTTTAAGTTTTTATTATATGCATATAGGGAAAATCAATGAACCCTGGGGCGGGGCCAATTTTGACCCCAGGGCTTTTATTTGAACAAACTTGGTAGACATCCATTAGAACATGTTTTACATCAAATATCTAAGCTCTAGCTCTTTGGGTTTTTTAGAAGAATTTTTTTAAAGTTTTTACTATATGCATATAGGGAAAATCAATGACCCCCTGGGGCGGGGCCAATTTTGACCCCAGGGCTTTTATTTGAACAATCTTGGTAGACACTTATTAAAAGATGTTTCATGCTTAATATCTTAGGTCTAGCTCTTTGGGTTCTTTAATAGAAGATTTTTTTAAAGTTTTTACTATATGCATTGCATATAGGGAAAATCAATGACCCCCTGGGGCGGGGCCAATTTTGACCCCAGGGCTTTTATTTGAACAAACTTGGTAGACATCCATTAGAACATGTTTAATGCCAAATATCTAAGCTCTAGCTCTTTGGGTTTTGTAGAAGAAGATTTTTTAAAGTTTTTACTATATGCATATAAGGAAAATCAATGACCCCCTGGGGCAGGGCCAATTTTGACCCCAGGGCTTTTCTTTGAACAATCTTGGTAGACACTTATTAGAAGATGTTTCATGCTTAATATCTTAGGTCTAGCTCTTTGGGTTCTTTAAAAGAAGATTTTTTTTAAGTTTTTACTACAGTCGACTCTCGTTATCTCGAAGTCATTGGGACCGTCCAAAAAATATCGAGATAACGAAATGTCGAGATAAACATATTAAGGTTAGAACAAAACGAAACTGATTTTTACAAAAGACATGTGCATACTTTATGTCAAATAAACTATAATATCCCTATCTGTTGTTTTCGTAGGCCTAGTCAATATTTGACAAAGTAACATTAGCGGATGTTTACCAGCGGAAATACGGGTGTCTGTGATAAAAACACATAGTGAGGTTTACTCAGTAATACACCAATATAGTGAATCGGATATCGGATATAGTTGATTCGGATATCCTCCCGGATTATTTATCGGGTCTTTCTCGAGATTGTTCGACCGCTGATTGATTTGGTGGTGACGTTGTGAAACAATATTGCAACGATAGCGTTTCTATACTTTCACTATTTCATCTACATTTAAAGTCATAATGAATTGATACAGTGTTCGAATATTTAAAAAGAATGTAAAATTCAGTCATTTTGGACATAAGTCAATCAACACGCTAAAAAGATTAACTTTTATTAAAACAGCTAAACTTGTAACAAACATAATTGTCATTATGACACGTGCTATTAATTGAGCAATTATCGTCTAGATCGTGTTTTTCACACGTCTGAAGGGAACAGACGAAAGAAAACTATAAGTCCAGATAAACAAAGGATAATAGTGTGAAAATAACTGTTGGGGCTGAAATTTTACATCGAGATACTGAAAATATCGAAATAGAAATATCGAGATAAACAAATATTTCCAATATAGATAAAGAAGGAAGAAAATCGGGACTTTCAAAATTTCATCGAGATAACGAAATATCGAGAAAAGAGATGTCGAGATAACGATAGTTGACTGTATATGCATATAGGGAAAATCAATGACCCCCTGGGGCGGGGCCAATTTTGACCCCAGGGCTTTTATTTGAACAAACTTGGTAGACATCCATTAGAACATGTCTTATGCCAAATATCTAAGCTCTAGCTCTTTGGGTTTTTTAGAAGAAGATTTTTTTAAGTTTTTACTATATGCATATAAGAAAAATCAATGACCCCCTGGGGCGGGGCCAATTTTGACCCCAGGGCTTTTATTTGAACAATCTTGGTAGACACTCATTAGAAAATGTTTCATGCTTAATATCTTAGGTCTAGCTCTTTGGGTTCTTTAAAAGAAGATTTTTTTTAAGTTTTTACTATATGCCTATAGGGAAAATCAATGACCCCCTGGGGCGGGGCCAATTTTGACCCCAGGGCTTTTATTTGAACAATCTTGGTAGACACTCACTAGAAGATGTTTCATGCCAAATATCTAAGCTCTAGCTCTTTGGGTTATCTAGAAGAAGATGTTTAAAGTTTTTTCTTTTGGTTGCCATGGCAACCAGAGTTCTGCATGGAATGGAATTCTTTGAACAACTTTGTTAAGGCTTCACACAAGGAACATCCCTGTGAAGTTTCATTATGATCTGCCTTATGGTTTCAGAGGAGATGTCATTTGAAAAGTGTGAACGGACAACGGACGACGTACGACGGACGACAGACGACGGACGAAGAGTGATCCTAATAGCTCACCCTGAGCATATGCTCAGGTGAGCTAATAACATAAATAAATTTGATGTGAAGTTTTGCAAATTTGCAAAAAAAAAACACCAAAAAACAAACTTACCAACTTCATTTCTTGAAATATTTAGTCCTTATAAATACAATTAAGGACAGTATGAGAACTAAGGTTTTTCAAAACTAAATGTGCATATACAGCCAACATTAAGCTCATGCCTACCTGTTGTTGTTTGTTAGAAGCCATCTGTGGAGGGAAGTTACCCATTGCTGCAAAATATTAAACACAGAATTACAAACATGGGCATGGTAATTGATTTGGTTGGGTTGTCACATTGACACTGTAAGCATATTCTGGTGGCAGATGACCCCATGTGCATCATTATATACAGCCAAGTAGAAGCACAGGTCAAAAAATATAAATTTTTATTTCTGTCTTCAAACCAAGAGGGTAGGTAGGTCAGAATTAGTTTTATACATATACAGTGAAATCTGAAAAGAAAGAACAACAGACATCAAGAAAATCAAAACTCTCTAAATATCGTAGACTGTAGATGGTTCAATTTGTTTCTTTCCTTAGACAATTGCATGCCCTGAAAAAACTCCAATCTGTATTTAAACAGAATATTGGACGGTTGATAAAGCATTTTATCCCCTATCAAATATATCTGAATGTTTGTGGGTACAGTACCGATATTCCTATCCAAACTACAACACATGGCAAATATCATTCTTAAGCAAGGAAACTAGAATTCAATTGTGGTCAATGGGAGTTGAAATGGTAGAAAACAGCTATCATAAATGATATGGAGAAATAAAATATTTTCTAATGAACATACAATATAACACACTTACTGGGTCTTGGATTATATCTAAGGAAGCCCTCCTCTGTACCATTAAAGTAGTACTGCACGCTCTGTTTTAGTTTAGAGATAAGATCTAATTTATTTCCCTTTGCTGAATCCCTGCAAAAACAAAAACATTTACCAAATTACCTCTTACAAAACGATTAAAACTAATGTCAGCAATATCAAACGGAAAAAGCTCGAGTTAGCAAGTGAAAATCTTGTACAACTAAAAAAATTATCAAGATATTGTAAACAAGCATTTGATAGTATTGCGGGCAATACAGTAGTCCCCTACCGGTCCCTCAAAAAGTTCTTTAATTGTCATACACTCCTGTGTATTGCCATTTATAATGAATTTGAGGATGAAGTCTGTATTTGAAAATATCGACCACAAAACATAATAAAATAAGTTTGTCTATATCACAGTAAGTTTCCATGCTTAGTAAGGAAATTATGTTTATACAACCTTGTCATATTATTACGATGTGGGATTTTAAAGTAAATCCTATAAGGAATGAAGAAGTTGGAGTGAAAATACCAGTTTCTCGAAAAAAATCTAAGTTCAAGGGGGACATAATTCTGGAAATAGTCTTGCTAGAGTATTTAACCTTCTCAAAAATGTCGAGTGTTAATAAGAAAACATATATATGAAGTTTGAAGTAGATACATTAGGAAATAAAGAAGTTATTTAAAAAAAGACAACATTTTTTTCCCCTAAAAATCTAAGTTCAAGGGAGGTAATACTGATATTTTTTGTGCTAGAGTTATAAACCTTGTCACATATGACGTGGTTGATGACCAGAAACTTATATTTAAAGTTTGAAGTAAACACCTTAAGAAATAAAGAACATATAGTGAAAAAGCTGAAAAATTTAAATCAGAAATCTTGAAATTCAGGCTATTTGTTGCCATAGCAACCAGAATTTTCAACATAAGAAGAAAAGAAAAAGATGTGCATAATCTCCAGACTGCCATCTACCCATATTTCAAGTTTCATAAAAATATTTTCAGTACTTTTTGAGTTATCACTGGATCCAGTTTATGTGTTAAATTTGCCATATTTTCAGACTATTTGTTGCCATAGCAACCAGAATTTTCAACATAAGAAGAAAAAAAAAGACGTGCATAATCTCCATACTGCCATCTATCCATATATCAAGTTTCATAAAAATATTTTCAGTACTTTTTGCGTTATCGCGGGATCCAGTTTTGTGGACGGACGGACGGACTGACAGACTGACAGACAGACGGACGGAGGGTAAACCTAAAGTCCCCTCCGGTTAAACCGGTAGGGGACTAACAAGGAGTGTTAAGTATTGTGTTTAACTTATTTTTTTACACATCATCGTGACATGCACAAATCTATTGCTATACCTTAGACAGCTAAAATTAGTTTCTATTAATTTACTTGGTTATATGCTTCAGTTAAATATAACTTCCTTTTGAATCAGTTCCAAGAATAAGTATCTTAAACTTTACTGTAGATTTTTAGATGAACTTTCCAAACATCATAGTAATATCATTTTTTCTTATTCTCAGATAAAGATTTGTTATTCTTTGATATTTATACCTGAAAATGGCATCTCCAACATAATCCATGTTGGAAATATCTGGGATACTTCGTACATAGTCCACAACAGCACGGATAACATTGTCTGGATTGGGCTGTAAAATAACAACACAATCAGACAAGAGGGCCATGATGGCCCTGAGGTCGCTCACCTGTATATAGGCCCCCCCCCCCAACGTTGCAGGGCCAATTTTACCCAAGGGCTTTTATTTGCACAAACTTGGTTGACACCCATAAGAAGATGTTTAATGCTAAACATCTAAGCTCTAGCTCATTGGGCTTTTTAAAAGAAGATTTTTTTAAAGTTTTTACTATACACATATAGTTAAAAACAATGACACCCCTGGGGCGGGGCCAGTTTTGACCCCAGGGCTTTTATTTGAACAAACTTTGTAGACACTTACTAGAAGATGTTACATGCTTAATATCTAACCTCTAGCTATTTGGGTTTTTTCAAAGAAGATTTAAAGTTTTTGCTATCGATACACATATAAAGAAAATCAATGACCCCCGGGGCGGGGCCAATTTTGACCCCAGGTCTTTTATTTGAACAAACTTTGTAGACACTCACTAAAAGATGTTTCATGCTTAATATCTTAACTCTAGCTATTTGGGTTTTTTCAAAGAAGATTTTTTAAGTTTTTGCTATACATATATAAGGAAAATCAATGACCCCCGGGGCGGTCCCAGGGCTTTTATTTGAACAAAATTGGTAGACACATATTAGAACATGTTTCATGCTAAATATCTTAGCTCTAACTCTTTTGGTTCTTTAAAAGAAGATTTTTTAAGTTTTTACTATATGCATATAGGGAAAATCAATGACCCCCTGGGGCGGGGCCAATTTTAACCCCAGGGCTTTTATTTGAACAAACTTGGTAGACACCTATTAGAACATGTTTGATGCTCAATATCTTAGCCATAGCTCTTTGAGTTCTTTAAAAGAAGATTTTTTAAGTTTTTACTATATGCATATAGGGAAAATCAATGACCCCCTGGGGCGGGGCCAATTTTGACCCCAGGGCTTTTATTTGAACAAACTTGGTAGACACCCATTAGAACATGTTTCATGCTAAATATCTTAGCTCTAGCTCTTTGGGTTCTTTAAAAGAAGATTTTTTAAGTTTTTACTATATGCATATAGGGAAAATCAATGACCCCCCGGGGCGGGGCCAATTTTGACCCCCAGGGCTTTTATATGAACAAACTTGGTAGACACTCACTTGAAGATGTTTCATGCCAAATATCTAAGCTCTAGCTCTTATGGTTTTTTTAAAAGAAGATATTTAAAGTTTTTTCTTTCGGTTGCCATGGCAACCAGAGTTCTGCATGGAATTAAATTCTTTGAACAATTTTTAAAGGTGACCACCAAAGGAACATTCCTGTGAAGTTTGGATGAAATTGGCTTAGTGGTTTATGAGGAGATGTCATTTAAAGTAAAAGTTTACGGACGGACGACGGACGGACGGCCGGACGCCGGACGAAAAGCGATCACAAAAGCTCACCCTGTCACTTTGTGACAGGTGAGCTAAAAATAAAAATACACCCTGAAAATTCATTATGTTAAACAAACACCCCTTTAGTTTACTAAATGTAAACTCAAGTGGTCTGCATAATAGACATCATCATTCATAAAGCACTAAAATTTTAAATTGCTGGTTGTCCAATAGGACTGCTTCAGACATTACAGCGGATAATGCTTGTGAGAATTGTATTTTTAAAGACCTTACAATAAAATCAGAGTATTCCAGGTAAAGTTTGTGTGCATTGACGAAGAAAATACCAGTTTTATTTTTTTTCGAGTAGCTACTGTATAAAATAGATTAGGACCCACACTGCAAATTTGAACAAACAACCCACTATCATTTCGGCTTAAAAGATGGAAAAGTGAGAACAGAGTGAAAACTTGGCTTAGTTCTCCACCCTAACCAGGGGACAGTGATTTTTCTCACTTAATTGATTTTGGGAAAAATTAACCCTAAAATTGCTAATTTGGAAAATAAAAAAGGCTGGTTTTTGACAAGCTTGCAGCAAATTTGACAGGAAGGTCAGCATCCTATTCCATTGCCCACCACATACCCAGTCAGAGAAATAGCCGCCATATAATCTCAGTCTTTGCCTTAATTTTTTATCAGCACTAGCCCAGTCGGGCTAGCAGCTTACAAAGTTCACTAGCCCGAACACATTTTAACTAGCCCGAACCAAAATGGTATTTTTTTGCATACATTTTGTTCAAAAATAACACTTTCTATATGTTTTATATACCATTTAACATTATCAAAATATCAACTAATCAACCTTTTCTTCCTTTCATTATTTAAATAAGAAGAGTTTAAACTATATATGAAAAGAGGATATTTTGATATTTCTGTGGCATTGTCCATAGACACTGAAAAAAAAATTGTTTAAAAACTGAAAATACTCTTCTCCTCGTTTACTGTAACCATGTCGGCTGATACATGCATTGACAACAAATTTATATTCCTTTTCGTATTACTTTTTTTTTTTTGGTGTGTTCCTTTTTGGCTAAGTGCCTTCAAAATACAAGAGAAAAGACATATTGTGAAGCATGAGATGACGCCTAATAAATGTCTAACAATCAATAATATTTCATAAGCGTTTTAAGTTCAATAAAGCTGCAAATAATTTTTAGGGCCAATGTGGTTTACCCATCATAATCTAGAGTAAAATGAAAATTCTGGGGTAAAATTTATAAAAAGAATTTGCATTGTTTTGTTATCAAATTTCATTGCCTTCTAAAAAGTTCCTTTCTTTACATAAATCAGTCTGACTTACATAAATAATAAAATATTGATTCAATGTGAAATAATACAAAACTTGCTCTGTTAAGGCAGGCTTCCCTAGACTAGGGTTTGTTTAGGTTACACAGCAAGTTAATGACAAGACTCGTTTTTTTATTGCTGACATGTTGTTGTTTGAATGTGTCACATTCTTTTACAATAAGCTACATGGTCAGCATGAGGCTATATTCATACTCTATTTCTACAGACTACATTTTAGTACCGTTCTTTGGTTTTGATTATTTATAATTGAAATTAGAATTAATGAAAAATAAATATAATAGAATTAAAACTTTTATACACAAAGAATTAGTCTTTGAGGAAATTGTCTGTAACTGTAAACTTGGTACGAAAATATTGAGTATAAAACTGCAGATGGCAAGGGAGAAATATGTTTTCCAATAAATAAAGTGGCAAGTACAACATTTTCCTTTATTTTGTAGCAAAAAAATTATAATATATGTCTAAACAAATTGAATATTAGGTTAAGTCCTATGATGATTACACCAAATTTAACTTTATCAATAATTTCATTTCAGAAACTCCCAAGAGTTACCTTCCCTTTTTACTCAATGTCACTTCCTGCTACTTTCGTTTTCAACTTACAGCAGTGTTGACAATAGTACTTTTAATTTTCCATCCAATTCAGCAGAAATCTATTGGATTTTCATAAAGCCAAAACATTGCTATCTGAAGCTCTGCATATTTCCAACATTTTCTTAATTTGGATATGAAAAAAGCCCTCGACCAGACGGGCTACCAGCTTGGAATTTCACTCGACCACCCGCAAATTTACTTGACTTGGTCGTCGGTCGAGTGGGTTAAGTCGAAGACTGTAATCTATCAAGACAGCTTTCTGCATCAACAATCAAACAAAATCTGCTTGAAACAAGAGGGCCATGATGGCCCTGGATCGCTCCCCTGACCCATCAACCGCATCCAAGCAATGTCTTAGACAAGCATCCTGGCCAAGTTTGATGACAATTGAGTCAAAATTGTGACCTCTAGTGTGTTAAAAAGGTTTTCCATATTTGGGCAGGGGTTTACTTAAGGTTTTGACTTTCACTTGCCCAAAGGGCAAGTAACTTTAACTTTGAAAATCTACTTGCCCCCAGGAAAAACAGGTTGCCCGATCTTAAATGTGAAGTTTGTTAATAATCAAAGCAAAAATTTTGGGTAAAAACTAGAAATGTGTCCATAGGACACGGGTGCCCCCACCTTGCCACTGTTCTGTCAATCTTTTTACTAAGTGAAGGGAAATAACTCTACAAATACTGGATAAATCCACAAGCAAAACCCCAGGTGCAAATCTAAATATGCTGAGCAACCTGCCCATAAGGTTTAATGACTATGTCAAATCCTTTTTGAGTAACTTGCGACACAAGTTGAAAACTGCAAAAATTTTCTAAGTCAAGGGCAATAACTCTAAAAATACTGAATAAGTCCAGACGAAAATACCTAGTTCACAACTGCACATGCTGATCAATATTCCTGTGAAGTTTCATGACTCTAGGTGAAATACTTTTCGAGTTACGTGCGACACAAGTTAAAAATTGCAAAATTTTACAAAGTCAAGGGCAATAACTCTGAAAATACTAAAAATTTCCAGACGAAAATACCCAGGCCCCGTGTTCACAAAGAAAAGATCAGGATCAGGATCAAGTGATCCTGATTTTATTTTCATTGTTTTATGTTACTAAAATTTATTGTGTTTTGCTAGAATTAAAAAGTAAATATTCAAAATGTAAAACTTTGTTGATTTGAAAAGAAATGAAACTATTTTGGGATAAAATTAACAAATACAAAAATATTTGGATCAAAATAAGTATCAATTTTAGGATCGGGATCAATATTTGGATCAACTGTAAAAATCCCGTATCTTGTAAAAATTACAATAAATTTATTCTAAAATTTCATCGATTTGCTATTTCAAGTCCAGTTTTATCAAATTAATATTAGATATTTAATCTATGAGGATAAAAAATGAAGAATATTAGAGTTTTTCAATTTGATCCTGATCTTGATCCTGATCCTTAAATCTTTGTGAACACGGGGCCAGGTGCACAACTGCACATGCTGATCAACATTCCTGTAAAGTTTCATTACTCTAGGTGAAATACTTTTTGAGTTACATGCGACACAAGTTGAAAATTGCAAAATTTTACTAAGTCAAGGGCAATAACTCTAAAAATACTAGAAATATCCAGACGAAAATACCCAGGTGCACAACTACACATGCTGATCAACATTCCTGTACAATTTCATGACTCTAAGTGAAATACTTTTTGAGTTACGTGCGACACAAAAGTGAACGGACGGACAGACGGACAAGGGTAAATCTAAATGCCCGCCACTAAAGTGGGGGCAAAATAAGATTTATTGCAGATCCTATCAACTTATGCCTCAGATAGTAAAATAGTCCTAAATTCCCTACTGTATATGTTTTTTGCTAATTCACAATAGTCTAGGGGTCAACACAATTTTCTTTGCCAGGGATCCAATAGAAATCCCTGAGATTTAATTTAGAAAAACTCCTAAATGTCGGGGATTCCTCACATCAAAATAGTAAAATGAAAGTGAAGATTAACAATAGTCATGTCCGACATGATCTGTTAAGGCTTATAAAAATTACAGGTAATAATTAGGCCATTTTCCAGATGACTTTTAAAATATATTAACATTCAGATGCTATCACCTTAAAAATATTTATTCCCTATTACAACTTTAAAAAGGAAACAGTACATTGATTGCTAAAATTGTGCTAGGTTTGTTGATTTCAAACAATGTAAAATATCAAAAATATGTTTGCTTTGTTTGCATTACCAAACTAGTAATGTACCTTTCAAATTTATTTCATTTTTAAAAACAACAAGTTGCTCCAAGTCCATGACAGGATGTGTTATATTCAATTTAAATTGATCTGTCTGATTCCTATCCTCTCTGTTTGTAATAAAATTTATTTGAAGTTTTAACCTATATCACATCAAAGGGACTCACCCCACGCAGGAATCATACAGTTCAGAGCACTGACTGCTTCAAAGAACTGTCAGACGAAATATACGTCATTTGCTGTATGTTTCACCTAAGGAGGTTTTTTCTGTTTTGGTCGTAAATTAGGCATGACCTAGAATGACCTCAGATAACTTATAGTTACACAATATGCTGTGATTTACCAAAAAGGATTTTAAACATTTTATGGATTATTTTATTCTGTTTATTAATAGGTAAGAATACTTTTAAACATTGCCGTAGGGGAGAAAGGAAAATAAATTAACAACAGTTCAAGACTATTATGATTTTTCGTCAAGATTTGTGTAAAAAAGATTACTGGTGACGAATTAAAAAAAAATTCTATCGGCCTATTGCAAATGAGTTGACGCCAGTTAGTTAAATTTTGACTGTATGAAGAAAACAATAGCGTACGGTACAGGATTCAAAGGAGTAGATTTTTACGGCCCGATTTTTCTGTTCTTTCTTTAACCTTGCAGTTGTGTCAGTCTTTATCGACATAACTCATCTTGAATTTTTGTGATTTTATGCTTTTTATTCAGAAAATCAGATGTTTTCTTTGCCGTGGCTTTTTCTTTAATTGCTGTAGATTTTTTTCTTTTAAAAATGGGAAAACTTTCGGCGCCGCCCGCCATTTTGAAAGGAAAGCAAAATGGAAAAAGTTTTTTTACGTAAGTTGATTGGTTGGAGTCCAACTACAATCAGAAACAGTTAAAAATACACTTTTTTGACTGTAATATGAACGGAAAGAAAAGTATTATCGGCAAAGGATATCAAAGCTAATAGAAGGCATAACGAAAATTCACTTGCCCGCCGGGCAATTTGCTTTCAAATTTCACTTGCCCGCAGCGATTTCTCCCCGATGCGGGCAAGCGGGCGTCCGCTTAAATAAACCCCTGTTGGGCAATGCGACCTAATTTTTGACTGGAGATGACCCATATTCAAACTTGACCTAGAAATCATCAAAACAACCTTTCTGACAAATTTCCTGAATATTTGGATCAAAACTGGAGCCACTACAGTGTTATAAAGATTTTTCTATTTTTAGCTTCTGTGACCTAGTTTTTGACCGGAGATGACCCATCTTCGAACTTGACCTAGAAATCATCAAAACAACCTTCCTGACAAATTTCCAGAATATTTGGATCAAAACTGCAGCCACTAGAGTGTTAACAAGCTTTTTCTATTTTTAGCTCCTGTGACCTAGTTTTTGACCGGAGATGACCCATCTTCGAACTTGACCTAGAAATCATTAAAACAACCTTCCTGACAAATTTCTAGAATATTTGGATCAAAACTGCAGCCACTAGAGTGTTAACAAGCTTTTTCTATTTTTAACTCCTGTGACCTAGTTTTTGACCGGAGATGACCCATCTTCGAACTTGACCTAGAAATCATCAAAACAACCTTCCTGACAAATTTCCAGAATATTTGGATCAAAACTGCAGCCACTAGAGTGTTAACAAGCTTTTTCTATTTTTAGCTCCTGTGACCTAGTTTTTGACCGGAGATAACCCATCTTCGAACTTGACCTAGAAATCATTAAAACAACCTTCCTGACAAATTTCCAGAATATTTGGATCAAAACTGCAGCCAGAGGAGTGTTAACAAGCTTTTTCTATTTTTAGCTCCTTTGACCTAGTTTTTAACCGGAGATGACCCATCTTCGAACTCGATGAGTCGATCTGTATTTCATTGAGACAAACATTCTGACAAAGTTTGACAATGATCCAATCAAAACTGTGACTGCTAGACTGTTAACAACCAAATGTTGACAATGAACGAGGCACGAAGACGGACGCCGGACAGAGCCCCATCACTATACCTCACCTTGACCACTTCGTGGTCAGGTGAGCTAAAAACTGATTTTTGGGAAAACTGCATGATTTTATTTTAAAGAAAATTTCAATTGCGAAGAGGCCTTTTTTTCGAAGTCTGTTATGTAAGTAGGAAAATCACTAAGGGACTGGTGCATAATTATCTCCCGATTGTGTTAAAAAAACATATGAAATCAGACAAATTAGTTAATTACCTTAATGGTTTTACCAGCATCTTGTGAAGCACGAGCCAAAAGATCTTTGTAGAAATCATATAGATCTTCTTCAGTCAAGATGTGATTTCCTTTAATATAAAATTATGTACATTTGTACTGAAAATTCATCAAGTAAAAATTATACGAAAAATAAAATTCTTGTTTTAAAAGATCATTAAAGTTGCTGTTGTTGCCAGGACCAAAAATATCTTTATCATTAGTTTTACTGTTGCATCACAATATTTGTACAAAATGTAAGAAGACTAAGTCTTCCAAACATTTGTAATCCTTAAGTTTCTGTCAATATAAATGGGCATATGTTTTAAAACTTACACATTGTTTGTGAAACTTGAACCAAATACTTCGAAAGAGGAAACACTAGATTCAGTTATTCTGTAAATAGCACAACCTTTCAATGAAATTGCATCCTAGTTACTTGGAAAAATAAATTAGTCACACCTGCCTACAATATTTATGCATATTAATCAGTATGTGTTTTTGTTGATTTGTAACACATAAAGCCACCCCAAAACCAATTATCAAAACCATTACAGGATTTATAGTACAATATTAATAAAATTTGACCCTCAGGATTTTAACTGGAGGGTCAAATTTTGTTTAAATCATGGGGATTTGGCCTTGTAGTTTAAAACTTGATAAAATGACCCTCAGGATTTCATGGCTAGTGAACACCCTGGTCTATGCAATATAACATTAAAAAAGTTGCAATTGCATTTGATGGGACCCAAAAGATGTTGTTTTCAAATTATTTATGTTATCTTTTTTTCAAATATATATACATACATGAACATTATTTTGCACAATTCAATAGCAAAATCATTTTTCAAGTCAAATCATTGTCCTTTATATCAATTCTTTATGCATTCTTTCACCTGCACTAACCTTAATTAAAATATATCGACGCAAAACCGAAAACTTTTTTTACAGGCAACCTTAAATGTTATTTTTTGGCTTTGGTCTGAAGATAACAATCTTAATCTTTTAAAATTTTGAAAAGATGTAAATGACTTTTTTTGTCTATGGACCTGAAAATTTTGTAATTGGTGGATTATACATAATTTAGGTGATAACCGTGATATACTGTATACACATCCTCTAAGATTTATATAAAACACTGTTTTGTTGAATAAATGTGCCCACCTAACAATGCTGCAAACAAGCAGAATCTATTTGGATTCAGATCCAAAGACTTGGCAATTTCATCCATCACATATTCCTTTGTTTCAAGGGAACCTTTGTATGTCAACTTCAAATTTTGGTTGGAGAAATAACGTGGTGGATCGAATATTGCATATACTGCATTTTGTCCTAAAATACCCTGTAGTCCATGTTCACGACAAAATGCGATAACTTCTTGCTCATGATCATCCATTGACATAGCTACACCAATACCAAGGTGTCTTAATGCAAGGCGTAATGCTCCACCAAGAAATATTGGCGGATTCCACCATACTTTTGGAGGGGGTGTGCCTCTGTTGTAAATATGTCGCAAAACCATGTTGACTTTTTTCTTTTGATTGAGCTGTCCAGAATACCATGTATCCATTTTTTGACTTTCCAATGCACCATTGAAAAATACAACCAATTCCATGTTGGCCATTTGACAAGCTTGCAGCAAATTTGACAGGAAGGTCAGCATCCTATTCCATTGCCCACCACACACCCAGTCAGAGAAATAGCCTCCATATAATCTATCAAGACAGCTTTCTGCATCAACAATCAAACAAAATCTGCTTGAACCAGGCACCCTGCCACGCCTCTTTGGTATAAAACTTTTGGATATTTTTAGCAAGTCAACCGAGAGACAGGCACTTGAACAGTGAGTTTCCAAATACGCCTGCAAATCCTTGATCCCCATTGTAACAGACGAAGATATTTAGCAGAACATTAATACATATCTTTATTAAATACTTGGCTTTATGTCTTTAGAAATACTTTAGTTCTTGTCACTTTATTTTAACGCCGAAATTAGCGGTCGTCTTTCACCATGTGCTCTCAACGGCCTTCAGCTACATTAAACGTTACTACGCATGCGTGATGTGGAATTTCATCCCAGCATTCCAAAAAATAATAACATGGCGGAGGAAACAATTTTTCAACCCGGAACTGGCGCTGCGCCAGCAACTTTAGTAGAACTGACAGTCGGATGCAGGTTGTGCAACCTGTTTTTTAGAGCCTTATATTCTCCTCTCAAAATTCATCAATCAGACATAATTATTCTTTTTTATATTTATTTATTTCCACAGGACTAATCCCGACAATGAAATCTGTGTTAAATGAAGGGAGGTAATTACATAAAGAAAACAGTAAACAAGGGAGGCTACTGCTTTATCAAATTGCTTGTTTACATATTACTAATTAACAAAATAGCAATCCCACCCAATGAAAAATTATTTAAGAAAAAAGAATTTAAAGTCAATTTCACATAATTTCCATTCATCATTATTTGCAGTAAAAAAGATGAAAGAGTAGATAAAATGTATACTGTAGGCTACATCAGGCTTATATATTTTTTTGGCATGAATCCACCACCTTGCAAAATAATCAATATACAGAAGTACACTAGTATATTTCATAATAAATGTGTCTTTACATGTTTTATGTTCGGTTTACATCACATAGATGTTGACAATTTGCACAACAATTTTGAAATGTTTGCTGATAAAAGAAAATAGTAAATTTTGAAATGGCTTAAGAATATGATAATGAATTTAGTTTTTACTGTTAAATTGGAGATATTGTGAACAGTTTTCATTTAGAAATTGAATTGTAGAAGATATTGATATTGTGGATATTCTTTTTGTTACTAATTGTTAGAAAAATTGTAATTCATTTGGAAAATAATATGGCAACAGAAGGAATTGCTGGGTTTTCCCCAGGATCTGGGGTTCAACCAAGTAGTGTTATTGAACTTTCCTTGTCCTGCAGGTATATCTGTATATATATGTACTATAGTTATTTCACAATGTTAATTCACTTTAATATTTGCAAATTTTTTGTTTGATCCTATAATGAAAATTTGTAAATATGGCAAAAAGAATAAATATTATAAATTATCTTTAAAATTTTGTATGTTTTTTTCTCATTTATTTATATTAGTATCTTTTATCAATAAGATAAATATTATTAAGTTAAACCATTTATTTTATTATCCTAAAAGGGAAAAATGTGGTTGTTTTTTTAGTGACAATTCATATATTGGAACAAAGACCTCGCTATTTTATGATAATTACAAAGTACAATAGTTATGACAAAGTAGGTCAACAAACAGTTAAACTATTTTCATTATTTTTACGGTTGATAAACTTTAGAAATAACTTCATGATATTTTATACTTAAGTAGAAAGACACTTGATATTGTTTACACAGAAATGAAATATGTGAACTTTTTAAGCTTGTAAAGATAACTGTAAAGTACTGTTGTAAATTAATAATTATAAGATAAAATTTTACCAAGCACACACAATATATGCAAACATTTTTAAGTTTATGGTAGAATGTATTTGCAGTTTATATTCATCAGACACTCTTTTAAAGTCACTTAAATGGCCTTTATGCAATTCTGTATTGAAATTCAGTCTTTTGAATATAAAATCAATATAATATTGAGATGTTATCATTGGTTGAACTTCATTAGAGTTTATATATCACAGCTGTTTTGTGAATAATACAGTAAACTTAATTATAAATGCACATGTCATGTGTTGAAATTTTATTCATTAGAAAAGATTATTAAGATTACTGTTACAATTTGATTAATTAAAGTTAAATAAACAAAAAAATCAAGAAGTAAGATTAAGTAGGTTTTCATGCATTCGCCTACATAATTTAGTATTTTTTTGTTATGCAGTTAATAATATTGTTAAGATATAGTCAGAACCCTTATACCTAATTTCATAATTTACAACTATAATGATAAATATATGAGTTTGTTTTAAGACTTAGAAGGATTATCCATTTTTTGTATCTAATATTTTAGTGTAGCTTCTTACATTTTCTTAGTTGAAATAGTGCATATCTGAAAGTATTTTCCAGGGTCTTTCAAATAGATTCTATTTGAAAGACCCTGTGTTTGCTTATATGAATTGTTAGAACTGAGATTGGAGTATATTTGATTCTGCCTTTAAAAGGACTGGTTGAGTAATTCTTTAAGGATGACTTGAATGATTTAAAAATATCTTCTTCTTTTTTCAGAAACCTGATAGATGCAGATGTCTTCTCAAAGTCAGATCCTAGTAAGTTTTAAACATTTTACTTTAATTGTTATGCATTGACTCCTTTGAAGAAGCTGGGGAATATTGTTATGTTTTGTAAATGTTGGTTGATAGACCATTCTGTGTCTTTGCAATAACTAGAGGATTTATGAACAGCCTTCAGAATTCATTAAATGATAGCTTTCAATAAAAAAAGTACACCTTTTGTTTTTTTATTATCCCCCTCCGAAAGGCGGCAGGGGATATAGAAAAAGTCTCCTTCCGACCTTCTGTCTGACACATTTTTGTCCGGAGCATATCTCAAAAGTATTTGAGGTATCAACTTGAAACTTCATAGGTGGATAGATCATATTGAAGAGGAGTGCAGTGCACAATAATAATAACTGTACTCTGCATAATTGTTCAGTTATTGCCCTTTGTTATTTTGTCAAACTTAATTTTTGTCCAGAGCATAACTCAAAAAAGCCTTTAAGATATCAACATGAAACTTCATAGGTAGATAGATCTCACTCAGGAGGTGTGCAGTGCACAGGAATGATAACTCTACCCTTCATAATTTTTGAGTTATTGCCCTTTGTTATTTTTCATACTTAATTTTTCACCAGAGTGGAGCATAAAGTTTTCAAAAAGTCTTTAAGATGTCAACATGAAACTTCATAGGTGGATTTATCGTATTGAGGAGGAATGCTGTGTGCAAAAATGATAACTCTGCCTTGTATAATTTTTGAGTTATTGGCCTTTGTTATTTTTCATAATTTTTGTCTTGAGCTTATCTCAAAAAACTGCTAGAGGTATCAAACTACATATACATTCTTCCAATGAGCAAACACATTCGGCGGGGAATGACCATGTTAACATGGCTCTTGTTGGCTAGGTTACACATTGGATTGGTCATGAAAATAGTTTTAGCTTAATTACTAGAGGACAGTTTAATCCATAGCCTTCAAACATTGTAGAATGATAACCTCAAAGAGTGGAAGACACATATTGTGTTTGAGCTTAGGTTTATTTAAATATATCAGTATGATCATAGTGACATTGAATATGAAAATGTGAATATGAAATTGTTTTCTGGTCAATAACTTTATGACCATGTCTCCAAATATCATAGTATGATTAAGTCTGTGAAGAAAAAGACTTGAATTGATTTTTGGCTGGGATGCTCAAAGATCAAGACAACAGTGACCTTGAATATGAAAAAAAGTTTAGGCTCAATAAATAGAGCATCATATGACCTGCAGCTTTCAAATATCGTTGGATAAAGTCAGATGTTTGTATATATAACTACATGTATTGTAATAATTGTCTTTACAACTGACTTGTTATGACATATTTTATCTCTTAACAAAATTGGACTGTATTTTATATCAGTTTAAATATGACCTGTCATGTTTTAACCTATATTGAGTTGCATTCTGTATTCTGCTAAATTAGTCCACTCCATAATCGAAGATAGCCTCTAGACAATTAATATTATAAAGATGCACACTTTATAAAGATGCACACTTTTTTTTTTTTTTGAAAACCTATAGTTTTTATCTTTTAATAGTGAGCTTTTATTAAAGCTGTTACTATTGGCAGATTTTACAGTTGATATAATGTGATGTTTTAATATGCACTTTTTTAATGTGTACTGTATTTGCATATATATGTGTATATATTTTGCATATATATGTGTATATATTTTATATATACACATACATATGCCCATAACATAACATTGAATATGGTTTTAGTTGTAAAATATGTAAAATATCTTAAGTCTCTTGTGATTCTACTTAAAGAATGGCTATGTACAATGTAATGTTTATCTTTTATGTTGAAATATATGTAATTGTACAGAGATGAGACTAAAATAAAATAAAAATTGGACGATACCCCTTATTGCTTGGAAGACTTCTATTGCTTATAATTATTGGGTCCAGTGCTCACAGGTTAAGGTCTCAGTTTCATGCAAAGTCAGGGCTTTTAGAGTTTAGAAGTCAATTTTGACTATCTTAATACATTTTATATATTGTTATTCATGAAATGACAATGAAATGAAATTCTTAATTTATTTCAGTGGTTGTTCTATTCACCATGGACCAGGGAACAAGGCAGTGGAGAGAAGTAAAATCTTAAATTGTTAAATTTATTTTGTTAAAAATCAGAATGATGCTTTCTAGTTGAGGTACAAAATGACAGTGACAAATAAGTTAATACAGTAAAATATTAAAATATTTTAATGCCCAGAAATGCTTATCATTTTGTGGTCACCTTAACAATAGTATGAATCAATGTAATAACTGCTGGAAAAATTGCACCATACCTATTGGTAGACTGGAAAGGATTATAACGCTTTAATACGCAGATTGCTCTTCGTTTCTGAAATTGAGTCATCTCCTCTTTAAAATATGAAAATGTATTAGATTTGCATTGCCTTTGTTGTGAAAATTGATTTGTGACTACATAAATAAATGTTGTATGATATATTATGCAATGAAAATGAATAAAACCACTCAAAAATATATTATAGGAGACATACATAGATATTCATTAAATATGGTATTTATATATTTACAAAGTAAAACTTGTAAAACCAACATAGTGCGTTTGCGACCAGCATGGATCCAGACCAGCCTGCGCATCCGTGCAGTCTGATCAGGATCCATGCTGTTCGCTTACCAATCCTTTTACAAGTAGAGAAACTGATAACGAACAGCGTGGATCCTGATCACAGTGATCAGACTGCGCGGATGTGCAGGCTGGTCTGGATCCATGCTGGTCGCAAACATACTATGTTAGTTTTGTCATGACGCGGCTCATTTATGTTTGCATTGTATTCTTATTTAATATGGACTTGTTTTTACAGTTTGGTCGCACAGAAGTTATTTGGAATAACTTGAATCCAGACTTTGTTAAGAAGTTTGTGATGCACTATTTCTTTGAGCAGAGTCAGAAGCTAAAACTAGAAGTGTAAGTTACTTGTGTTTTATATCAGATGTACAGCTATTTGGTGGTTCATAATCATGATTGCTCTAGCTTGATATAATTTTTGTTTTACTGTCGAAAGATATGACTTTTTCTTTAAAAAATCATATAAAATTTCACAAAATGCTATAATGCAAAGTTATTGCTCATGCCTTGTATTAAATAAATAGTTTTAGTTTCATAGTTTTAGTTTCATCGCGATTATGCTCTATGAAGAGTAAGGCGATTACTGCAGATGATGATGATATACGAGGGCTGTCCGGAAAGTTCTTAGACAAGGCTATAAAATTATTATAAGCAGTTATATCAATATAATGATTGAACATTTTGCTAAAGTATTTATATGCTACATATTTTTTAATTTAAAAACATGATAAAACCAATATTCGCAAAGCGCTAATCACCATGGCAACATGATCAACAAATCACGGAGCACTTTGATTTCATGACGATAGATACTTGATAAAAGAGGTAATTTTAACGCAAACTCTAATTTTAGTTTTGTGACATCAAAGGATACTATTGCATGATATTTAGTGAAAATTATGACGTCATACATAAATAAACAGCTTGTATATGACGGTTATAGGCAATGAAGGTGAAAGAATTATTTGTTGCAAAAATGATGTCAAATTCAAGAACGGGGCAACGTAATGTTATCTAACTTCATAGCAACTATAATATGGCACCAACTGAGATTTAAGTTGTTACATTAAAAACAAATTCAGCCATAAATTGTTCAAGGCAATTTGTGTTTAAATGTCAAACAAGATTAAGAAGCGGTGATGACAGAATAAGGTATAAGAGCGCTCCAGATGGCCGAAATATCGTAGATTGCGTTATGAAATTCTTTGAAAAAGACAGACATCTCACACACTGTATGGAAACCAGTGACATCTTTGTTTTTTAAATAAATTGTAGTATATGAAAGTCATAAAGTAATTGCAAAGGAACAAAACATATATTAAATATACACCAGACTGGTACCATGGCTGTTGAAAAGAAATTGAATCATCTGTAAACGTGTAGTTAATTTGACGCCGTTGACATTGTCAAAGTGCTCCATGACGGTGTATATATGTAACTACTGTTAAAATTCAAACGTAACTCACAGTTCAGTAATCTTTTATAAATGTGTTCGCTAGATATGTATAATTTCCCTGACAAAATTTGTAAAATGTATGTATTGTTATAGAATAAAAATTAAGAAGTATATGAACCTTCCGGACATCCCTCGTATATACACTGTTGTTTCTGTTGGTAAATCACCAGGTCTACAAAAGTTTGATATGGTTTCTTCTCTTTGTAAAAATAAAAGGAAATAGTGTCTTTGACTTCATAAATTTGTTTTTAAGGATTTTATTTGTTTACTTTCAAATTATTTTCTTGATAAATATTTTGATTCTCTATAAACAGGTGTTAACACAATTGTATTATTTTTTACAGATATGATATTGATTCTCCTTCTGCAGACTTAAGTAAACATGTAAGTTCTCACATCTTTACTTTCAACACTCTTAATTGGTTGTAATTGTAATTTTGGCATCATTTCAAGATATTTAACATACATTTCCTAATATTCATCATGCTGAATTCACATTATGGACTTGTATTACTTAGCATTTGCATCTGTTCATTATTAATTGAAGGGATTATAGTTTCGAATCACTAGCATTGTAGAGTTTAGTAAAACTTTAAAAAATTCAGATTTCCTTAGCTCTCTGGTGGTTGCATGGCAATTCTATTGCCAATTGCACTCACTTTATAGTAGTATCTAGAACAGGGTGAGAAAAATGTGCAGTCTGATAGGAACTGGAATCTGGGTTCCTCAGAATACTGACTTAACAAATCAGCAGTGCTACTGAGCTGCATAAACATTTTCTTTCCAATAACTGTACAGTTTCTTACTTTAACATACATGTAGATAAAAATACATGTAACTATGTTTAAATAAAAGAACATGAATTTGCATGTAAATACTGTTTGAATGGTATGTGTAACTACCTTTTTGTTATTATCAAGCATTTTGATTTCTTTCAAATTCTAAATTTATATTGTTGATAAAGTTACAAGACATACCTTTAACTCTGATTGTTTTTATATGTTGATTCCCTAATTATTGTGAAATATTATATTTATATAATTTATATAATTATGTAATTTATCTAATTTTGTGAAATATATACAATAACTTGATTTGCTTTGTGTTTAAGGATTTCCTTGGAAGGATGGAGTGTACTCTTGGAGAAGTTGTTGCGTCAGGAACTAGATTTACACGTAGATTAACGTGAGTTAAAAACATTTTATTAACCTCCCCAAGAAGTTGTCTTTTGGCAAATTAATTGTTATGAATTTTTATCAAATTAATCTTTAGTTTATACAGAATTTACTTTAGTTTGATAGTGTAGGAAGCTATAGGTTTTTAAATACATTCTTCAATCCATTTCTGGAAACAACCAGTGCTGAGTAAAAAGTGTAAAGTTTTCTTGCCCCAGGAAACAACAGCTCACCCCTTACAGGGTTTGAACCTGTACAGCTAGCAATCCTTAGATAACTATTCGGATGTGTTAACCACTCAGCCATTCAATCATTTTAATTAATTTAATTGAAATCTTTACACTGTGTAATATACATGCCTTAATTTATAATGGACATGCCTCAATTTGTGTTTGGAACAATACATTTTTAGTTGAAGGTATTTCAATTTCATATTGCTAAAGTGGAATATCCATTTGTTAAGTAAGTTAAAAACTTGTTCCTGTTCCTTAACCAACTGGAACCAAAAATGATCAGTCTTTGCCATCCAGTCTAGCTAGGCTCTATGCTGTTGGTAGCTTAATACTTGTTATTTAATGCTGAAATCCTTTAACTTTTTAATGGACTGTTCTAATCCATTAAACAATTTTAACAGATTAAAGGCACATATTGCCTCTCAGAAATGGATATTTTTTCCCATCTTAAAGCAGCACGCCTCCAGATTCATGTTAAATTTCATGAAAATTTTGATAATGTATTTGACAGTAAAATATTGTGAGGTGAACAAATAAAGTTATTTACATATTGCAATTGGCATTACAATCCATGCAAATAACCAAAAGAGGTAAAAATGTGCAAAAAAAGCCCTTACTGCGTTGGTAACGCAGTAGAAATATGGTGATAAAATACTGCAAAATCAGTCTTAAATCGCAAATAACATGTAAATTTTGACATTGATCTTGATTGTTTTTACCTTTCTTGAAATATTAGTACATTTTTGTCAATTTTCATTTTCTTGAAATATTTTGGCTCATCTGGAGGCGTGCAGCTTTAACAAGGGGCAAGCTTGTGTTAATATATGTTTTAATACTGGATATAAAGCATTTAGCATATAATGGGCCTTAATTGAAAATAAACGCCCAAAACCCTGGCCTATTCTATTGATGCTAATATTGTTGCTTGCTTACCAATTAGAAAATAACTAAGTGGGAGGTTATAATTTATGATTGTTCTTGGAATTTCAGGGGACCAAACATAAACAGGGGTTCAATTATAAGTAAGTATTGCATTACTTTTGTTTACATTTTAAAGTATAGAATGAGAATATTACACAGAATATAGTTAAATTGAAAATTTTAATCATTTTTCAGGCATTTAATATGTAAAAAACACCAATAAACACTTTCCGAACTAGCAGTCAATAGGCTATTTTTATCAGTAGTTTTTCGAGTAAAGATAACCCGTTGCGTGTCTCACTGTATAAATTGTATGTAAAATGGTCTAACATGTGGTAGGTTTAACAGTTTATTCAAATACTTTGATCATAAAAGTTGTGTTGAAGTACATACTGTGACGAAGCTAAGATCCAAAGCTTTCCATTGGTATAATAATTTTTGGAATCTGACATTAAATCACAACAAACTAGCAGTTTAAAAATGGCTTAATTTGTATTGTTTTAGCATAAGAGATATCGAATTCACTCAAAGATAAGGGAAACAACTCATATGTTTTCACTCGATATACCTTGGTTATTTACGTAGTTCATATAGAAAGTGTTTATGGGTGTATTGATGTTCTCTTGAAATACATGTAAATTGTTATTAAAAGTGCAGCAGAATTTTATTTAAAATGTTCAAAAATTATATTTGAAAAAAATTCATTTGCCCATAGAAGATATTGTATGTTATTCACTCAATAACATTATGTTTATATAATGATGAAATTTTAATGTAATTTGTACAACTGTTTATTTTGTTTACAGTAAGTGCTGAGGAGTTAAGTAGCTGTAAGGTGAGTTCTTTGAATGAAGATATGATACATTTTTAAAAGAAATCTTTGAAGAGTATACTTTACACAATTAAGAAATGTACTGAATAACAATGTCTCCATTGACAAAATTCTTTGACATGTAAATACAAACTTGACCCTAGTGGAAAGAAAATGAAAACAATTTTGCTATTGACTTTTACTTTAATACCTTTTACAGAAAGTAATAAGCAAAAATTTGGGTTTGAAAAGGAACTTTGTCTGAAGTATAAACTATGTAATACATGTAATATTTCAGTAACATAAAATTATGTAATAATAAAACCTAATTATATAAACAGGAACAAGTAATCATGCAGTTTTGTGCACACAAACTGGACAAGAAAGATTTCTTTGGAAAGTCAGATCCATTCCTTACATTTTATAGAGCCAATGAGGACGGCAGGTATTATCATCAATTTTCTTGGGACCAGCATGGATCCAGACCAGCCTGCGCAGTCTGATCAGGATCCATGCTTTTCGCTTACAGACCCTATAACAAGTAAAGAAACTGATAGCGAACAGCATGGATCCTGATCAGACTGTGCGGATCCATGCTGGTCGCAAACCCATTATGTTGGTTTTGTCGTGACGCGGCTCAAATATGAATTTCATATACAACATCATTTGCTGTTTTTACCGAACAATTCATAAACTGTTTATGTTTCATATATACAAGGTAAGAATGTTAGATTGAGCATAAAAAAGGTTGAATGTACCTGAAATAATGCAAACAGAAACACAAGGCCGCTTCCACTGTCAGTGAAACTCAAAAGTAGCCATAGCTCTTAACTTGGTACAGTGTAGCTCATAGCTTCTTACCTTTTTTGATGGTGAATATTATATACCCAACAGGTAATAATGAATTGTTAACAGTACAACAATGATTACCGAGTTAAATAGGGTAATATTCTTTTCCAGTTACACTGTTGTACATAGAACAGAAGTGATCAAAAAGACATTAAATCCCACGTGGAAACCTATGACAGTTTCTGTTAGATCACTCTGTAATGGGGATTATGATAGGTATGTAAAGTTAACCAGTTCATTTGATATAATAGGTATGTATTGTTAACCAGTTTCATTTGATATAATAGGTATGTATTGTTAACCAGTTTCATTTGATAAAATAGGTATGTAAAGTTAACCAGTTTTATTTGATATAATAGTATGTATTGTTAACCAGTTTCATTTGATATAATAGGTATGTAAAGTTAGCTAATTTTATTTGATAGAATAGGTATGTATTGTTAACCAGTTTTATTTGATATAATAGTATGTTTTGTTAACCAGTTTTATTTGATATAATAGATATGTATTGTTAACCAGTTCATTTAAAATGATAGATATATTTAGTTAACCAGCCCATATGATATTATTGGTATAGTATTGGTATAGTAAACCAGTCTATTTGATATATATATATAACAGTTAACCAGTCTATATGATGTGACAGGTATGTTGAGTTAACCAGTCAATTTGAATAATAAAAACTTTTGTTTAATTGATACTTATTTTGTTATACCGGACATAGAAATCATAAGTGCATATTGCTAAAATTGGACTTATGAAGAATTTTATTAATTTACTTCTGTGCTTAAGATCTTCATAATTTTTTATTGTAAATTTTATAACAGAAATATCAATATAAATATACATATACTGTATAGCATTTACAAGATCTGCTGAAATGATTTAGTGGATATTTTTGATGTTTTTATATTTATATAGGAAAGTCTTATTCAGCATTTTGTTTTGATGTAACTGAACAATAAGTATTTAATAGTTGTAGAATTGCTTATAAAATTAGGTTGGAAGTTAATGAAAGTAGTGTTTGACATTTACTTTTCAGGTCAATTAAGATAGAATGCCATGACTGGGATGCTGATGGAGGGTATGGATTTTGTTTTCATCTTCTTCTTTATACCCCGCACAACAAAGTTGTAAGGGGGGTATACTGGAATCAGCTTGTCCGTCCGTCCGGCCGGCCGTCCGTCGGTTTTTTCTTGTCCGCCCAATAACTTAAGATTCCTTTGACCCTTAGTCTTCATATTTGGCATGGAGGTTAGTCATGATTAGTAGATGACCCCTATTGATTTTGAGGTCAGGTCAAAGGTCAAGGTCACAGGGGCCTTGACTTCAAAAAGCTTGTCCGCCCAATAACTTAAGATTCCTTTGACCTACAGTCTTCATATTTGGCATGGAGGTAAGTCATGATTAGTAGATGACCCCTATTGATTTTGAGGTCAAAGGTCAAGGTCACAGGGGCCTTGACTTCAAAAAGCTTGTCCGCCCAATAACTTAAGATTCCTTTGACCCTTAGTCTTCATATTTGGCATGGAGGTTAGTCATGATTAGTAGATGACCCCTATTGATTTTGAGGTCACTAGGTCAAAGGTCAAGGTCACAGGGGCCTTGACTTCAAAAAGCTTGTCCGCCCAATAACTTAAGATTCCTTTGACCTACAGTCTTCATATTTGGCATGGAGGTAAGTCATGATTAGTAGATGACCCCTTTTGATTTTGAGGTCACCAGGTCAAAGGTCAAGGTCACAGGGGCCTTGACTTCAAAAAGCTTGTCCGCCCAATAACTTAAGATTCCTTTGACCCACAGTCTTCATATTTGGCATGGAGGTTAGTCATGATTAGTAGATGACCCCTATTGATTTTGAGGTCACTAGGTCAAAGGTCAAGGTCACAGGGGCCTTGACTTCAAAAAGCTTATCCGCCCAATAACTTAAGATTCCTTTGACCTACAGTCTTCATATTTGGCATGGAGGTAAGTCATGATTAGTAGATGACCCCTATTGATTTTGAGGTCACCAGGTCAAAGGTCAAGGTCACAGGGGCCTTGACTTCAAAAAGCTTGTCCGCCCAATAATTTAAGATTCCTTTGACCCACAGTCCTCATATTTGGCATTGAGGTTAATCATGATTAGTAGATGACCCCTATTGATTTTGAGGTCACCAGGTCAAAGGTCAAGGTCACAGGGGCCTTGACTTCAAAAAGCTTGTCCGCCCAATAACTTAAGATTCCTTTGACCCACAGTCTTCATATTTGTAATGGAGGTTAGTCATGATTAGTAGATGACCCCTATTGATTTTGAGGTCACCAGGTCAAAGGTCAAGGTCACAGGGGCCTTGACTTCAAAAAGCTTGTCCGCCCAATAACTTAAGATTCCTTTGACCCACTGTCTTCATATTTGTAATGGAGGTTAGTCATGATTAGTAGATGACCCCTATTGATTTTGAGGTCACCAGGTCAAAGGTCAAGGTCACAGGGACTTTGACTTCAAAAAGTTTGTCTGCCCAATAACTTTAGATTCCTTTGACCCACAGTCTTCATATTTGGCATGGATGTTGATCATGACTATAAGGTGACCCCTATTGATTTTGAGGTCACTGGGTCAAAGGTCACAGGGACCTTGACAAAAAAAAAGCTTTTCTTCTCAATTGCTAAAGAATGTCCTGTCCGCAATGTATTGATTTTGACATTTTCACATTTGAAGCATGTAGAATACATAACTTAGCAATGCACTGGCTTAGTAACCTCAGATTTGGCAGGGAGGTTATCCTTGAGCTCTAAATGGCCACTGTTGATTCTGACAAAGTGGTATGCGGGGGTATTCAAGCCATGATAGTGGCAGTTCTAGTTTCTTTAGATTTTACACAAGATCCTTTACTGTTAGTCTGCTGATGGCATATATTTTTTTTTAATCTATATGATCACAAATTCAAATAAAAGAAGCAATATGGAATAACTATATGAAATACTTGACAAATATTTATATGTTTGTACATTGTATATACCCGGTATATGTTGATAAAAAACTTTGGTATAATTTCAGTCATGATTTTATTGGAGATTTCACAACTACATTGAGAGAATTGACAAGAGGGCCTAGTAATACAAATGTTTATGAGGTAAAATAGTTTACACTATATGGTTCCACTTTAAGAAAATAGCTTTTCCATAAAGTAACTATTGATAATTTTGTTTTTCTCCGAGCGAGTGGTAAAAATCCCATAGTAGTGAGTGGAATTGACTTTGTGGTAAAGTGTCCTTCTGAAAATAGGTACTGTGAGTTCAAGACCTACTGTGTTCATGACCATATTTCCTTATTTGACACCAGTACTGGTTCAAAGGAAAGGACTCAACAGTGGTTCAAATAATCTGAAAGCTTTCTTTACAATCAAGATTTAATAAATAATGTGAAAACTTAACTTATTTATCTACTGGTAGTTCATTTATAAATACTTAATAGGTCAGATTTTTAAATGAGAGAAAGCTATTATTTTCTTATCCTATTGAAGACATTAGCCAACTTATGCCTACATATTCTTGGTGATCTTTGGACTTTTCACTGTCAGTTAAAAGTCTGAAGTGAAAGTGCAAAACCTTTGTCAGCAGTGTTGGACTAAAATTTTATATTATCTAGGTTCTTGTTTTACTATCAAGCACTTAAAAGTGAGCAGGCTGTGCTACTGACAGCTCTTGTTTGAATTTACAATGTAATAAAAAAAAGTAAGATCAGTAAAAATTAGGAACATGACTGTAACTAAATATTTTTATTTTTCAGTGTATAAGTTTGAAAAAGAAGAAAAAGAAAGGTGCAAAGTATACAAACTCTGGAACTGTTGAATTAATGAATATAAGGATAGAGAAGGTCTACACTTTCCTTGATTATGTCAGAGGAGGGTATGTTATCTATCCTTTTACAGTATCAATACTCTTTAATGTTGAGACAAATTTTGTAAAGAGAATGTTGCAGTTTAAATATACCCTTAATATTTCACATGAAATGCACAAAGTGTTGTTGTTTTTTTTCGAATACTGAAGAATAATTAATTATTCTCATCTCTTAAATGATGTTTCAAGACAGCATTCAGTCTTTTAACTTTACTTTCGCTTATTTTAGCCAGTTTATATGCACTTGAATCATAGAGAGTAAAACAAAACATTCGGTTTATTTAAATTATTCAAAGATCACTTGTTCTGCATGATTTTTTTTGTAATTGTCTCTAAATCTTTACAAGCACGTAAAAGTAACTGTTTCTTGCATGGGAAAATGAATCATTTTATCTGTTGTTTTCAGCACACAGTTGAACTGTACATTTGCAATAGATTTCACAGCATCAAATGGTGACCCAAAATCCCCATCATCTTTACATTACATCAGTCCATATAGACCAAGTCCATATGCCACAGCATTGAGATCTGTTGGTGAAATTATCAAAGATTATGATTCGTAAGTTTATTATGATAATGATTATGATATCCGCTCATCTAATGTGTTGCATGATGATTAGTTAATTTTTGTGTATCACACTAATACTAACATAATTATACTCAAGTGTACAATCCACTCACCTATAAAATTGACTCACCTATAAGAGCCACTCACCTATAAGAGCCACTCACCTATAAGAGCCACTCACCTACAAGAGTCACTCACCTACAAGATATATTCACTTATAAGAGTCACTCACATATGCTCACCTACAAGAGTCACTCACCTACAAGATATTTTCACCTATAAGAGCCACTCAACTATAAGAGCCACTCATATATACTCACCTACAAGAGTCACTCACCTATAAGATATTTTCACCTATAAGAGCCACTCAACTATAAGAGCCACTCATATATACTCACCTACAAGAGTCACTCACCTATAAGATATATTCACTTATAAGAGTCACTCTCATATGCTCACCTACAAGAGTCACTCACCTACAAGATATTTTCACCTATAAGAGCCACTCAACTATAAGAGCCACTCTCATATACTCACCTATAAGAGTCACTCACCTATAAGATATATTCACTTATAAGAGTCACTCTCATATAAGATATATTCACTTATAAGAGTCACTCTCATATACTCACCTATAAGAATCACTTATTTATGGATTGGAATAATCAATATAAACAATTCATAACTTTACATATCAATTTAATTATTTCAAGCTTATTTCAGATCTTGATGCCAGCATAGCATGTACCGCTTATTTAATGTAATCAATAATAATAATAAACATAAAATAACATTATAAGGAACAAAGTCGAGACTAGAAACAATTTTATGACTAGAAATAAAATGTATTGGAATGTTTGGCCGCATCTAAGTATGTCATGCTAGGATATGACAACTAAATGTCCCTAGCATAACAAAGAAAATTCCAGCAACCGAATAAACCAGTTAAATGCAAAATTTTACATGCGAATGTTACTGAGCATTTAAGGACAGATGTGCCTGCTTCCGGCATATGCGTGCCAAGATTGCGTAATTACCCTATGCAAGGGTGCCAAGATGCGTAAATGTGATAACTTCTGGCATATGCGTGCCAAGATTGCATAATAGAATATGCGAGGGTGCCAAATGCGTAAATGCGGTAATAAATGGGAGCAACTTTCAAGCAAATACTCAGTTACTTAAAAATGCCAAAGAGACACCTGGGAAATACCAAGCATAGCGCAAGCTTTGAGCAAAACCCAGGACTCATATAAAAAATTCCAATTTTGAAATTAATGCAATCTAGTAATTCCAGCTTATAGAAGGATATTCTGTCGAAACAAGACCATCTAATAGATGAAATATATACCAGACTAGAGACTTAAGCGTAAATAGTTTACGAACCTATTTTCCCGAAGGATGTACCATAGAGGCCATCGAGAGAAACGGTTTTGAAAAATTTATACATAAAACATGACTGGTTCTCGGCTGCCAGAATTTTCCGTCAAGATGCGACAAGAAAAAATTTACATGAACATTGTTGCACAATTTCATACAAGTTTGTTAAAATGTTATCCTTTCACATATTTATAAATGTCAACATAACACCAGTTGGTTATTGTTTGGTTTTATTAACCTGTCAATTACATACTGATTACACGGTCGATGCACACAATATATTAATCATCGGTAGATTTTCGAAAAGTTCCGTGAGATGTACGCTGTACGATGGAATTTAATTTGATTTGCATCTATGAATTAAGTGAACTGATCGTTATAGCGCAATAAGGTAAAGCACGAGTTTATAATCTAAGTGCCATAGATGTTTTAAGTTCGAGTCCGCGTTGGTCCATGTTCTTTTTAGCTCATCTGTCACAAAGTGACAGGGTGAGCTTTTGTGATCGCTTTTCGTCCGTCCGTCCGGCGTCCGTCCGTCGTCCGTCCGTCCGTAAACTTTTACTTTAAATGACATCTCCTCATAAACCACTGAGCCAATTTCATCCAAACTTCACAGGAATGTTCCTTTGGTGGTCACCTTTAAAAATTGTTCAAAGAATTTAATTCCATGCAGAACTCTGGTTGCCATGGCAACCGAAAGAAAAAACTTTAAATATCTTCTTTTAAAAAACCATAAGAGCTAGAGCTTAGATATTTGGCATGAAACATCTTTTAGTGAGTGTCTAGCAAGTTTGTTCAAATAAAAGCCCTGGGGTCAAAATTGGCCCCGCCCCGGGGGGTCATTGATTTTCCCTATATGCATATAGTAAAAACTTAAAAAATCTTCTTTTAAAGAACTCAAAGAGCTATGGCTAAGATATTGAGCATCAAACATGTTCTAATAGGTGTCTACCAAGTTTGTTTAAATAAAAGCCCTGGGGTCAAAATTGGCCCGCCCCAGGGGGTCATTGATTTTCCCTATATGCATATAGTAAAAACTTAAAAAATCTTCTTTTAAAGAACCAAAAGAGTTAGAGCTAAGATATTTAGCATGAAACATGTTCTAATAAGTGTCTACCAAGTTTGTTCAAATAAAAGCCCTGGGGTCAAAATTGGCCCCGCCCGGGGGGGGGGGGTCATTGATTTTCCCTATATGCATATAGTAAAAACTTAAAAAATCTTCTTTTAAAGAACCAAAAGAGTTAGAGCTAAGATATGTAGCATGAAACATATTCTAATAAGTGTCTACCGAGTTTGTCTAAATAAAAGCCCTGGGGTCAAAATTGGCCCGCCCCGGGGGGTCATTGATTTTCCCTATATGCATATAGTAAAAACTTAAAAAATCTTCTTTTAAAGAACTCAAAGAGCTATGGCTAAGATATTTTGCATCAAACATGTTCTAATAGGTGTCTACCAAGTTTTTTCAAATAAAAGCCCTGGGGTCAAAATTGGCACCGCCCCGGGGGTCATTGGTTTTCCTTATATGTGTATAGCAAAAACTTAAAAAATCTTCTTTGAAAAAACCCAAATAGCTAGAGTTAAGATATTAAGCATGAAACATCTTTTAGTGAGTGTCTAGCAAGTTTGTTCAAATAAAAGACCTGGGGTCAAAATTGGCCCCGCCCCGGGGGTCATTGATTTTCTTTACATGTATATGTGTATATAGCAAAAACTTAAAATCTTCTTTGAAAAAACCCAAATAGCTAGAGTTTAGATATTAAGCATGAAACATCTTCTAGTAAGTGTCTACAAAGTTTGTTCAAATAAAAGCCCTGGCCCGGCCCCAGGGGTGTCATTGTTTTTAACTATACATGTATGTGTATAGTAAAAACTTTAAAAAAATATTCTTTTAAAAAGCCCAATGAGCTAGAGCTTAGATGTTTAGCATGAAACATCTTCTTATTGGTCTACCAAGTTTGTACAAATAAAAGCCCTTGGGTTAAATTGTCCCTGCAACGTTGGGTGGGGGTTGGGGGGGCCTATATACAGGTGAGCGACCTCAGGGCCATCATGGCCCTCTTGTTTTATTATTAATACTTTCAACATTATTAAAGCTACACATGATTATTTTTTATGTTGTTCGTTTTGTTTTATTATGTTTTACTTAATTTCGTAAAGTCTATACTCTTTTTAAATAACATGTTTTAAGAATTCATGTTTAAAATTAAAACGGATTAAAATCAGTAAATGTCTTTTCAATGCCGTAACACACACTACAAATCCGTTCCATTAAAATATACTGCAAAAATAAAGAGAGAGTAAAGCCTAAAAGAATGTCATCAGTAAGGATCGAACCACAGACCTCTCAATTATCAGGCATTCTCTTAAACGACTGCGCTATTGCGAATTAACGAAAACCTTCACATTAAGCTGGCCTGACTTTCAAAATATGACTTATATACTCCACATTAATTCTCGTAAACTACACGGACCAAACCGAAGAGGGGTCGAATATTTAAATGAGTGCTATAATGTATTCATAATTGACATGTCAATAAAATCAGACAATATAAACGAAACACTGTTAAAGTTTTGTTTTGAACATCTTTTCGATATTTTCCCAAACTGCCTTCCGCTTAAACGATGATGTTGGAACTTTGTCGCCGTCAGTGTGTTTCTTAGGAGTTAGTCGTGACTTGCGGTACGGGTATGCCAGCAATAATCGCTAAATTCCTCATGTACAACTGAAATATAAGCACAACCAGCAGCAGTATCCATCGGAAACAACATGTCATTTATAACAATAAACACAGTAATGTACATATATGAAAAACATTTCCTACATATTTATTGAAATTATGCCATAATGCAGACAATAATACACAGGAGTTTGAATGATAAATGGGTGTGGCGGGTGGGAATACGTTGTGTTTCTTTTTGGTTGTAAAAGCGGAAAGGAATTGTACATCCGGTGACTGGTATTTATACTCGACACCGGTAGTATTAACAGAACCAGTCCGATTATGTGCTATAAATAGCACGAAGAAAAACCCAATTATTCTTACCAAAATAAACTCGAGTTATTTCTATGCAGAAATAATCGGTATTATTTATGGATTGGAATAATCAATATAAACAATTCATAACTTTACATATCAATTTAATTATTTCAAGCTTATTTCAGATCTTGATGCCAGCATAGCATGTACCACTTATTTAATGTAATCAATAATAATAATAAACATAAAATAACATTATAAGGAACAAAGTTGAGACTAGAAACAATTTTATGACTAGAAATAAAATGTATTGGAATGTTTGGCCGCATCTAAGTATGTCATGCTAGGATATGACAACTAAATGTCCCTAGCATAACAAAGAAAATTCCAGCAACCGAATAAACCAGTTAAATGCAAAATTTTACATGCGAAAGTTACTGAGCATTTAAGGACAGATGTGCCTGCTTCCGGCATATGCGTGCCAAGATTGCGTAATTACCCTATGCAAGGGTGCCAAGATGCGTAAATGCGATAACTTCTGGCATATGCGTGCCAAGACTGCATAATTGAATATGCGAGGGTGCCAAATGCGCAAATGCGGTAATAAATGGGAGCAACTTTCAAGCAAATACTCAGTTACTTAAAAATGCCAAAGAGACACCTGGGAAATACCGAGCATAGCGCAAGCTTTGAGCAAAACCCAGGACTCATATAAAAAATTCGACTTTTGAAATTGATGTAATCTAGTAATTCCAGCTTATAGAAGGATATTCTGTCGAAACAAGACCATCTAATAGATGAAATATATACCAGACTACAGACTTAAGCGTACACTTAATTTTTCAAAATGCATTCACATACAAGATATATTTACCTATAAGAGGCACTGACCTATAAAATGTATCAGCCTTTAAGAGTCATTTATCTAAGAGATGAACTCACCTATAAGATATATTCACCTACAAGAATAACTCACATATAAGATATATTTACTTACAAGCACCACTCATCTATAAGATGCACTAACCTATTAGATACACCCTCCTTTAAGATGCATTCATCAATAAAATATACTTAAATAGACGTACACCAGATATATATTTCAAATTAATTATGTTTCATTGCTTAACAGTTATTATCAGATACTAACTGATAGTTTTTGACTGAAATTAATCGATTTTGTACCAAAATGCAAACTTTGACAATATAAATGAAATATTTTGATAGTACAGTTTATGAAAGTATTAACATTCTGATTGATTATATTATAGGGATCAGTTATTCCCAGCCCTAGGTTTTGGTGCTAGATTACCTCCAAATGGCGTTGTGTCACATGAATTTGCCCTAGTAAGTACATCCTCATTTTAGCCAATGACAGTGTTAATTTCTTGCCTATGACACCAATATATCACTATGAAGAGAAAAGTCTTAGACTTACCTTTAAATACTTGTTTCATAGTGTTTTAATTTTATATTGAAATGAAGTCATCTGAAATAATCAAGCAGTAAAAAATGTCCAGTTTGCATTTTTATGCCCCTGCACAACAAAGTAGTAAGAGGGGTATACTGGAAACAAAAGGGAACAATAGAATAAGGTGCCATGGCCCTCTATTAAACAAAAGAAAATAACAATAGAAATGGCCCTTTATCCCTATTTAGTATTAGTATTAATTAGGTTATTGTTTATTTTTATGAAGTATAATATGAAATATTCAACATTTATAGTAAAAAGTTATTTTTACTTTACCTTACACACTGACTCTTAACTCTTGGATGGGCATACTGTCACTTTAAAGAGGCCTACACATAATTATAACCATTGTTTCATGGAACATTGTATTCTCTTTAAATCTGTTACCTTCAAAATTAGCATTGCTTACCCATATATAGGCTAGTTTGACATGTGTTTGGTTTTAAAAATTTGTACTTTTTAACATTCCAGTAAAAGTAACAATATTTAATTATATATTTATAGAATGGTAATCCCCAGAATCCCTATTGTGAAGGTATAGAAGGTGTAGTAGAGTCTTACCATAAAGCTATACAGTCTGTTCAACTATACGGACCAACAAACTTCGCTCCATGTATAAATCATGTTGCAAGGTAAGCGGCAGATTGACAGTATACAAATATTTCCTTGTTTAACTTTTTCAGTACATATCATATCATTTACACCAGCTTAAATGTCTCTATTTTATTATGAAATGTAAACATATTTTTATATGAGTTATCAAATCTGTTTTGGAAGACAATACAAATATTTTTTTCTGTAAATACTATGTTCCACCTTCACATTCAAGGTTAAGTTCTTAAAATTCCTTTGGTCATTTTTGCATTATGAACACAATTTGTTTCCATTTGGAAATTATGAAAATTAATACATGTAGTGCTAAAAGTGATATACACAATGCATTTTAAGATAATAAAGTGAAAAGTGGATTGTTATTTAAACTTATTTTATATATTTTTTTGTTAATTTTGAAATTCAGCAATAAATGTATCGTTTTTTGGCCGGGTTGCACTGGTACAAACCCAGGTTATATTATGGTGAATGTCGGGTGGTGGGCGGTCGGGGAAATATTTTTATGGTAACAGTCTTCTCAGCAACTACCTATCACAGCCTTTTGATATTTGGCATACAGCATTGACACATGCTCCCATACCGTGTGTCTGTCTCTCATCTACTTCATGTTTACTGACTTAGTTAAATTTTCGACATAATGGTCAATGGTAGGAAATTTTCGTAACAGTTTTCTCAGCAACTACTTATCACAGCCTTTTGATAATTGGCATACAGCATTGACATGTGGTCCCATACAGTGGGATTTTAGTTGCAGATCTGTTGCTCATCCACTTCCTGTTTATCGACTTAAATAGTCATTGGAAACTTTTTTTTCGTAACATCACAGCATCATGATATTTGTTATACAAATGCAACCTGGCCTTTTCTGTCTTTGACCCATTTTCTAGGGTTAATTTTATGAACTAAAACTAGAAACTGAAAGTGACAATAATATAAATTTTCATTCCAGCTGTGTTTTTTTAAGGATTTTCTATGAGCTTTTTTAAATACAGTCTGATGTTTATTTTTAGATTTGCAGAAGCTAAGAAAAATGGTGATGAATATTTCATTCTACTGATAATCACAGATGGTATTATAACAGACATGCCTCAAACATGTGAAGCTATTGTCAATGTAAGTACAGTGAGGATCTTTTCAAGTTTTAAACTCTAAATTCTATCTTTTCCAACTTTAAACTATTAATTCTATCTCTTCAAATTCTAATATGTAAATTCTATTTTTACAAATTTCTAATTCTAAATTCTTTCTTTCAAATTCAATGAAATTTAATTTCTATGTCACCATCATTGGGCCAGACCAATTTGTTTGTCTATACAGTTTGACCAAACTATATAATTATGTTGGATGCTGAATTGGTGTGGTGTTTTTGTTTATTGTTTGAAATGGATACATCTAAAGTAAAATCACTTGAAGTCCTATGATCATTAGGTGGAACTTGTGTAAGTACAAATATTGCTGACTTTATTCCAAGCTTATGATTTGCTTATTTTACAAGTTTTCTTAAAACTAAAGGAAAAGCAGATTCTAAAATAGTTTATGAATAATGTATGAATTATGTTAGATTACTGAAGAAGTTTTTCTTTTTTGTTCATTGCAGGCAGCATCTCTTCCAGTCTCTATCATCATTATTGGGGTAGGGGATGCTGATTTTGAAGGTAAAACTAGATTTACAAGGGCATAACAATATTACATGAACCATTTTAATGATCATTCAGTGTGCATATTAACAAAAAAGAAATAGGTATATCTTGAATGAGACATGAAATATGATGATTTCTTGCATATCAGACAGGATTATCTACCGTTCACACTGGTACTAGAAAACCCTGTCTTACACCCCCCATGTAAGACAAGTCGCGTGCTTTAAATGACATCATTGACGCGCGCATTTTATGAATGAATAGCGTTCTTAGGATGACGTCACTTAACCGTTATAAATGAAGTTGTATGTTCATATGCTACTTTAAGAAAAAAGTGCATAATGAGAATATCAGTTGGTAGTTTCTGCTCTGAAAATAACTGATATGTAATATGCAAGAAAAAGGATCAAACACCGGCTGTCGGTGCAGACAGGAATATCTAGCTCTCGGCAGAGCCTTGTTACCGCCGTAAACAGTCACTCTCCAGCTAGATATTCCGGTTTGTACCGGCAGCCGGTGTAAGATTGATATATTTTCATATATACACTTTTTATTTTATGTACTTAATTAAACTAATGTCTTTTTCTCCTTCATGCCGATGGTCTGAATCTAACATGAGATATCAAAAATAATGTATGTTCGATCAATAATTCTATTTGTGATACCAACACTTTGTCTTAAGGTAATGCACAAAGTATACCTTATATTATCAACTAGTTGTGAAACTAAGAATCATTAACATGTAAGTAAAATAATTCATGCCTCATTGTCACAGCATATTTTTCATAATGATTAACTTACAAAATAGATTGTATTTGAGAAAACAGTGACTGATATATAAGCTAGGTATAATGACATTGTAATATATATATTTGTTTCAGCAATGGAAGTATTAGATGGGGATGATGTGAGATTGTCATCAAGAGGAAAATATGCCGAGCGAGATATTGTTCAGGTAAGTTAATTTAAGAGAATTTGTTATATAAATTTATTGTGTGTATTATTTACACTCAACACAAGTACTGGTAGCTGCTTTTCATTTTATGTAATATTCAGATAATTGAATAAGTCAGAAAAAACTATGTTTAGATGAAAGCGATAAAGGAAGTCATGAATTTGTTTTAATTTATATCATTTACTGTACATCATAGTTTACTGTACATTATTTACTGTACATTGTTTTCTGTACATTATTTACTGTACATTTTTCTACTGTACATTGATTACTGTACATCATTGATTACTGTACATTATTAACTGTACATCATTGATTACTGTACATTATTTACTGTACATCATTTACTGTACATTATGAACTGCACATTATTGGCTGTACACCATTTACTTTACATGGTTCAGGCACGAAAGCACATGTTATAGAACTACTTACATAATAAAAGGTAGATATATTGATAAGCAATTTAAAGAATCAAGTGGTCAAAGAAGACTATTTTATAATGTGTTGTTTACTGTTTCAGTTTGTCCCATTCAAGGAGTTTCAGGGTAGACAAGGAGAGAACCCAGCCTCTGTTCAGGCACGTCTTGCAAAGGAGGTGTTAGAGGAAATACCAGACCAGTTCTTGTCATATATGAAATCTCGAGGGATCAAACCTAAACCTCCATTACAGAGATCTCTAACAATATCATCTGTACATTCTCTCCCACCCTCGGAACAGTAGATAGGTAGTTATCATCTGCCAATTCTCTGCCACAGGTAGTTATCATTGGATTATTCACTCTGGCCCTCAGAATAATAGACAGATGGTTATAGAAACCTTAATTCTAGCCCTCAAAATAAAAGACAGATGGTTTTCATTGGAAGTTTCATTCTAGCCTTCACAATGAAAGACAGATGGCTATAATTGGAACATTCTCTCCCACCCTCAGAACAAAAGACAGATGGGTTTCATTGGAAGTTTCATTCTAGCCCTCACAATAAAAGACAGATGGCTATAACTGGAACATTCGCTCCCACCTTCAGAACAAAATACAGATGGCTGTAATCTGTATATCTATCGAAAGATGGCTGACAAGGGCCTTAGATTAGAACTAATTTTTTTACAAATACCATATATGTTGAGTTCAGTCAAGTTCTTCCAATTTAATTTTTGTAAAGGACCATTTTTGATTCACTGTATTATTACATTTTTGTGTGTCAATGAAGAGTTAAGAAAAGTTGTTAAGAATAATCATTGTTTGCATCATTACTTTATCTTTATGTTGAAGAAGTAAAGATTTGTATGTAACTATACAGAATTAGTAGACATTTACTAATGCAATTTTATGTTTTTGTTCTGTGCAATTTTGCCAGTTTATGGACCTTTCCGGTTTTCCGTAGCGGAACATTTAGCCACACCTTTGCCATTCATTGCTAGGTCAACTGCTGACAAACAGTATCACAAACATAACCATGTGTTCTTTTGTGTAAACCAGGTCAACCAGTGACTCTGTAATATCTCAGGGTAGCAATTGGATAACAAGCTAGCCAATTTACATAAAACTGTAAACACTGAAAAGGTCCATTATTAGCAATTTCAAAAACATGACATGATTTGTTGCATTCTTGGCTTTGTGTGTATTAGATTCTTTATAAGACAAAACATGTATATATTTTATGTATAAAACATGTAAAATTAAAATTATTTATACATCTTTTTTTTTTTAATTTTTTTTTTATAATTCAAACTTTAAGTAATTTCATTGAAACATCTTGAATGATTTTTTTTCTATTGTTAACACTAAAAAATTTTTTAAAGGTATAAAAAAAATTGCAAATTACTGTGTTTAATTTGAATTTGATTTTGTTGTACATACATCATTCATAGCCTAAAATTCTTCATAAAGATTTGATGGATTTCATAAAGAATGGCATCATTATCATTGTTCAATTTGTTACCTAAAATTTTTTTTATGTACATAGACAGTGTATATGTATAGTTTATATAGAGATTATGTTATAATAAACCCATGACAATGTTAATACATTTATACATAATTGTCTATAGATCTTGATCAAAATAAAAGTCAACTCTTTCTATACCACTTATTTCATAAGAATACTACATATTCTAAGAAAATCACAACAGAGTAATAAAATAAGTCATATTAACAAACAGCATTTTGATTTTTATCTCATAAAATTTTTTTTTTCATGAAAATTGAAATTTGTGCAGAAAAATGGCAGATACAATCGAGCATCCTTTAGAAATTTAACTTTTGCCTAAGTGCTTTAACATAGTATTTCATAAAAATCTTGCTCAATTTAACCATTTTGTATATATTCTTATGTTTGTTTCAATGACACTTTCCATAAATTGACTTTTGTACAATACGGGTTTAACTTCTTTTTTTATATATCATTTATATATAAAGAGGACTGTTTACATAGTACAAATTGAATTGTGATTCCTACATGTATATAAGTTACTTTGTTGTTTCTTTTAAGTATTTGATAATACACAGAGTGGTCAGCTTTGTTTTGTTTCTATCAGCCCTCTTGGTCCGTCAAACTGCTGACATGTTTCATTAACATACTCTCTATAGAATGACATCAAATTGCCCTATATTAAAGGGGCACGCATCCAGATAAGTAAGATTGATTTTTAAAAACCTCTAACTTGATGAAAATATTCATATTTTAAGAAATGTATAAGTATTTATATTCCAGGAAAAACTTTAAAAGGATGTATGGAATTTACTTTTTTATCAACAAAATTTTACCCCCTGTTACTACTCAGGGTAAGAGAAATTTCTACATATTTTGACAAGTTACTGGTAATTTCTGTGTATAGACTGTTAGGCTAAGTTAAATAATTTAATTTGAACAACATAAACTTTGACTCATTTGAACATTTTATTAAAAAAAAAAAGATAAAAAAAATAAGAGAAATCTGGAGACTTGCTGCTTTAAAAAAGAATATGGCAAATTGTACATACTTTATGGAAGGATATGAGTAACACAGTAACAGAAAAAAAGGCTTTTTGCTGCATTAATAATTCAGGGGGTAATGGAAATCTCACTCTTTACATTTTCATGTAACATTTTTAGCATTTGTGCATTTAAATCAATTCCAAACAACATAATTGTGTAATTAGTGTGTTGCGATCACAGTATTTTTAGTAATTGGAAAATATCTCAAATTAGGTAAACTTTCTTTTTCCTGATTTTGTTAAATTATTTATTGTTAACTTTATGAATGTTAATTTGATTATGTTACATGAGCCGCGTCAAGACAAAACCAACATAGTGCGTTTGCGACCAGCATGGATCCAGACCAGCCTGCGCCTCCGCACAGTCTGATCAGGATCCATGCTGTTCGCTTACAAACCCTATAACAAGTAGTGAAACTGATAGCGAACAGCATGGACTCTGATCAGACTGCGCGGATGTGCAGGCTGGTCTGGATCCATGCTTGTCGCAAACCCATTATGTTAGTTTTGTCGTGACGTGGCTCACATATATCTTATAAGAGTAGTCTGGTGTTTTATATAACTAAAACATAAACCAGACATAACATACATGTACATGTAGTTGTGATTTGATAACAAATGTGTTGTGTATAGAAGTTGTTTTATTTATTTTATAATTATTTATATTGATAGAATAATTTTTAAATTTTGGGTTTTATTTTGTTATTTTTTAAACCCCAGTTTTTGTTTTTTTGTTTCCCCTAGGACATTTAAAAAGAAAAAACTTCACCTTAGGGGCAGAAACCCGGGTTTAAAGTTTTAAATTAAAATTTTAAAATGGATTTACCTTTTACTGCACTGATTTTAACCCCAATTTAATTAAACTTACAATTTCTTTGGTATTAAATTGGGCTGAGTAAATTTAAAAAAAATGAAGAATTTTCTTTGGAATATTTTGTTTTGTAATCATATATTGTGTTTAAAACATGAATATTTTTTTAAAATTTTTTAATAAAAATACGGGGAAAGTTATCAATGAAAATATTTTTCTATATTCCCAAACTGTTGCATTTCATTGTCAGACTGACCAATAGCACATCATATTTTTGTATGTAAAAATTATCACATTTTAAAATTGTTTATATATAACTTACTTTTTTATCAACCAGATTTACACTTAACATTTTCCATTCTTATATAGGTGCCAGAATATGATCAAGCTCTGGAATGGTCAAGAATCATGATCAAAATTTTGTATCTTAGATTCTCATTTTTTTAAGTTCACAGATAATGTATTTAGTATTTAGTATTTAATAAACATAATAATAATGGATATAAAATGACTTAAATAAATGCTGCATTTTAAGACAAATTCAATCACAGTCTTTAGTGAAATCGGTCTTAATCTGGAATTGATTCTAAAAGTCCAAAAAGGGTGAAACGTTTTGATAAACTATTCTGTTTTTTCTATATAAAAAATATATTTTAGTGAGGAGTAGCACTTGTTTTTCACTGTCTTGAAATTTGTCATTTATTCTGTATTGAAATTTTTTTTATAAAACTAGAACTGAAATATATACTTGTAATAGGAAGCATAATTTAAGATATGTTTGTGCCTTTCCTCATACTAGCTTATTTAAAAAAAATACCATTATCTAACTAAATGTTCATTCTTAACTTAATCCTTTCTACTACTAGAAAGTGGAATGGGTATATATGTTCTTGCAGGCAACACAAAAGTTATCAATAAATTTTTATTTAAAGATACATTCTCCTTTTATTCAGGGATTTTTAACCCGTAAATCACATGTATTTAAAATTTTAGAAGGTTTGCGTTCCCCTTTTAAACTTTCTTTAATTTTTTTAATTGCAAAATTTACATGTGTGTTTTTCAAATCATGATGCAGTTTGACACCCGGAGGCCCCTTTTCCCATTTTGTTTTATTTTGCGTTTTAAAAAAGAAGGAAAATCATTTTTTTTTGGAACATTTCAATGTCCCCGTGTCTTTCATTCCCCCTTATAAGGGGGCTTTTTTCTTTGCCCCATCCTTTTGGTTTTTTTTCATTTCCCCCTCCTTTCCCGAGAGTTCAAATGAACCCTTGATTAAAAATTAATCAACTTTTTCAATCAGCAAAAATTGTAATCATCGTATTTATATATAATTTTTGAATACATTACTCTTGGGATAACATTATATTTTTATGCCACCGCAATCTGCGATGCGGTGGCATATAGCGATTCACCTGTGTGTGTGTGTGTTTGTTTGTGTGTGTGTGTGTGTGTGTGTGTTATATAGATTATATAGTGAACTTAAAAAATCTTCTTGTGAAAAACTACTAGTCCAATTTCAACCAAACTTGGCAGGATTGTTCCTTGGGTGAAGGGCTTCCAAAGTTGTTCAAAGAATTTCATTCCATGCAGAAATCTGGTTGCCATGGCAACCAAAAGGAATTTTAAGAATAAATTAAAAAAATCTTCTTGTAAAGACCCAAAAGGCCTAGAGCTTAGATATTTTGCATAAGGCATTGTCTGGTAGACCTCTTACAAGATTGTTCAAATTATAGCCCTGGGGTCAAAATTGGCCCCGCCCCGGGGGTCATTGATTTTCACTATGTACATATAGTAAAAACTTTAAATACCTTCTTGTAAAAACCCAAAAGACCTAGAGCTTAGATATTTTGCATAAGGCATCATCTGGTAGACCCTTACCAAGATTGTTCAAATTATAGCCCTTGGGTCAAAATCGGCCCCGCCCCGGGGTCATTGATTTTCGCTATATGTACATATAGTAAAAACTTAAAACACCTTCTTGTAAAGACCCAAAAGGCCTAGAGCTTAGATATTTTGCATAAGGCATTGTCTGGTAGACCTCTACCCAGATTGTTCAAATTATAGCCCTTGGGTCACAATCGGCCCCGCCCCAGGGGTCATTGGTTTTCCTTATATGTTTATAGTAAAAACTTAAAAAAATTCTTCTAGCAATTGACAAATGCTAGAGGTTAGATATTTTGCATGAAACATTGTGTTGTAAACCTCTAGCAAGATTGTTCAAATTATAGCCCTGGGGTCAAAATTGCCCCCGCCCTGGGGGTCATTGATTTCAATATATACATATAGTAAAAAATAAAAAAATCTTATTGTCTGAAGGTACAAGGCTTAGAGCTTTAATATTTTTTAAATAATATCATCTCAAGGTACTCTACCAAAGTTGTTCAAATTTTGCCTCTTGTGTCAAAATTAGCCCCGCCCCTGGGAGCCATAGGTTTATCTTATATGTATATAGTTAAAACTTAAAAAATCATCTTCTCTAAATTTACAAAGGATAGAGTTAAGATATTTTGCATGAAACATTGTGTAGTGAACCTCTAGCAAGATTGTTCAAATTATAGCCCTTGGGTCAAAATTGGTTCCGCCCCGGGGGTCATTGATTTTCATTGAAAAAAAAAGTATATTTTTGTCTGAAGGTTCAAGGCATAGAGCTTTGATGTTTGATATATAATATCATCTATAGGTCCTCTACCAAAGTTGTTCAAATGTCAAAAATTGGCCCTGCCCGGGGGGCAGTGATTCTCATTATGTACACGTATTAAAAACAGAAAATAAAACAAACGTTTTCTGAATGAGAGAAAGCTATAGCTTAGATATTTGACTTGAAATGTTGTTTGATGGACCTGTATCAA